TCCCGAATTTGGGTTTTTTGGGGCTCAGGTGCTCCAGGAATTCCCAAATTTGGGTTTTTTGGGCTCAGGTGTTCCAGTAATTCCCAAATTTTGGTTTTTTGGGGCTCAGGTGCTCCAGAAATTCTCGAATTTGGGTTTTTTGGGGCTCAGGTGTTCCAGGAATTCCCAAATTTGGGTTTTTGGGGCTCAGGTGCTCCAGAAATTCCCAAATTTGGGATTTTTGGGAATTTTGGGATTTCCCGGCCCCATTCCCGCGTTTTCCCAGATCATCCGAACGTTCCGGATCGAGACCCGCAAAGCCTCCAAGGCCGTGGCCCGGCGCAAGGTGAGGGAAAAACGGGATTTACCTAAAAAATGGGATTTGCTTGGGGGAAAATGGGGAAAAAATGGGATTTACCTGGAAAAATGGGGAAAAAAATGGGATTTACCTGGAAAAATGGGGAAAAATGGGATTTACCTGGGAAAAAATGGGATTTCCTGGAAAAAAGGGGAAAAAATAGGATATACCTGGGAAAAAGGGAAAAAAATGGGGTTTACCTGGAAAAATGGGGAAAAAATGGGATTTACCTGGGGAAAAATGGGATTTACCTGGGGGAAAATGTGAAAAAATGGGATTTACCTGGAAAAATGGGGGAAAAAAATGGGATTTACCTGGGAAAAAATGGGATTTACCTGGGAAAAAGGGATTTACCTGGGAAAAAATGGGATTTACCTGGAAAAAAAATGGGATTTACCTGGGAAAAAATGAAAAAATGGGATTTACCTGGAAAAAAATGGGATTTACCTGGGAAAAAATGGGATTTATCTGGGGAAAAATTTGGATTTACCTGGGAAAAAATGAAAAAATGGGATTTACCTGGAAAAATGGGATTTAGCTGGGAAAAAATGGGATTTAGCTGGGAAAAAATGGGATTTACCTGGAAAAAAATGGGATTTACCTGGGAAAATGGGGAAAAAAATGGGATTTACCTGGAAAAATGGGGAAAAAATGGGAAAAAAATGGGATTCGCCTAAAAAATGGGATTTACCTGGAAAAATGGGGGGAAATGGGATTTACCTGGGGGAAAATGTGAAAAAATGGGATTTACCTGGGAATGGGAAACGGGATTTACCTGTGGAAAAATTTGGATTTACCTGGGAAAAAATGAAAAAATGGGATTTACCTGGGAAAAAATGGGATTTACCTGGGAAAATGGGATTTACCTGGGAAAAAGTGGGATTTACCTGGAAAAATGGGAAAAAAATGGGATTTACCTGGGAAAAAAATGGGATTTACCTGGGGAAAAATTTGGATTTACCTGGGAAAAAAGGGAAAAAATGGGATTTACCTGGAAAAATGGGATTTACCTTGAAAAATGGGGGGAAATGGGATTTACCTGGAGGAAAATGTGAAAAAATGGGATTTACCTGGGAATGGGAAATGGGATTTACCTGTGAAAAAAAACCAGGATTTACCTGGGGAAAATGGGATTTCCCTGGGAAAAATGGGAATAAATTGGATTTACCTGGAAAAATGGGGGAAAAAATGGATTTACCTGGGAAAAAATGGGATTTATCTGTAAAAAAGGATTTACCTGGGACAAAATGGGATTTACTTGTGGAAAAAAAACAGGATTTATCTGGGAAAAATGGGATTTACCTGTGGCAAAAAAAACGGGATTTATCTGGGAAAAATGGGATTTACGTGTGGAAAATAATGGGATTTACCTGTGGAAAAAAACCGGGATTTATCTGGGAAAAATGGGATTTACCTGTGGAAAAAAAACGGGATTTATCTGGGAAAAATGGGATTTACCTGTGGAAAAAAAATGGGATTTATCTGTAAAAAAGGATTTACCTGGGAAAAAATGGGATTTACCTGTGGAAAAAAAACGGGATTTATCTGGGAAAAATGGGATTTACCTGTGGAAAAAAAACGGGATTTACCTGTGGAAAAATGGGATTTACCTGTGGAAAAAAACGGGATTTATCTGGGAAAAATGGGATTTACCTGTGAAAAAAAACCAGGATTTACCTGGGGAAAATGGGAATAAACGGGATTTACCGGGGGAAAAATGTGAATAAATGGGATTTTCCTGGAAAAATGTGAATAAATGGGATTTACCTGGAAAACTGGGACTGGGGCCGGATTCCCGAATTTCCCGGGAATTTCGGGCTCCTTTCCCCCCTCCCAGAACTGGAAGAAATTTGGGAATTCTGAGTTCGACGCCCCCGGGCCCAACGTGGCCACGACGACCGTGAGCGACGACGTCTTCATGACCTTCATCACCAGCAAGGAGGTAGGGACAGGTGTGCCCAGGTGTGCCCAGGTGTGCCCAGGTGTGCCCCAGGTGTGCCCAGGTGTGCCCAGGTGTGCCCCAGGTGTGCCCCAGGTGTGCCCAGGTGTGCCCAGGTGTGCCCAGGTGTGCCCCAGGTGTGCCCCAGGTGTGCCCGGGTGTGCCCCAGGTGTGCCCCAGGTGTCCCCAAATGTCCCCAGGTGTGCCCCAGGTGTCCCCAAATGTCCCCAGGTGTGCCCCAGGTGTGCCCAAATGTGTCCAGGTGTGCCCCAGGTGTCCCTAGATGTGCCCAGGTGCCCCCCAGGTGTTCCCAGCTGTGCCCCAGGTGTGCCCCAGGTGTGCCCCAAATGTGTTCAGGTGTGCCCCAAATGTGCCCAGGTGTGCCCCAGATGTACCCAGGTGTGCCCCAGGTGTGCCCAGGTGTGCCCAGGTGTGCCCCAGGTGTGCCCCAAATGTACCCAGGTGTGCCCAGGTGTGCTCCAGGTGTGCCCAGGTGTGCCCCAGGTGTCCCCAGGTGTCCCCAGGTGTGCCCAGGTGTGCCCCAGGTGTGCCCCAGGTGTCCCCAAATGTGTTCAGGTGTGTCCCCAGCTGTGCCCCAGGTGTGCCCAGGTACCCCCAGGTGTGCCCCAGGTGTGCCCAGGTGTGCCCCAGGTGTGCCCAGGTGTGCTCAGGTGTGCCCCAGGTGCCCCCAGGTGCCCACAGGTGTGCCCAGGTGTGCCCAGGTGTGCTCAGGTGTGCCCAGGTGCACTCAGGTGTGCCCGTGTCCCCCAGGACCTGAACTGCCAGGAGGAGCAGGACCCCATGAACATCTCTAGGTGTGCCCCATGGCCACGTGTGCCCCCAGGTGTCCCCAGGTGTACCCAGGTGCACTCAGCTCTGTCCCAGGTGCCCGCAGGTGCCCCCAGGTGCGCTCAGGTGCCCCCAGATGCCCCCAGGTGCCCCCAGGTGTGCTCAGGTGTGCCCCCCACCCCCCAGGACCTGAACTGCCAGGAGGAGGAGGACCCCATGAACACCTCTAGGTGTGCCCCATGGCCACGTGTGCCCCCAGCTCTGTCCCAGGTGCCCCCAGGTGCCCCCAGGTGCCCCCAGGTGTGCTCAGGTGTGCCCCCCACCCCCCAGGACCTGAACTGCCAGGAGGAGGAGGACCCCATGAACACCTCTAGGTGTGCCCCATGGCCACGTGTACCCCCAGCTCTGTCCCAGGTGCCCCCAGGTGCCCCCAGGTGTACCCAGGTGCCCCCAGGTGTTCCCAGGTGTGCCCAGGTGTACCCAGGTGTCCCTAGATGTCCCCAGGTGCCCCAAGCTCTGTCCCAGGTGCCCCCAGGTGCCCCCAGGTGTGCCCAGGTGTGCCCCAGGTGTGCCCAGGTGCGCTCAGGTGTGTCCCCCACCCCACAGGACCTGAACTGCCAGGAGGAGCAGGACCCCATGAACATCTCTAGGTGTGCCCCATGGCCACGTGTGCCCCCAGGTGCCCCCAGCTCTGTCCCAGGTGCCCCCAGCTGTGCCCAGGTGTGCCCAGGTGCCCCCAGGTGTGCCCAGGTGTGCCCAGGTGTGCCCAGGTGCACTCAGGTGCCCCCAGCTGTGCCCAGGTGCACTCAGGTGTGCCCGTGTCCCCCGCAGGACCTGAACTGCCAGGAGGAGGAGGACCCCATGAACAAGCTGAAGGGGCAGAAGATCGTCTCGTGCCGCATCTGCAAGGGCGACCACTGGACCACGCGCTGCCCCTACAAGGACACGCTGGGGCCCATGCAGAAGGAGCTGGCCGAGCAGCTGGGGCTGTCCACGGGCGAGAAGGAGAAGCTGCCCGGAGGTGGGACCCCAAAATCCACATCCCAGATCCCAAATCCCGCTTTTTTTGGGGAATTTTCCCCATTTTTACATGGTTATGGAGCCCCAAGGTCACCCTGGTGGTGGCCCCGTGCAGAAGGAGCAGCTGGGGCTGTCCACCAGCAAGAAGGAGAAGCTGCCCGGAGGTGGGACCCCAAAATCCACATCCCAGATCCCAAATCCCGCTTTTTTTTGGGGAATTTTTCCCATTTTTACGTGGTTATGGGGCCCCAAGGTCACCCTGGTGGCCCCATGCAGAAGGAGCCGCTGGGGCTGTCCACGGACAAGGAGAAGGAGAACCTGCCTGGAGGTGGAACCCCAAATTCCAGATCCCAAATCCCAGATCCCAAATCCCGCTCTTTTTTTGGGAATTTTTCCCATTTTTACGTGGTTATGGGGCCCCAAGGTCACCCTGGTGGTGGCCCCAAGGTCACCCTGGTGGCCCCAAGCAGAAGGAGCAGCTGGGGCTGTCCACAGGCGAGAAGGAGAACCTGCCTGGAGGTGGAACCCCAAAATCCAGATCCCAAATTCCAGATCCCAAATCCCGCTTTTTTGGGGAATTTTTCCCATATTTCCGTGGTTATGGAGCCCCAAGGTCACCGTGGTGGTGGCCCCAAGGTCACCCTGGTGGTCCCGTTGTTGCTGTGGTGGCCCCATGCAGAAGGAGCAGCTGGGGCTGTCCACAGGCAAGGAGAAGGAGAAGCTGCCTAGAGGTGGAACCCCAAAATCCACATCCCAAAAATCCCGCTTTTTTTTTGGGAATTTTTCCCATTTTTACGTGGTTATGGGGCCCCAAGGTCACCCTGGTGGTGGCCCCGTGCAGAAGGAGCAGCTGGGGCTGTCCACGGGCGAGAAGGAGAAGCTGCCCGGAGGTGGGACCCCAAAATCCACATCCCAAATCCCAAATCCCGCTTTTTTTGGGAATTTTTCCCATATTTTTCCCGTTTTTGCACGGTTATGGAGCCCCAAGGTCACCATGGTGGCCCCAAGCACCATTTTTACGTGGTTATGGAGCCCCAAGGTCACCCTGGTGGTGGCCCCAAGGTCACCCTGGTGGTGGCCCCGTGCAGAAGGAGCCACTGGGGCTGTCCACGGGCGAGAAGGAGAACCTGCCTGGAGGTGGGACCCCAAATTCCAAATCCCAAATCCCGCTCTTTTTTGGGAATTTTTCCCATTTTTACGTGGTTATGGAGCTCCAAGGTCACCCTGGTGGTGGCCCCGTGCAGAAGGAGCAGCAGGGGCTGTTCCTCACCTGTTCCTCACCTGTTCCTCACCTGTCCCACCTGTCCCACCTGTCCATGTCTCACCTGTCCCACCTGTCCCACCTGTCCATGTCCCACCTGTCCGTGTCTCACCTGTCCCACCTGTCCATGTCTCACCTGTCCATGTCTCACCTGTCCATGTCTCACCTGTCCCACCTGTCCGTGTCCCACCTGTCCATGTCCCACCTGTCTCACCTGTCCATGTCTCACCTGTCCCACTTGTCCGTGTCTCACCTGTTCGTATCTCACCTGTCCCACCTGTCCGTATCTCACCTGTCTCACCTGTCCATGTCCCACCCGTGTCTCACCTGTGTCCCACCTGTCCCGCAGAGCCGGAGCCGGTGGCCGCCCAGGTGAGCAAGACGGGCAAGTACGTCCCGCCGAGCCTGAGGGACGGCGCCAGCCGGCGCGGGGAGTCCATGCAGCCCAACCGCCGAGGTGAGCGCACCTGGGCGCACCTGGGCACACCTGGGCGCACCTGGGCACACCTGGGGGGTAAAAAACACACCTGGGCACACCTGGGCACACCTGGGGGGGCAAAAAACACACCTGGGGAGGGTAAAAAACACACCTGGGCACACCTGGGCACACCTGGGCACACCCGGGGGGGCAAAAAACCACACCTGGGGAGGGTAAAAAACACACCTGGGCGCACCTGGGCACACCTGGGGGGCACCTGGGCACACCTGGGGGGGGTAAAAAACACACCTGGGGGGTAAAAAACACACCTGGGCACACCTGGGGGGGTAAAAACGCACCTGGGGGGTAAAAAACACACCTGGGCACACCTGGGGGGGTGAAAACTCACCTGGGGGGTAAAAAACACACCTGGGGAGGGTAAAAAACACACCTGGGGAGGGTAAAAAACACACCTGGGAACACCTGGGGGATAAAAAACACACCTGGGGGGTAAAAAACACACCTGGGGAGGGTAAAAAACACACCTGGGGAGGGTAAAAAACACACCTGGGCGCACCTGGGGGGGTAAAAACGCACCTGGGCACACCTGGGCGCACCTGGGCACACCTGGGCACACCTGGGCGCACCTGGGTGCACCTGGGCACACCTGGGGGGGCGAAAACTCACCTGGGGGGGTGAAAACTCACCTGGGAACACCTGGGGGGCAAAAAACACACCTGGGGGGGTAAAAAACACACCTGGGGAGGGTAAAAAACACACCTGGGGAGGGTAAAAAACTCACCTGGGGGGGCAAAAAACACACCTGGGGAGGGTAAAAAACACACCTGGGAACACCTGGGGAGATTTGGGGATACCTGGGACACACCTGGGGCGCACCTGGGCACACCTGGGCACGCCTGGGGGGACAAAAAACGCACCTGGGGAGGGTAAAACACACACCTGGGCACACCTGGGGGGGTGAAAACTCACCTGGAGGGTAAAAAACACACCTGGGCGCACCTGGGGGGGTAAAAACGCACCTGGGAACACCTGGGGGGATTTGGGGATACCTGGGACACACCTGGAGATACCTGGAGGGCTTTTGGGGACACCAGGGACACACCTGGGGACACCTGGGACACACCTGGGGAGCTTTGGGGACACCTGGGGCACACCTGGGGGGCTTCGGGCACACCTGGGGCACACCTGAGGACACTTGGGAGAACCTGGGGACACTTGGGACACACCTGGGGATACGTGGGACACACCTGGGGAGCTTTGGGGACACCTGGGGACACACCTGGGGACACCTGGGACACACCTGGGGATACCTGGGGACACCTGGGGACACTTGGGACACACCTGGTGAGCTTTGGGGACACCTGGAACACACCTGGGGATACCTGGGACATACCTGGGGATACCTGGGACACACCTGGGACACACCTGGGGAGCTTTGGGGACACCTGGGGACACACCTGGGGACACTTGAGTGGCTCTGGGGACACCTGTGGGAGGACCCGCCCCACCTGGGGACACACCTGGGGCTCACCTGTGGCGGCGCCGCCCTCACCTGTGCGCAGCGGACGACAACGCCACGATCCGCGTCACCAACCTGTCGGAGGACACGCGCGAGACCGACCTGCAGGAGCTGTTCCGCCCCTTCGGCTCCATCTCCCGCATCTACCTGGCCAAGGACAAGACCACCGGGCAGTCCAAGGTACCCGGGCGCACCTGGGCACCCACCTGGGCACACACCTGGGCACACCTGGGCACTCACCTGGGCACTCACCTGGGCACTCACCTGGGCACTCCTGGGCACTCACCTGGGCACTCACCTGGGCACGCCTGGGCACTCACCTGGGCTCGCCTGGGCATGCCTGGGTGTGAGGGTGGGGCTCACCTGGGCACACCTGGGCTCACCTGGGCATGTCTGGGTGTGAGGGTGGGGCTCACCTGGGCTCACCTGGGCACACCTGGGCACACCTGGGCACCGGGGTGGGGCTCACCTGGGCACTAGGGTTTACCTGGGCATACCTGGGCATACCTGGGCATGGGGCGGGGCTCACCTGGGCATGCCTCGGTGTGAGGGCAGGGCTCACCTGGGCACTGGGGTTTACCTGGGCACCAGGGTTCACCTGGGCTCACCTGGGCACACCTGGGTGTGAGGGTGGGGCTCACCTGGGTGTGAGGGCGGGGCTCACCTGGGCTCACCTGGGCACTGGGGCTCACCTGGGCATGGGGCTCACCTGGGCATGGGGCTCACCTGGGCTCACCTGGGTACGAGGCTCACCTGGGCACTGGGCTCACCTGGGCACGGGGCTCACCTGGGCACTGGGGCTCACCTGGGCTCACCTGGGCTCACCTGGGTATGGGGCTCACCTGGGCTCACCTGGGCTCACCTGGGCACTGGGGCAGGGCTCACCTGGGCAGGGAGTGGGGCTCACCTGGGCACTGGGGCTCACCTGGGCTCACCTGGGCACCGGGCTCACCTGAGCATGGGGCTCACCTGGGCATGGGGTTCACCTGGGCACTGGGGCTCACCTGGGCACGGGGCTCACCTGGGCTCACCTGGGCTCACCTGGGCTCACCTGGGCACGGGGTGGGGCTCACCTGGGCTCACCTGGCGCCGCTCCGCAGGGCTTTGCCTTCATCAGCTTCCACCGGCGCGAGGACGCCGCCCGCGCCATCGCCGGCGTCTCCGGCTTCGGCTACGACCACCTGATCCTCAACGTGGAGTGGGCCAAGTGCGTACCTGGCACACCTGGGCACACCTGGGCACACCTGGGCACTCCTGGGACACACCTGGCACACCTGGGCACACACCTGGGCACACCTGGGCACACCTGGGGGGGTCACACTCACCTGGGCACTCCCCTGTCATATCTGGGAACTCACCTGGCACACCTGGGCACACCTGGGGACACCTGGGGCACACCTGGGTACACCTGGGGCACACCTGGGCACACCTAGGGCACACCTGGGGGGGTCACACTCACCTGGGCACACCTGGGCACACCTGGGCACACCTGGGGCACACCTGGGGCACACCTGGGCACACCTGGGCACTCACCTGTCCTCTTTTTTTTCCTCTCCCCAGGCCCTCGACCAACTGAGCCGCTCCCAGTTGGTCCCAGTCTGGTCCCAGTTTGGTCCCAGTTGGTCCCAGTTGGTCCCAGTTGGTCCCAGTTGGTCCCAGTTGGTCCCAGTTGGTCCCAGTTTGGTCCCAGTTGGTCCCAGTTGGTCCCAGTTGGTCCCAGTTTGGTCCCAGTTCAATAAAGCTCCGGGCTCTGGCACTGCCAGATGGGAATTTTTTGGGAAAAATGGGGATTTAAGGGGGAAAAAACGGGAATTTGGGGTGAAAAAATGGGAATTTGTGGGGGAAATGGGAATTTGGGGTGAAAAAATGGGAATTTGGGGTGAAAAATCAGAATTTTTTGGGGAAAAACGGGGATTTAAGGGGGAAAAATGGGAATTTGGGGTGAAAAATGGGAATTTGGGGTGAAAAAATGGGAATTTGTGGGGAAAATGGGAATTTGGGGTGAAAAAATGGGAATTTGTGGTGAAAAATCAGAATTTTTTGGGGAAAATTGGGATTTAAGGGGGAAAAAATGGGAATTTGGGGTGAAAAATGGGAATTTGTGGGGGAAATGGGAATTTGGGGTGAAAAAATGGGAATTTTTTGGGGAAAATGGGGATTTAAGGGGAAATAAATGGGAATTTGGGGTGAAAAACGGGATTTTTTTGCGGAAAATTGGGATTTAAGGAGAAAATAATGGGAATTAGGGGTGATAAATGAAATTTTGGGGTGGGAAAATGGGAATTTGGGGTGAAAAAACGGAAATTTGTGGTGAAAAATGGGAATTTTTGGGGGAAAATTGGGATTTAAGGGGAAATAAATGGGAATTTGGGGTGGGAAAATGGGAATTTGGGGTGGGAAAATGGGATTTTTCCTGGAAAAAAAAAGAGCAACGCGAGTTCCTGGTCTGGATCCAACTTTATTCCTGCTCCTCCCAGCGGGGGAGGGGCCACAATTCCCAAATTTCCAACCCGGAATTCCGGCCACGACATCTCCTTGGAAGTTCCTGAAATTCCCACTGAGGAGTTCTGGGGCTTCCCCCCGATTTTGGGGATATTTTTCCCCCCATTTTTAAGGTGTTTTTCCCATTTTTGAGGGTTTTTTCCCCCCCTTTTTTTTCTATTTTCCCGTTTTTTTGGGGTGCTCCCAGCTGGATTTGGGGGATCCCAAAATTCTTCTGGAAATCCCCAAAATCCCCTTTTGGAAATCCCAAAATTCCCCTTGGGGATCCCAAAGTTCTTCTGGAAATTCCCAAAATTCCTCAGGACCCCAAATTCCCCATCCCGGTGGGATCAGGGGGATCCCAAATTCCCAAATTTTTATTTTTCTTCCCCCCCTCTCAATTTTTCCTTTTTTTGGCCCGTCCCGGCCGTGGGAAATTCGGGATTTTTTGGGGTGTCAGGAGCTTCCCACGGCGGGATTTGGGATTTTTGGGATTTCCCGGGTGGGGTTTGGGATTTTTGGGATTTCCCGGATGGGATTTGGGATTTTTGGGATTTCCCGGGTGGGATTTGGGGTTTTTGGGATTTCCCGGGTGGGATTTGGGGTTTTTGGGGCGGGATTGGGGGTTTTTGGGATGTCCTGGGTGAAATTTGGAGGTTCCAGGTGTGGATTTTGGGGTTCCTGGGTGGGATTTTGGGGTTCCCTGTTGGGATTTTGGGGTTCCTGGGTGGAATTTTGGGGTTCCAGGTGTGGATTTTGGGGTTCCTGGGTGGGATTTTGGGGTTCCAGGGTGGAATTTTGGGGTTCCAGGTGTGGATTTTGGGGTTCCCCGGTGGGATTTTGGGGTTCCTGGGTGGGATTTTGGGGTTCCAGGTGTGGATTTTGGGGTTCCAGGTGTGGATTTTGGGCTCCTCCTCCGTCGTTTCCGGGCTCGGGGCGCGGCCGAGGGGCTTCGCTTCCTCTTGGCGTGACCGGGGAACAAATCTGGGGGAAAAAGAGGGAAAAATGGGAATTTAGAGGGGAAAAATGGGAATTTAGAGGGGAAAAACTGGGATTTGGAGGGAAAAAAACTAATTCAGGGACGGAAAATTGGGATTTAGGAGAATAAAAATGGGATTTGCGGGGAAAAAATTGGAATTTCTGGGAAAAAAGTTGGGATTTAGGGAGAATGAATTGGGATTAAGGGGAAAAATGGGATTTGGGTGGAAAAATGGAATTCTAGGCATAAAAAATTGGGATTTAGGAGAATAAAAATGGGATTTGCGGGGAAAAAATTGGAATTTCTGGGAAAAAAGTTGGGATTTAGGGGGAATGAATTGGGATTAAGGGGAAAAATGGGATTTGGGTGGAAAAATGGAATTCTAGGCATAAAAAATTGGGATTTAGGAGAATAAAAATGGGATTTGCGGGGAAAAATTTGGAATTTCTGGGAAAAAGTTGGGATTTAGGGGGAATGAATTGGGATTTGGGTGGAAAAATGGAATTTTAGGCACAGATAATTGGGATTTCTGGGAAAAAATTGGGATTTGAGGGGAACAAATTGGGATTAAGGGAAAAAATGGGATTTGGGTGGAAAAATGGAATTCTAGGCATAGAAAATTGGGATTTAGGAGAAAAAAAAATGGTATTTGGGGGGAAAAATGGAATTTTAGGAATAGAAAATTGGGTTTTGGGGGGAAGAAATTTGGATTTGAGGGTAAAAAGTCGGGATTTTGGGGGAAATGTCAGGATTTGGGGGGAAAAATTCGGGATTTGGGTGCCAGGACGGCCCCGGAAGTGTCAGAGCGTTTACTTGGATCCCAAATCACGGAAATTCAGGAATTTTTGTCATCAGCCACTTCCGGGGAGGGAAAAACCACCTGGAAATTCCCAAACTCGCCGGAAACAACCAAAATTTCCCTTTATGTCCCCCAAAACTCACCTGGAAACCCCAAAATTCACCAGGAACAACCCAAAAGTCACCTGAAACTCCCAAAATTCCCCTTTATTCCCCCCAAAACTCACCTGGAAACCCCAAAATTTCACCTGGACCCCCCCAAACCTCACCTGGATCCCCCAAAATTTCCCTTTATCCCCCTAAACCTCACCTGGATCCCGCCCAGTCTCACCTGGACCCCCAAAAATTCACCTGGAAAACCCAAAACTCACCTGACCCCCCCAAACCTCACCTGGATCCCCCCCAAAACTCACCTGGAAAACCCAAAACTCACCTGAACACCCCAAAACTCACCTGGATCCTCCCCAAATCCCCCTTTACACCCCCAAACCTCACCTGGACCCCCCCCAAACCTCACCTGGACCCCCCCAAACCTCACCTGGAGCCCACCAAACCTCACCTGAACACCCCAAACCTCACCTGGACCCCCCAAACCTCACCTGGACCCCCAAAAACTCACCTGTCCCACCCCCCAGTCTCACCTGGACCCCCCCAAACCTCACCTGGCCCACACCCCAGTCTCACCTGGACCCCCCCAAATCTCACCTGGCCCCCCCCAAACCTCACCTGAACACCCCAAACCTCACCTGGACCCCCCCAAACCTCACCTGAACACCCCAAACCTCACCTGGCCCCCCCAAACCTCACCTGGCCCCCCCAAACCTCACCTGGATCAGCAAAAATTTCCCTTTATCCCCCTCAAACCTCACCTGGATCCCGCCCAAACCTCACCTGGACCCCCCCGTCTCACCTGGACCCCCAAAAACTCACCTGGAAAACCCAAAACTCACCTGAACACCCCAAAACTCACCTGACCCCCCCAAACCTCACCTGGATCCCCCCCAAAACTCACCTGGATCCCCCCCAAACCTCACCTGGAAAACCCAAACCTCACCTGAACACCCCAAACCTCACCTGAACACCCCAAACCTCACCTGGAAACCCCCAAAACTCACCTGGACCCCCCCAAACCTCACCTGGACCCCCCAGATCTCACCTGGCCCCCCCAGTCTCACCTGGACCCCCAAAAACTCACCTGGACCCCCCCAAATCCCCCTTTACACCCCCAAACCTCACCTGAACACCCCAAACCTCACCTGGAGCGCCCCAAATCTCACCTGGCCCCCCCAAATCTCACCTGGCCCCCCCAAACCTCACCTGGCCCCCCCAGACTCACCTGTGTCGGGCTCCTCCCCCAGCTCCTGTCTGTAATATTCGGCCTCGTCCTCGTCCGACGGCTCCGCCTCACCTGCCTCAGGTGCGCCGGGGTCCTCAGCGTCACTGTCACCTGCCGGGCCACCACCTGGGCCACCACCTGGGCCACCACCTGGGCCACCACCTGGGCCACCTGGGCCACCTGTGCCACCTGTGCCACCTGCGGCCCGGCGCATCCCGGCCAGGCTGCGCTCCCTGGGGACACACAGGTGGGACAGGTGAGGGACAGGTGAGGGACAGGTGGGACAGGTGAGGGACAGGTGGGACAGGTGAGGGACAGGTGGGGGACAGGTGAGACAGGTGAGACAGGTGAGGGACAGGTGAGAGGACACCTGAGGATGGATCTGGCCAGGCTGCCCCACCTGGGGGAGCTTCACCTGTGTGACCTCACCTGTGTGACCCCCCCCCGTGACCTCACCTGTGTGACCTCACCTGTGTGACCCCCCCATGATCTCACCTGTGTGACGTCACCTGTGTGACCCCACCTGTGTGACCTCACCTGTGACCTCACCTGTGTCACCTCACCTGTGTCACCTCACCTGTGTCACCTCATCTGTGTGACCCCTATGACCTCACCTGTGTCACCTCACCTGTGTCACCTCATCTGTGTGACCCCTATGACCTCACCTGTGTGACCTCACCTGTGTCACCTCATCTGTGTGACTCCCCCATGACCTCACCTGTGTGACCCCACCTGTGACCTCACCTGTGTTACCCCACCTGTGTGACCCCCCCATGACCTCACCTGTGTGACCTCACCTGTGTGACCTCACCTGTGTGACCTCCCCCATCCTCACCTCTGTCAACTCTTCATCTGGGAGGCCCCTGCCACCCTCACCTGCCCTGGCACACCTGCCCTGGCACACCTGTCCTGGCACATCTGTCCTGGCACACCTGAGTCCCTGGCACACCTGTCCCTGGCACACCTGCCCTGGCACACCTGTCCTGGCACATCTGTCCTGGCACACCTGAGTCCCTGGCACACCTGTCCCTGGCACACCTGTGCACACCTGAGCCCCTGGCACACCTGTCCTGGCACACCTGAGCTCCTGGCATACCTGAGCTCCTGGCACACCTGTCCCTGGCACACCTGAGTCCCTGGCACACCTGAGCTCCTGACACACCTGTCCTGGCACACCTGAGGCCCTGGCACACCTGAGTCCCTGTCCCACCTGAGTCCCTGTCCCACCTGTCCCCACCTGTGCACACCTGTCCCACCTGTCCCCCCGCCCTCACCTGTGCACACCTGTCCCACCTGTCCCCCCGCCCTCACCTGTGCTGTTCGCGCTGCCGCCGTTTCCGCTGCAGGTTCTGCTCCTGCTCCCGGCGCCGCTCCGCCCTCACCTGCAGCCGCTGCTCCCGGCGGGCCTGCAGCACCTGCAGCTCCTGCTCACCTTTGGGGGCTGAAACACACCTGTCACACACCTGGGCACACCTCGGCACACCTGAGATACACCTGGGCACACCTGTCACACACCTGGGCACACCTGAGATACACCTGAGATACACCTGAGATACACCTGGGCACACCTGAGATACACCTGAGATACACCTGCAGCACCTGCAGCTCCTGCTCACCTTTGGGGGCTGGAAAACACACCTGTCACACACCTGGGCACACCTGAGATACACCTGGGCACACCTGAGATACACCTGAGATACACCTGTGACACACCTGTGACACACCTGCAGCACCTGCAGCTCCTGCTCACCTTTGGGGGCTGGAAAACACACCTGTCACACACCTGAGATACACCTGGGCACACCTGTGACACACCTGAGCACACCTGTCACACACCTGGGCACACCTGAGATACACCTGAGCACACCTGTCACACACCTGGGCACAGCTGGGATACACCTGGGCACACCTGAGATACACCTGAGATACACCTGAGATACACCTGGGCACACCTGCAGCTCCTGCTCACCTTTGGGGGCTGAAACACGCACCTGTCACACACCTGGGCACACCTGAGATACACCTGGGCACACCTGGGATACACCTGTGACACACCTGGGCACACCTGAGATACACCTGAGATACACCTGAGATACACCTGCAGCACCTGCAGCTCCTGCTCACCTTTGGGGGCTGGAAACACACCTGTCACACACCTGAGATACACCTGAGATACACCTGAGATACACCTGCAGCACCTGCAGCTCCTGCTCACCTTTGGGGGCTGGAAAACACACCTGTCACACACCTGAGATACACCTGGGCACACCTGAGATATACCTGAGATACACCTGGGCACACCTGAGATACACCTGTGACACACCTGCAGCACCTGCAGCTCCTGCTCACCTTTGGGGGCTGGAAAACACACCTGTCACACACCTGAGATACACCTGGGCACACCTGAGATACACCTGAGATACACCTGGGCACACCTGTCACACACCTGGGCACACCTGTCACACACCTGAGATACACCTGGGCACACCTGAGATACACCTGGGCACACCTGAGATACACCTGAGATACACCTGTGACACACCTGGGCACACCTGAGATACACCTGAGATACACCTGTGACACACCTGCAGCACCTGCAGCTCCTGCTCACCTTTGGGGGCTGGGAAACACACCTGTCACACACCTGGGCACACCTGGGCACACCTGAGATACACCTGAGATACACCTGGGTACACCTGTGACACACCTGCAGCACCTGCAGCTCCTGCTCACCTTTGGGGGCTGGAAAACACACCTGTCACACACCTGGGCACACCTGAGATACACCTGTCACACACCTGGGCACACCTGAGATACACCTGAGATACACCTGGGCACACCTGAGATACACCTGTGACACACCTGCAGCACCTGCAGCACCTGCAGCTCCTGCTCACCTTTGGGGGCTGGAAAACACACCTGTCACACACCTGGGCACACCTGGGCACACCTGAGATACACCTGAGATACACCTGTGATACACCTGAGATACACCTGTGACACACCTGCAGCACCTGCAGCTCCTGCTCACCTTTGGGGGCTGGAACACACACCTGTCACACACCTGGGCACACCTGAGATACACCTGGGCACACCTGAGATACACCTGAGATACACCTGAGATACACCTGAGATACACCTGGGCACACCTGCAGCACCTGCAGCTCCTGCTCACCTTTGGGGGCTGGAAAACACACCTGTCACACACCTGGGATACACCTGAGATACACCTGAGATACACCTGTCACACACCTGTGACACACCTGCAGCACCTGCAGCTCCTGCTCACCTTTGGGGGCTGAAACACACACCTGTCACACACCTGGGCACACCTGAGATACACCTGAGATACACCTGGGCACACCTGAGATACACCTGTCACACACCTGCAGCACCTGCAGCTCCTGCTCACCTTTGGGGGCTGAAACACGCACCTGTCACACACCTGGGCACACCTGAGCACACCTGAGATACACCTGCAGCACCTGCAGCTCCTGTCACACACCTGAGATACACCTGGGCACACCTGAGATACACCTGAGATACACCTGAGATACACCTGAGATACACCTGAGATACACCTGGGCACACCTGAGATACACCTGGGCACACCTGAGCACACCTGTCACACACCTGCAGCACCTGCAGCACCTGCAGCTCCTGCTCACCTTTGGGGGCTGGAAAACGCACCTGTCACACACCTGGGCACACCTGAGCACACCTGGGCACACCTGTCACACACCTGGGCACACCTGAGATACACCTGGGCACACCTGAGATACACCTGGGCACACCTGAGATACACCTGAGATACACCTGGGCACACACCTGCAGCACCTGCAGCTCCTGCTCACCTTTGGGGGCTGGAAAACACACCTGTCACACACCTGGGCACACCTGAGATACACCTGGGCACACCTGTCACACACGTGAGATACACCTGGGCACACCTGAGATACACCTGGGCACACCTGAGATACACCTGAGCACACCTGTCACACACCTGTCACCTGGGCACACCTGAGATACACCTGGGCACACCTGTCACACACCTGGGCACACCTGCAGCATCTGCAGCTCTGCCTCGCCCTTGGGGGCTGCAGAACACACCTGTGACACACCTGTGACACACCTGGGCACAGGTGAGATCCCTCTCACACTGTCTCAGGTGTGTCTCAGGTATGTCCCAGGTGTGTCCCTCACCTGTCCCAGGTATGTCCCAGGTGTGTCCCTCACCTGTCCCAGGTGTGTCCCTCACCTGCCCAGGTGTGTCACTCACCCAGCCCATGGTACAGGACGTTGCCCTGGCCCAGGTGTGTCCCAGGTGTGTCCCAGGTGTGTCCCTCACCTGTCCCAGGTGTGTCCCTCACCTGTCCCAGGTGTGTCCCTCACCTGTCCCAGGTGTGTCCCAGGTGTGTCCCTCACCTGTCCCAGGTGTGTCTCAGGTGTGTCCCTCACCTGTCCCAGGTGTGTCACTCACCCAGCCCGTGGTACAGGACGTTGCCCTGGCCCAGGTGTGTCCCTCACCTGTCCCCAGGTGTGTCCCAGGTGTGTCCCTCACCTGTCCCAGGTGTGTCACTCACCCAGCCCGTGGTACAGGACGTTGCCCTGGCCCAGGTGTGTCCCAGGTGTGTCCCAGGTGTGTCCCAGGTGTGTCCCAGGTGTGCCCCTCACCTGTCCCAGGTGTGTCCCAGGTGTGTCCCTCACCTGCCCAGGTGTATCCCAGCTGTGTCCCAGGTGTGTCACTCACCCAGCCCGTGGTACAGGACGTTGCCCTGGCCCAGGTGTGTCCCTCACCTGTCCCAGGTGTGTCCCTCACCTGCCCAGGTGTGTCCCAGGTGTGTCCCTCACCTGCCCAGGTGTGTCACTCACCCAGCCCGTGGTACAGGACGTTGCCCTGGCCCAGCCCCTCCTCCACCTTCAGCAGCTGCAGCGTCAGACGGGGCCCGATCTGGGACAGGTGAGACGGGACAGGTGAGACAGACAGGGACAGGTGAGATGGGACAGGTGAGATGGGACAGGTGAGACAGGACAGGTGAGACAGGACAGGTGAGACAGAGACATGGACAGGGACAGGGACAGGGACAGGTGAGACATGGACAGGGACAGGTGACACAGAGAGGGACAGGTGACACAGGGACACAGGGACAGGTGAGATGGGGACAGGTGAGACATGGACAGGTGAGACAGTGTCCCCAGTGTCCCCTCAGTGTCCCCAACCCCTCCGATGTCCCCAATGTCCCCAATGTCCCCAATGTCCCCCCAATGTCCCCAGTGTCCCCAATGTCCCCAATGTCCCCCCAATGTCCCCAATGTCCCCAATGTCCCCAATGTCCCCAATGTCCCCCCAATGTCCCCAATGTCCCCAATGTCCCCCCAATGTCCCCAATGTCCCCAATGTCCCCCCAATGTCCCCAATGTCCCCCCAATGTCCCCAATGTCCCCAATGTCCCCAATGTCCCCAATCCCCCCAATGTCCCCAATGTCCCCAATGTCCCCAATGTCCCCAATGTCCCCCCAATCCCCCCAATGTCCCCAATGTCCCCAATCCCCCCAATGACCCCAATGTCCCCAATGTCCCCAAATGTCCCCAAATGTCCCCAATGTCCCCAATGTCCCCAATGTCCCCCCAATGTCCCCAATGTCCCCATGTCCCCCCAATGTCCCCAATGTCCCCAATGTCCCCCCAATGTCCCCAATGTCCCCCAATGTCCCCAATGTCCCCAATGTCCCCAACGTCCCCAATGTCCCCCCAATGTCCCCAATCCCCCCAATGTCCCCAATGTCCCCAATCCCCCCAATGTCCCCCCAATGTCCCCAATGTCCCCAATGTCCCCAATGTCCCAATGTCCCCCCAATGTCCCCAATGTCCCCCCAATGTCCCCCCAATGTCCCCCCAATGTCCCCACTGTCCCCAATGTCCCCAATGTCCCCCAATGTCCCCAATGTCCCCAACGTCTCCAATGTCCCCAATGCCCCCAATGTCCCCAATGTCCCCAATGTCCCCAATCCCCCCAATCCCCCCAATGTCCCCAATGTCCCCAATGTCCCCAATGTCCCCCAATCCCCCCAATGTCCCCAATGTCCCCCCAATGTCCCCAATGTCCCCCCAATGTCCCCCCAATGTCCCCAATGTCCCCAATGTCCCCAATCCCCCCCAATGTCCCCAATGTCCCCAGTGTCCCCAATCCCCCCAATGTCCCCAATGTCCCCCCAATGTCCCCAATGTCCCCAATGTCCCCCCAATGTCCCCAATGTCCCCAATGTCCCCAATGTCCCCAGTGTCCCCAATGTCCCCAATGTCCCCAATGTCCCCAATGTCCCCCCAATGTCCCCAATGTCCCCAATGTCCCCAATGTCCCCAATGTCCCCCCAATGTCCCCAATGTCCCCAATGTCCCCAATCCCCCCAATCCCCCCAATCCCCCCAATCCCCCCAATGTCCCCAATCCCCCCAATGTCCCCAATCCCCCCAATGTCCCCAATTTCCCCAATGTCCCCAATGTCCCCAATGCCCCCAATGCCCCCAATGTCCCCCCAATGTCCCCAATGTCCCCCCGATGTCCCCCCAATGTCCCCAATGTCCCCAATGTCCCCAATCCCCCCAATGTCCCCAATCCCCCCAATGTCCCCAATGTCCCCAATGTCCCCCCAATGTCCCAATGTCCCCAATGCCCCCAATCCCCCCAATGTCCCCAATGTCCCCAATGTCCCCAATCCCCCCAATGTCCCCAATGTCCCCAATGTCCCCCCAATGTCCCCAATGTCCCCGATGTCCCCAATGTCCCCAATGTCCCCAATGTCCCCAATGTCCCCAATGTCCCCAATGTCCCCAATGTCCCCCAATGTCCCCCCAATGTCCCCAATGTCCCCAATGTCCCCAGTGTCCCCAATGTCCCCAATGTCCCCAGTGTCCCCAATGTCCCCAATGTCCCCAATGTCCCCAATGTCCCCAATGTCCCCCCAATGTCCCCAATGTCCCCCCCAATGTCCCCAATGTCCCCGATGTCCCCAATGTCCCCAATGTCCCCAGTGTCCCCAATGTCCCCGATGTCCCCAATGTCCCCAGTGTCCCCTCAGTGTCACCTCGGTCAGCCTCACGGCGCTCTGTTGTGCGGCGCTGTTGCCGCGTCCGGCGCAGTTCTGCGCCAGTTCCAGAACGTTCTGGGGCCCGTCCGGCTCCGCCTCACTCTCGGACAGGGGAGCGTCCCTGAGGGGACACCGAGGGGACACACAGGTGACACACAGGTGACACGGGGACAGAGAGGTGACACAGGGACAGGGGACACACAGGTGACACAGGGACACGGAGGTGACACAGGGACAGGGACACAGGGACAGGGGCGCGTCCCTGCGGGGACACACGGGGACACACGGGTGACACAGAGGTGACACAGGGACAGGGACACAGGGACAGGGACACAGGGACAGGGACACAGGGACAGGGGCGCGTCCCTGCGGGGACACACGGGGGACACAGGTGACACAGGTGACACAGGGACAGGGGCGCGTCCCTGCGGGGACACACGGGGGACACAGGTGACACAGGTGACACAGGGACAGGGGCGCGTCCCTGCGGGGACACACGGGGGACACAGGTGACACAGGTGACACAGGGACAGGGGCGTGTCCCTGCGGGGACACACAGGGGACACACGGGTGACACGGGTGACACAGGGACAGGGGACACGGAGGTGACACGGAGGTGACACAGGGACACCGAGGGGACACAGGTGACACAGGGACACGGAGGTGACACAGGGACAGGCCACATCTCTGGAGATGTCCCCAGGTCTCGTGTCCCCTGTCCCCTCCAGCACCCTCAGGTACCCCAGCAGGCCACCCCTGTGTCCCCAAGGTGTCCCCAAATGTCCCCAAAGTGTCCCCGATGTCCCCAAAGTGTCCCCAAGGTGTCCCCAAATGTCCCTGTGATGTCCCCAATGTCCCCAAGGTGTCCCCGATGTCCCCAGATGTCCCCAAATGTCCCCAGTGTCCCACCCCATGAGGAGCTGCCTGACATCCCCAATGTCCGCAAGGTGTCCCCAATGTCCCCATGATGTCCCCAAGGTGTCCCCGATGTCCCCAGAGTGTCCCCAAATGTCCCCATGATGTCCCCAACGTCCCCATGATGTCCCCAAGGTGTCCCCGATGTCCTCAAGGTATCCCCAAATGTCCCTGTGATGTTCCCAAATGTCCCCATGATGTCCCCAAGGTGTCCCCAAATGTCCCCAGATGTCCCCAAATGTCCCCAGATGTCCCCAAATGTCCCCAGTGTCCCACCCCATGAGCAGCTGGCTGATATCCCCAATGTCCCGAAATGTCCCGAAATGTCCCCAACGTGTCCCCAAATATCCCTGTGATGTCCCCAAGGTGTCCCCAAATGTCCCCAATGTCCCACCCCATGAGCAGCTGGCCGATGTCCCCAATGTCCCCAAATGTCCCGAAATGTCCCTGTGATGTCCCCAAGGTGTCCCCAATATCCCCAAGGTGTCCCCAAATGTCCCCAGTGTTCCACCCCAGCAGCAGCTGGCTGATGTCGTCCATCCGGGCCAAGTTCGGGAATTTCTCCTGGAGAATTTTCCGGATCCCCCGGCTGAGCCCCACGGGCACCACCTGGACACTGCTGGGATGGGGGAAAAACACGGGAATTTGGGAAAAATTCATGGAAAAATGGGAAAAAAAACCCGGAAAAACGGGGAAAAATCATGGAAAAAGAAGGGAAAAATCATGGGGAAAAAATGGGGGAAATCATGGAAAAACCAGATAAAAAATGGGAATGCGGGAAGGGGGAACCACCTGGACACTGCTGGGATGGGGGAAAAAAACGGGAATTTGGGAAAAATTCATGGAAAAATGGGAAAAAAAAAAACCCGGAAAAACGGGGAAAATAATGGGAAAAGAACAGGAAAATCATGGGAAAAAAAATGGGGGAAATCATGGAAAAATCAGAAAAAAAATGGGAATGCGGGAAGGGGGAACCACCTGGACACTGCTGGGATGGGGGAAAAAACGGGAATTTGGGAAAAATTCATGGAAAAATGGGGAAAAAAATAACGGAAAAAACGGGAAAAATCATGGAAAAAGAAGGGAAAAATCATGGGGAAAAAAAATGGGGGAAATCATGGAAAAACCAGAAAAAAAATGGGAATGCGGGAAGGGGGAACCATCTGGACACTGCTGGGATGGGGAAAAAAAACGGGAATTTGGGAAAAATTCATGGAAAAATGGGAAAAAAAATAACGGAAAAACAGGGGAAAATCATGGAAAAAGAAGGGAAAAATCATGGGGAAAAAAATGGGGGAAATCATGGAAAAACCAGAAAAAAAATGGGAATGTGGGAAGGGGGAACCACCTGGACACTGCTGGGATGGGGAAAAACGGGAAAAATCAGGGGAAAATCATGGAAAAATCGTGGAAAATGGGAATGTGGGAATGGGGAACCACCTGGAAAAATCACGGAAAAATCAGGGGAAATAATGGAAAAAACGGGAATGTGGGAGTTCAGAAAATTGGGAAATTCAGGAATTCAGAAGTTTGGGAATTGAGGACTGGGAATTTGGGAATTCAGGACATTGGGACTTCAGGAATTTGGGAATTCGGGATGTTGAGAATTCAGGGATTTGGGAATTTCGGATTTCAGGACTTTGGGAATTCAAGACTTTGGAAATTTGGGAATTCAGGAATTCGGGATTTTGGGAATTCAGGAATGTGGGAATGTGAGAATTCAGGATTTGGGGAATTCAGGAATTCGGGATTTTGGGAATTCAGGAATTTGGGAATGTGAGAATTCAAGATTTTGGGAATTCAGGATTTCAGGACTTTGGGAATTCAGGAATTTGGGAATTCAGGACTTTGGGAATTCAAGACTTTGGAAATTTGGGAATTCAGGAATTTGGGATTTTGGGAATTCAGGATTTTGGGAATTCAGGAATTCGTGATTTTGAGAATTCAGGAATTTGGGAATTCAGGAATTCAGGAATTCGGGATTTTGGGAATTCAGGAATTTGGGAATTTGGGAATTCAGGAATTCGGGATGTTGGGAATTCAGGAATGTGGGAATGTGAGAATTCAGGATTTTGGGAATTCAGGAATTCGGGATTTTGGGAATTCAGGAATTTGGGAATTCAGGAATTCGGGATTTTGGGAATTCAGGATTTTGGGAATTCAGGAATTTGGGATTTTGGGAATTCAGGAATTTGGTAATTCAGGAATTTGGGATTTTGGGAATTCAGGATTTTGGGAATTCAGGAATTCGGGATTTTGGGAATTCAGGAATTCGGGAATTCAGGAATTTGGGATTTTGGGAATTCAGGATTTTGGGAATTCAGGAATTCGGGATTTTGGGAATTCAGGAATTTGGGATTTTGGGAATTCAGGAATTTGGGAATTCAGGAATTCGGGATGTTGGGAATTCAGGAATGTGGGAATGTGAGAACTCAGGATTTTGGGAATTCAGGAATTCAGGATTTTGGGAATTCAGGAATTTGGGAATTCAGGAATTTGGGAATTCAGGAATTTGGGATTTTGGGAATTCAGGAATTCGGGATTTTGGGAATTCAGGAATTTGGGAATTCAGGAATTTGGGATTTTGGGAATTCAGGAATTTGGGATTTTGGGAATTCAGGAATGTGGGAATGTGAGAATTCAGGATTTTGGGAATTCAGGAATTCGGGATTTTGGGAATTCAGGAATTTGGGAATTCAGGAATTCGGGATTTTGGGAATTCAGGAATTTGGGAATTCAGGAATTCGGGATTTTGGGAATTCAGGAATTTGGGAATGTGAGAATTCAGGATTTTGGGAATTCAGGACTTTGGTAATTCAGGACATTGGGACTTCAGGAATTTGGGAATTTGGGATGTTGGAAATTCAGGGATTTGGGAATTCAGGACTTTGGGAATTCAGGAATTCGGGATGTTGGGAATTTCAGATTTCAGGACTTTGGGAATTCAGGAATTTGGGAATTCAGGACTTCAGGACTTTGGGAATTCAGGAATGTGGGAATGTGAGAATTCAGGATTTTGGGAATTCAGGAATTTGGGAATTCAGGATTTCAGGACTTTGGGAATTCAGGAATTTGGGAATTCAGGAATTTGGGAATTCGGGAATTGGGCCTGTCCCTCACTAGTGGCGGAATTCCAGGCGCTGCGCGTCGGCGTCGTGGGAGATCAGCAAACAGCGGCGGATGGAATTCAGATTGACCTGCGGGAAAATCCCAAAAATCCCAAAACAAATCCCCCAAATCCCAAAAATTATCCCCCAAATCCCAAAAATCCCCCAAATCCCTGCTCCCAGATCCCAAATCCCAGCTCCCAAATTCCCAGATAATTCCTGGACAATCCCCAGATAATTCCAGGTAAAATTCCGGGATAATTCCCTGATAATTTCCAGATTCAATCCCTGAACAATTCCCAAATAATTCCAGGATAATTCCCAGATAACCCCCGAATAAACCCCAAATAACTCCTGAATAAATCCCAAATAATTCCCCAATAATTCCTGGATATTTCCCAGATAATTCTCGGATAAATCCCAAAAAAAAAAATCCTGAATAAATCCCAAATAATTCCTGAATAATTCCCGGATACTTCCCAAATAATTCCAAGATAATTCCTGGATAATTCCCAGATGATTCCGGCTAAAATTCCAAGATAATTCCCAGATAATCCCTGAATAAATCTCAAAAAAAAAAATCCTGAATAATTCCCAAATAATTCCCAGGTAATTCCTGGACAACTCCCAGTTAATTCCCATAAAATTCCAGCTAAAATTCCGGATAAAACTCCAGGATAATTCCGAGATAATTTCCAGATAATCCCCGAATAAATCCCAAACAACCCCCGAATAAATTGCAAATAATTCCCGAATAAATCCCAAATAATTCCCGAATATTTCCCGGATATTTCCCAAATAATTCCAAGATAATTCCTAGATAATTCCCAGATAATAATTCCGGCTAAAATTCCAAGATAAAACTCCAGGATAATTCCGAAATAATTTCCAGATAATCCCCGAATAAATCCCAAACAACCCCTGAATAAATCGCAAATAATTCCCAAATAAATCCCAAATAATTCCTGAATATTTCCCGGATATTTCCCAAATAATTCCAAGATAATTCCTAGATAATTCCCAGATAATTCCAGCTAAAATTCCGGATAAAACTCCAGGATAATTCCGAGATAATTTCCAGATAATCCCCAAATAAATCCCAAACAACCCCTGAATAAATCGCAAATAATTCCCGAATAAATCCCAAATAATTCCTGAATATTTCCCCGCTAATCCCGGATATTTCCCGGCTAACTCCAGGCTGGAATCCCGGGATTTTCTGGGAATTCCCGGCTGACCTTGTGGACGTTGAGGGCCGGGAACATCCCCTGGAACATCCCGGCCATCAACTTCAGCTGCGGCTGCCGCGCCCCGAAATTGCCCAAAACCAGCAGGGGCGGGTGCCGGAACTGCTGCTCGTGCATGCGGTGCCTGCGGAGCGAGGAGACCACGTCCCGGACCAGGGAATACTGGAAAAAATGGGAAAAACGGGAAAAGACGGGATTAAACCCTGAAAAAATCCCATTAAAATAGCCAAAATCCCATTAAAATAGCCAAAATCCCATTAAAATCCCATAAAACTGCTGCTCGTGCATGCGGTGCCTGCGGAGGGAAGAAACCACGTCCTGAACTAAGGAATACTGGAAAAAACGGGAAAAACGGGAAAAACGGGAAAAATGGGATTAAACCCTGAAAAAATCCCATTAAAATAGCCAAAATCCCATTAAAATAGCCAAAATCCCATTAAAATCCCATAAAACTGCTGCTCGTGCATGCGGTGCCTGCGGAACGAGGAGACCACGTCCCGGACCAGGGAATACTGGAAAAATGGGAAAAACGGGAAAAAACGGGATTAAATCCTGAAAAAATCCCATTAAAATAGCCAAAATCCCATTAAAATAGCCAAAATCCCATTAAAATAGCCAAAATCCCATTAAAATCCCATAAAACTGCTGCTCGTGCATGCGGTGCCGGCGCAGCGAGGAGACCACGTCCCGGACCAGGGAATACTGGAAAAATGGGAAAAACGGGAAAAAACGGGATTAAACCCCGAAAAAATCCCATTAAAATAGCCAAAATCCCATTAAAATAGCCAAAATCCCATTAAAATCCCATAAAACTGCTGCTCGTGCATGTGGTGCCTGCAGAGGGAAGAAACCACGTCCCGAACTAAGGAATACTCTAAAAAATGGGAAAAATGGGAAAAAACGAGATTAAACCTTGAAAAAATCCCATTAAAATAGCCAAAATCCCCATTAAAATAGCCAAAATCCCATTAAAATCCCATAAAACTGCTGCTCGTGCATGCGGTGCCTGCGGAGCGAGGAGACCACGTCCCGAACCAGGGAATACTGGAAAAACGGGAAAAACGGGAAAAAACGGGATTAAACCCTGAAAAAATCCCATTAAAATAGCCAAAATCTCATTAAAATAGCCAAAATTCCCATTAAAATAGCCAAAATCCCATTAAAATAGCCAAAATCCCATTAAAATAGCCAAAATCCCATTAAAATAGCCAAAATCCCATTAAAATCCCATAAAACTGCTGCTCGTGCATGCGGTGCCTGCGGAGCGAGGAGACCACGTCCCGAACCAGGGAATACTGGAAAAATGGGAAAAATGGGAAAAAACGGGAAAAAACCCTGAAAAAATCCCATTTAAATAGCCAAAATCCCATTAAAATAGCCAAAATCCCATAAAATCCCATAAAACTGCTGCTCGTGCATGCGGTGCCTGCGCAGCGAGGAGACCACGTCCCGGACCAGGGAATACTGGAAAAACGGGAAAAACGGGAAAAACGGGATTAAACCCTGAAAAAATCCCATTAAAATAGCCAAAATCCCCATTAAAATAGCCAAAATTCCATTAAAATAGCCAAAATCCCATTAAAATCCCATAAAACTGCTGCTCGTGCATGCGGTGCCAGCGGAGGGAAGAAACCACGTCCCGAACTAAGGAATACTGTAAAAAATGGGAAAAATGGGAAAAAACGGGATTAAACTCTGAAAAAATCTCATTAAAATAGCCAAAATCCCATTAAAATAGCCAAAATCCCATTAAAATAGCCAAAATCCCATTAAAATCCCATAAAACTGCTGCTCGTGCATGCGGTGCCTGCGGAGCGAGGAGACCACGTCCTGAACTAAGGAATACTGGAAAAACGGGAAAAACGGGAAAAAACGGGATTAAACCCTGAAAAAATCCCATTAAAATAGCCAAATTCCCCATTAAAATAGCCAAAATCCCATTAAAATCCCATAAAACTGCTGCTCGTGCATGCCGTGCCTGCGGAGCGAGGAGACCACGTCCCGAACCAGGGAATACTGGAAAAACGGGAAAAACGGGAAAAAACGGGATTAAACCCTGAAAAAATCCCATTAAAATAGCCAAATTCCCCATTAAAATAGCCAAAATCCCATTAAAATAGCCAAAATCCCATTAAAATCCCATAAAACTGCTGCTCGTGCATGCGGTGCCGGCGGAGCGAGGAGACCACGTCCCGGACCAGGGAATACTGTAAAAAATGGGAAAAACGGGAAAAATGGGATTAAACCCTGAAAAAATCCCATTAAAATAGCCAAAATCCCCATTAAAATAGCCAAAATCCCATTAAAATAGCCAAAATCCCATAAAATCCCATAAAACTGCTGCTCGTGCATGCGGTGCCTGCGGAGGGAAGAAACCACGTCCCGAACTAAGGAATACTGGAAAAACGGGAAAAAATGGGATTAAACCCTGAAAAAATCCCATTAAAATAGCCAAAATCCCCATTAAAATAGCCAAAATCCCATTAAAATAGCCAAAATCCCCATTAAAATCCCATAAAACTGCTGCTCGTGCATGCGGTGCCTCCGGAGCGAGGAGACCACATCCCGAACCAGGGAATACTGGAAAAACAGGAAAAACGGGAAAAAACGGGATTAAACCCTGAAAAAATCCCATTAAAATAGCCAAAATCCCATTAAAATAGCCAAAATCCCATAAAATCCCATAAAACTGCTGCTCGTGCATGCGGTGCCTGCGGAGCGAGGAGACCACGTCCCGAACCGGGGAATACTGGAAAAACGGGAAAAACGGGAAAAACGGGAAAAAACCCTGAAAAAATCCCATTAAAATAGCCAAAATCCCCATTGAAATAGCCAAAATCCCATTAAAAGAGCCAAAATCCCCATTAAAATAGCCAAAATCCCATTAAAATAGCCAAAATCCCATAAAATCCCATAAAACCCCCAGAATTGCTGCTCGTGCATGCGGTGACGCCGCAGCGAGGAGACCACGTCTCAAACTAAGGAATACTGGAAAAAAATGGGAAAAATGGGATCAAATCCTGGAAAAACCCCATAAATCCTGTGAAATTCTATTAAAAAATCCCATTAAATCCCATTAAAATTCCATAAAATCCCATAAAAAGTCCCCAGGACTGCTCAGGCTGGCGGTGCCTGCGCTGTGCCGAGACCACGAAATGGGGGAAAAATGGGAAAAAAATGGGATTAAATCCTGAAAAAAATCCCGAAAAACCTGTGAAATCCCATAAAAATCTCATAAAATCCCATAAAAATCCCATAAAAACCCCATAAAATCCCAAAAAACCCCAAAATCTGCGCAGTGCCTGCAGAGGGCTGAGACCATATCCGGAACCAGGGAGTGCTGGAAAATGGGAAGAAATGGGATTAAATCCTGGAAATATCCACGAAAACAGCCAAAAGCCCAATAAAATTCCATAAAGTTCCATAAAATCCCATAAAATCCCCCAACTGCTGCCCCTGAAATTCCCGAAATTCCCGGAATTCCCGGACGCACCTGAAGCACTTTGAAGGTCAGGGTGGGACCCCCCGGCAGCCGGAAAAGTTTCTGGGAAGGAGAAAAGTGGGAAAATCCCACCAAAAATTCCATTAAAATCCTGGGAAAATCCCAGAAAAATCCCGGGGAAATCCCAGAAAAATTCTGGGAAATATCCCAGGAAAAATTCCAGAATTAAACACAGAAAAATCGCAGAAAAAAATTCTGGAATAATCTCAGGAAAATCCTGGGAAAATCCCAGAAATATTCCAGATAAATCCTGGGGAAATCTCAGGAAAAATCCCAGAAAAAAAATCCCAGAATAATCCCGTAAAAATCCTGGGAAAATCCCGGAATAAACCCATAAAAATCCTGGAAAAATCCTTGAAAAATTCTGGGGAAACCCCAGAAAAACCCCGGAAAAATCCCAGAAAAATCCCATTAAACTCATGGGAAAAATCCCAGAATAAACCACAGAAAAATCCCGGATAAATCCTGAGAAAATCCCATAAAAATCCCAAAAAATCCCATAAAAATCCCAAAAAAATCCCATAAAAATCCCGGAAAACCCCAAAGCCCGATCCCGGACCCATCAGAGCGTTTACTTTGGGATCAATCACAGAATTTGGGATCAATCATGGGAAATTCTTCATCCCCTGGGTCCGGGCAGGGTCGGGAGCCCCAAATTCCCGGAATTCCCGGAAAATTCCCGGAAAATTCCCGGAAAATTCCCGAATTCTCACCAGGTTGATCCCGGTCTGGGATTTGCTCAGCACCAGGAACTGGGAGACCCCCAAGGGCCCGGCCACGGCCACCAGATCCCGCAGGGAATTGCTCCGGCGCACCTGGAAAACCCCAAATCCCCCATCCCAAAATTCCTCAATCCCAAATCCCCGAGATCCCAAAATTCCTCAATCCCAAATCCCCGAGATCCCAAATGCCCGAGATCCCAAATCCCTGAATCCCTAATTCCCTGAATCCCAAAAATCCTGAATCCCAAATCCCTGAGATCCCAAATTCCTGGAATCCCAAATTCTCCGATCCCAAAACTCCTCAATCCCAAATCCCTGAATCCCAAATCCCCGAGATCCCAAAATTCTTCAATCCCAAATCCCCTGATCCAAAAAATCCTGAATCCCAAATCCCTGAGATCCCAAATTCCTGGGATCCCAAATTCTCCGATCCCAAAAATCCTGAATCCCAAATCCCCGAGATCCCAAATCCCCGACATCCCTAATTCCCAAGGTTCCAAAAATCCTGAATCCCAAATGCCTGAATCCCAAAATTCCTGAATCCCAAAATTCCTGAATCCCAAAATTCCTGAATCCCAAATCCCTGAGATCCCAAATTCCTGGGATCCCAAATCCCTGTGTTCCCAAATCCCAGAGATCCCAATATCCCCAGGTGTCCCAGGTGTGTCCCAAACGTCCCCAGGTGTGTCCCCAATGTCCCAAATGTCCCCAGGTGTCCCCAGGTGTGTCCCCAGGTGTGTCCCCAATGTCCCCAGGTGTGTCCCCAATGTCCCCAATGTCCCCAGGTGTGTCCCCAGGTGTGTCCCCAATGTCCCCAGGTGTGTCCCCAATGTCCCCAATGTCCCCAGGTGTGTCCCCAATGTCCCCAGGTGTGTCCCCAGGTGTGTCCCAGGTGTCCCCAAATGTCCCCAGGTGTGTCCCAAATGTCCCCAGGTGTGTCCCCAATGTCCCCAATGTCCCTCAGGTGTGTCCCAGGTGTGTCTGTCCCCAATGTCCCCAATGTCCCCAGGTGTGTCCCAAATGTCCCCAGGTGTCCCCAGGTGTGTCCCCAATGTCCCCAGGTGTGTCCCAGGTGTCCCAAATGTCCCCAGGTGTGTCCCAGGTGTCCCCAGGTGTCCTCAGGTGTGTCCCAGGTGCCACCTGCAGGTTCCTGTCTGTGAAAGGCTCCAGGACCCTCCTCAGGTCACTCCTGGGGCCATTCCCAGTGTCCCAAATCCCAATTCCCAATGTCCCAAATGTCCCCAGGTGTGTTCCCAGGTGTGTCCCCAACGTCCCCAGGTGTCCCCAGTGTCCCCAGGTGTGTCCCCAGGTGTGTCCCAGGTGTGTCCCAAATGTCCCCAAATGTCCCCAGGTGTGTCTCTCAGGTGTCCCAAATGTCCCCAATGTCCCTCAGGTGTGTCCCCAATGTCCCCAGGTGTGTCCCAGGTGTCCCCAGGTGTGTCCCAGTGTCCCCAGGTGTGTCCCCAATGTCCCCAGGTGTGTCCCAAATGTCCCCAGGTGTCCCCAGGTGTGTCCCAGGTGTCCCAAATGTCCCCAGGTGTGTCCCAGGTGTCCCAAATGTCCCCAGGTGTGTCCCAGTGTCCCCAGGTGTGTCCCCAATGTCCCCAGGTGTGTCCCAAATGTCCCCAGGTGTGTCCCAGGTGTCCCAAATGTCCCCAGGTGTGTCCCAAATGTCCCCAGGTGTGTCCCAAATGTCCCCAGGTGTGTCCCCAATGTCCCCAGGTGTCCCCAGGTGTGCCCCAAATGGCCCCAAATGTCCCCAGGTGTGTCCCAGGTGTCCCAGGTGTGTCCCAGGTGCCACCTGCAGGTTCCGGGCCGTGAAGGGCTCCAGGACCCTCCTGGGGCCTTTCCTGGGGCCATTCCCAATGTCCCAAATCCCAATTCCCAGTGTCCCAAATGTCCCCAGGTGTGTCCCAGGTGTCTCTCAGGTGTCCCAAACGTCCCCAGGTGTCCCAAACGTCCCCAGGTGTGTCCCCAGGTGTGTCCCCAACGTCCCCAGGTGTCCCCAGGTGTGTCCCCAACGTCCCCAGGTGTGTCCCAAATGTCCCCAGGTGTGTCCCAAACATCCCCAGGTGTCCCCAGGTGTGTCCCCAGGTGTGTCCCCAACATCCCCAGGTGTGTCCCAAATGTCCCCAATGTCCCCAGGTGTGTCCCCAATGTCCCCAAATGTCCCCAGGTGTCTCTCAGGTGTCCCAAACGTCCCCAGGTGTGTCCCAAATGCCCCCAGGTGTGTCCCAAACGTCCCCAGGTGTCTCTCAGGTGTGTCCCCAATGTCCCCAGGTGTGTCCCAGGTGCCACCTGCAGGTTCCGGGCTGTGAAGGGCTCCAGGACCCTCCTGAGGTCACTCCTGGGGCCATTCCCAATGTCCCAAATCCCAATTCCCAGTGTCCCCAAATGTCCCCAGGTGTCCCCAGGTGTCCCCAGGTGTGTCCCAAATGCCCCCAGGTGTGTCCCCAGGTGTCCCCAGGTGTGTCCCAGTGTCCCCAGGTGTGTCCCAAATGTCCCCAGGTGTGTCCCCAAGTGTGTCCCAGTGTCCCCAGGTGTGTCCCAAATGTCCCCAGGTGTGTCCCCAAGTGTGTCCCAGGTGTCCTCAGGTGCCACCTGCAGGCTCCAGGACCCTCCTGAGGTCACTCCTGGGGCCATTCCCAATGTCCCAAATCCCAATTCCCAGTGTCCCAAATGTCCCCAGGTGTCTCTTAGGTGTGTCCCAAACATCCCCAGGTGTCTCTCAGGTGTCCCCAGGTGTCCCCAGGTGTGTCCCAAATGTCCCCAATGTCCCCAGGTGTGTCCCCAGGTGTGTCCCAAATGTCCCCAGGTGTGTCCCAGGTGTGTCCCCAACATCCCCAGGTGTGTCCCCAATGCCCTCAGGTGTGTCCCAGGTGTCCCCAGGTGTGTCCCAGGTGTGTCCCCAGGTGCCACCTGCAGGTTCCGGGACCCTCCTCAGGTCACTCCTGGGGCCATTCCCAATGTCCCAAATCCCCATTCCCAGTGTCCCCAGGTGTCCCCAGGTGTCGCCAGGTGTCCCCAGGTGTGTCCCCAGGTGTCCCCAGGTGTGTCCCAGGTGCCACCTGCAGGTTCCGGGCCGTGAAGGGCTCCAGGACCCTCCTGGGGCCTTTCCTGGGGCCATTCCCAATGTCCCAAATCCCAATTCCCAATGTCCCAAATGTCCCCAGGTGTCCCCAGGTGTGTCCCAAATGTCCCCAGGTGTCTCTCAGGTGTGTCCCAGGTGTGTCCCCAATGTCCCCAGGTGTGTCCCCAAATGTCCCCAGGTGTGTCTCAGGTGTCCCAAACGTCCCCAGGTGTGTCCCAGGTGTGTCCCAATGTCCCCAGGTGTGTCCCAGGTGTCCCCAGGTGTGTCCCCAGGTGCCACCTGCAGGTTCCGGGCTGTGAAGGGCTCCAGGACCCTCCTGAGGTCACTCCTGGGGCCATTCCCAGTGTCCCAAATCCCAATTCCCAGTGTCCCCAAATGTCCCCAGGTGTGTCCCCAATGTCCCCAGGTGTGTCCCCAGGTGTGTCCCCAACATCCCCAGGTGTGTCCCAAATGTCCCCAGGTGTGTCCCCAATGTCCCCAGGTGCCACCTGCAGGTTCCGGGACCCTCCTGAGGTCACTCCTGGGGCCATTCCCAATGTCCCAAATCCCAATTCCCAATGTCCCCAATGCCCCCAGGTGTGTCTCAAACGTTCCCAGGTGTGTCCCAAATGCCCCCAGGTGTGTCCCAGTGTCCCCAGGTGTGTCCCAGGTGTCCCCAGGTGCCACCTGCAGGTTCCGGGCCGTGAAGGGCTCCAGGACCCTCCTCAGGTCTCTGCAGAGGCTCCGGAGGCTCCTCCCGGGGCGGCCGCGCGGGAACACGAAGGAGTGAGGGACGGACCCGAATTCCTGCTGGGAGCGCTGCCGGGCCTGCGCCCGCTGCACCCGCTGGAACCGGCTCTGGGGATGGAAAATATCCCAAATTATCCTAAATTATCCTAAAATTATCCGAAATTATCCCAAAATTATCCTAAATTATCCCGAAATCCCAGCCCCCACAGCAGGAACACGCAGGAATGAGGGACGGACCCGAACTGCTGCTGGGAGCGCTGCCGGGCCTGCGCCCGCTGCACCCGCTGGAACCGGCTCTGGGAGAGAAAATATATCCTAAATTATCCTAAAATATCCCAAAATATCTGAAAATTATCCCAAAATTATCCGAAATTATCCCGAAATCCCAGCCCCCACAGCAGGAACACGAAGCAGTGAGGGACGGATCCGAACTGCTGCTGGGAGCGCTGCCGGGCCTGCGCCCGCTGCACCCGCTGGAACCGGCTCTGGGGATGGAAAATATCCCAAATTATCCGAAATTATCCTAAAATATCCAAAATTATCCGAAATTATCCCAAAATTATCCCGAAATCCCAGCCCCCACAGCAGGAACACGAAGGAATGAGGGACGGAGCCGAATTCCTGCTGGGAGCGCTGCCGGGCCTGCGCCCGCTGCACCCGCTGGAACCGGCTCTGAGAGAGAGAAATATCCCAAAATATCCTAAATTATCCCAAAATATCCGAAATTATCCGAAATTATCCCGAAATCCCAGCCCCTGTGGCAGGAACACGAAGGAATGAGGGACGGACCCGAATTCCTGCTGGGAGCGCTGCCGGGCCTGCGCCCGCTGCACCCGCTGGAACCGGCTCTGGGGATGGAAAATATCCCAAATTATCCCAAATTATCCTAAAATATCCGAAATTATCCCAAAATTATCCCGAAATCCCAGCCCCTGTGGCGGGAACACAAAGGAGTGAGGGACGGAGCCGAACTGCTGCTGGGAGCGCTGCCGGGCCTGCGCCCGCTGCACCCGCTGGAACCGGCTCTGGGAGAGAGAAATATCCTAAATTATCCAAAAAAATCCGAAATTATCCCGAAATTATCCCGAAATTATCCCGAAATCCCAGCCCCTGTGGCGGGAACACGAAGGAATGAGGGACGGATCCGAACTGCTGCTGGGAGCGCTGCCGGGCCTGCGCCCGCTGCACCCGCTGGAACCGGCTCTGAGAGAGGGAAATATCCTAAATTATCCTAAAATATCCCAAAATATTCACTAAAATATCCGAAATTATCCCGAAATCCCAGCCCCTGTGGCAGGAACACGAAGGAGTGAGGGACGGATCCGAACTGCTGCTGGGAGCGCTGCCGGGCCTGCGCCCGCTGCACCCGCTGGAACCGGCTCTGGGCATGGAAAATATCCCAAAAATATCCTAAATTATCCCAAATTATCCCAAAATATTCACTAAAATATCCGAAATTATCCCGAAATCCCAGCCCCCACAGCAGGAACACGAAGGAATGAGGGACGGACCCGAACTGCTGCTGGGAGCGCTGCCGGGCCTGCGCCCGCTGCACCCGCTGGAACCGGCTCTGGGCATGGAAAATATCCTAAATTATCCTAAATTATCCTAAAATATCCCGAAATTATCCTGAAATTATCCCGAAATCCCAGCCCCCACAGCGGGAACACACAGGAGTGAGGGACGGACCCGAATTCCTGCTGGGAGCGCTGCCGGGCCTGCGCCCGCTGCACCCGCTGGAACCGGCTCTGGGGATGGAAAATATCCCAAATTATCCGAAATTATCCTAAAATATCCAAAATTATCCGAAATTATCCCAAAATTATCCCGAAATCCCAGCCCCCACAGCAGGAACACGAAGGAATGAGGGACGGAGCCGAATTCCTGCTGGGAGCGCTGCCGGGCCTGCGCCCGCTGCACCCGCTGGAACCGGCTCTGAGAGAGAGAAATATCCCAAAATATCCTAAATTATCCCAAAATATCCGAAATTATCCGAAATTATCCCGAAATCCCAGCCCCTGTGGCAGGAACACGAAGGAATGAGGGACGGACCCGAATTCCTGCTGGGAGCGCTGCCGGGCCTGCGCCCGCTGCACCCGCTGGAACCGGCTCTGGGGATGGAAAATATCCTAAATTATCCTAAATTATCCCAAATTATCCCGAAATTATCCCAAAATTATCCCGAAATTATCCCGAAATCCCAGCCCCCACGGCAGGAACACGAAGGAATGAGGGACGGACCCGAACTCCTGCTGGGAGCGGCTCTGGGGATGGAAAAATATCCCAAAATATCCCAAAATATCCTAAAATATCCTAAAATATTGCAAAATTACCCCCAAATATTCCTGAATTATCCCAAAATATCCAAAATTATCCCGAAATTATCCCGAAATCCCAGCCCCCACAGCAGGAACACGAAGGAGTGAGGGACGGATCCGAACTGCTGCTGGGAGCGGCTCTGGGGATGGAAAATATCCCAAAATATCCTAAAATATTCCAAAAATATCCCAAAATATTCCTGAATTATCCCAAAATATCCGAATTTATCCCGAAATTATCCCGAAATCCCAGCCCCTGTGGCAGGAACACACAGGAGTGAAGGATGGAGCTGAACTGCTGCTGGGAGCGGCTCTGGGGATGGAAAATATCCCAAAATATCCTAAAATATCGTCAAATATTGCAAAATTATCCCAAAATATTCTTGAATTATCCCAAAATATCCTAAATTATCCCAAAATATCCCGAAATTATCCTAAATTATCCCGAAATCCCAGCCCCCACGGCAGGAACACACAGGAGTGAGGGATGGAGCCAAACTCCTGCTGGGAGCGGCTCTGGGGATGGAAAAATATCCCAAAATATCCCAAAATATCCTAAAATATCCTAGAATATTCCAAAATTATCCCAAAATATCCGAAATTATCCGAAAATTATCCCGAAATTCCAGCCCCTGTGGCAGGAACATGAAGGAATGAGGGACAGAGCCGAATTCCTGCTGGGAGCGGCTCTGGGGATGGAAAATATCCTAAAATATCCTAAAATATTGCAAAATTATCCCAAAATATTCCTGAATTATCCCAAAATGTTCCTAAATTATCCCAAAATATCCAAAATTATCCCGAAATCCCAGCCCCTGTGGCAGGAACACACAGGAGTGAAGGATGGAGCTGAACTGCTGCTGGGAGCGGCCCTGGGGATGGAAAAATATCCCAAAATATCCTAAAATATCCTAGAATATTCCAAAATTATCCCAAAATATTCCTGAATTATCCCAAAATATCCGAAATTATCCCAAATTATCCCAAATTATCCTGAAATCCCAGCCCCTGTGGCAGGAACACACAGGAGTGAGGGACGGATCCGAATTCCTGCTGGGAACGGCTCTGGGGATGGAAAAATATCCCAAAATATCCTAAATTATCCCAAAATATTTCAAAATTATCCCAAAATATTCCTGAATTATCCCAAAATATCCTAAATTATCCCAAATTTATCCCGAAATCCCAGCCCCTGTGGCAGGAACACGCAGGAATGAGGGACGGATCCGAACTCCTGCTGGGAACGGCTCTGGGGATGGAAAATATCCCAAAATATCCTAAAATATCCCAAAATATTTCAAAATTATCCCAAAATATCCGAAATTATCCCAAAATATCCAAAATTATCCCGAAATTATCCCGAAATCCCAGCCCCTGTGGTGGGAACACGGGACGGACCCGAACTCCTGCTGGGAGCGGCTCTGGGGATGGAAAAAAATCCTAAAATATCCTAAAATATTCCAAAATTATCCCAAAATATTCCAAAATATCCCAAAATATCCCGAATTTATCCCGAAATTATCCCGAAATCCCAGCCCCTGTGGCAGGAACACGCAGGAGTGAGGGACGGATCCGAATTCCTGCTGGGAACGGCTCTGGGGATGGAAAATATCCTAAAATATCCTAAAATATCCTAAAATATTGCAAAATTATCCCAAAATATTCCTGAATTATCCCAAAATATCCGAAATTATCCCGAAATTATCCTGAAATCCCAGCCCCCATGGCAGGAGCCGAACTGCTGCTGGGAACGGCTCTGGGGATGGAAAAATATCCTAAAATATCCTAAAATATCCTAAAATATTTCAAAATTATCCCAAAATATTCCAAATTATCCCAAAATATCCTAAATTATCCCAAAATTATCCCAAATTATCCCGAAATCCCAGCCCCCACAGCAGGAACACGCAGGAGTGAGGGACGGATCCGAACTCCTGCTGGGAGCGGCTCTGGGGATGGAAAATATCCTAAAATATCCCAAAATATCCTAAAATATTGCAAAATTATCCCAAAATATTCCTAAATTATCCCAAAATATCCGAAATTATCCCGAAATTATCCCAAAATCCCAGCCCCTGTGGCGGGAACACGCAGGAATGAGGGACGGATCCGAACTCCTGCTGGGAACATCCCTGGGGATGGAAAATATCCCAAAATATCCCAAAATATCCTAAAATATTGCAAAATTATCCCAAAATATTCCTGAATTATCCTAAAATATCCTAAATTATCCCGAAATATCCCGGGATTTGGGAATTCCAGGAGCCCAGATCCCAAATTTCCACCCGGAGACCCCAAAATCTCTGGAATTCTGCCACCCTCTGTTCGAAAATTCCCATTTTTTTGCTTCAAAACGGGCTGGAAATCCCAAATTTTGGGAGCCAAATTCCCGGTTTTCCAAAAAATAGGGAATGGAAACCTGAAATTTTGGGGATTTTGGGAGCCCAGATCCCGATTTTCCCTCTTGGGGGGAGAAAATTCCCGAAATCCCAAAAATTCCAAGACCCCAAAGCCTAAAAAACCCCCAAAATCCTGGAAAAAACCAAAATCCTGAGGAAAAAACCCCAAAAATCTGGGAAAAAACCCAAAAATCCTGGGGAAAAAAAATCCTGGAAATAAATCCCCAAAATTTTTGGAAAAACCCAAAAATTCCTGAGGGAACCCCTGGGAAACCCCAAAATTTGGGAAGACCGAGACCCCCTCGCCCCGAAAATTCCCAAAATTTGGGGATTTTTTTCCCCCTCGCAATTCCCAAATTTTGCGATTTTTCCCTTCAAAATTCCCAAAATTTGGGCATTTTTTCCCCTCAAGATTCCCAAAATTTGGGATTTTTTTTCCCCTCCCGCCGCTTTTTTCCCCCCTCCCGCCTCATTGCCTCTCCCGCCGTTTTTTCCGCTTTCCCGGTTTTTTTTTTCCGTTTTTTCCCGGTTTTTTCCCGATTTTTCCCAGTTTTTTTCCCGGTTTTTCCCCGATTTTTCCCAAATTTTTTTCCATTTTTTTCCCAGTTTTCCCCGGGTTTTTTCCGTTTTTTTCCCCCCTGCCGCCTCACTGTCGCTCCCGCCGCCGCCCTGAGCCCTCCCCCTCCCCGTTTTTCCCGGTTTTTCCCGGTTTTTCCCAATTTTTCCCGTTTTTTTCCCGTTTTTTCCCCCCCGACCTTCCCGGGCCGCCCCATCCCGGCGCCGCCGCGTGGCCTCCGCTACTTCCGGTGTGTCACTTCCGCTCGCTTCCGGCTGGAAAGTGTGGCCCGAATTTGAGTTCCGCTGGATTGGGACCGCAAAAAATTCCCCCAAAAAAATCCCCAAAAAATCCCCAAAAATCTCCAAAGAAATCCCCAAAAATTCCCCCCAAAAATTCCCCAAAATCTCCCCCCCAAAGACCCCAAAACCGTCGGCGCGGCAGCGAATGAGGCAGCGGCTGTGGGAGGAGTTCCGGGTTTAATGGAGACCCCCTCAGGTGTGGAGGAGACCCCAAAAATTCCCCAAAATTCCCCCCAAATCCCCCCAAAATTCCCCCCAAATCCCCCCAAAATTCCCTCAAGATTCCCCAAAATTCCAAGAATTCCCTCAAAATCCCCAACAATGCCCAAGATCCCCCAAAATCCCCTAAAACCACCCCAAAACCTCCCCGATTTCACCCCAAACCCCCCTCAGGACCCCCCAAAAACCCGAAATTTTGGGGTGTCTCAGACGGGAGCGACTCAAACACACCTGGGGACCCCCAGGCTCAGGTGAGACCCCCAAAATCCCCCCAAAATCCGCCCAAAATCCCCCCAAAATCCACCCAAAATCCCTGATTTCACCCCAAACCTCCCCGATTTCCCCCCAAATCCCCATCAGGACCCCCCAAAAAACTCCAAATTTTGGGGTCCCCTCTGACAGGAGTGACTCAAATACCCCAGACTCAGTTGAGACCCCCAAAACCCCCCAAAATCCCCCCAAACCCCCCAAAAACTCCCAAAACCCCACCTAACCCTCCACAAATCCCCCAAAATCCCCAATTCCTCCCCTAAAACCTTCCTGAATTCACCCCAAATCCCCCCAGGACCCCCCGAAAACCCCAAATTTTTGGGGTCCCCTCTGACAGGAGTGACTCAAACACCCCAGACTCAGTTAATACCCCCAAACCATCCCAAAAACCTCCCCGAAATCCCCCAAAATCCCGAATTTCACCCTAAAACCTCCCCGATTTCACCCAAATCCCCCCAGGACCCCCCAAAAACCCCTAAAATCCCCAATTTCTCCCCCAGTATCACCCCGATTTCACCCCAAATCGCCCCCAGGACCCCCCAAAAATCCCAAATTTTGGGGTCCCCTCTGACAGACTCAGTTGAAACCCCGAAAACCCCCCCAAAACCCCCCGAAATCCCTCCAAATCCTGAATTTCTCCCCTAAAACCTCCCCGATTTCACCCCAAATTCTCCCAGGACCCCCCAAAACCCCCAATTTCTCCCCTAAAACCTTCCTGATTTCACCCCAAGTTCTTCCAGGACCCCCCAAAAACCCCAAATTTTTGGGGTCCCCTCTGACAGACTCAGTTGAAACCCTGAAAACCCCCCCAAAACCCCCCGAAATCCCCCAAAATCCCCAATTTCTCCCCTAAAATCACCCCGATTTCACCCCAAATCCCCCCAGGACCCCCCAAAACCCCCAAATTTCGGGGTGCCCTCAGAGGGGGCGCACGCGGCGGCGGCAGCAGCGGCAGCTGAGACACGGGGGGACCCCCAGACTCAGGTGAGACCCCCAAAAACCCCTAAAATCCCGAATTTCTCCCCCAATATCACCCCGATTTCACCCCAAATCCCCCCAGGACCCCCCAAAAAACTCCAAATTTTTGGGGTGCCCTTTGACAGGAGGGACTCAAACACCCCAGACTCAGTTGAGACCCCAAAAGCCCCCCCAAAAAACCCTCTAAAGCCCCCCAAAACTGCCCAAAATCCTGAATTTCTCCCCCAATATCACCCCGATTTCACCCCAAATCGCCCCCAGGACCCCCCAAAACCCCAAATTTTTGGGGTGCCCTTTGACAGGAGCGACTCAAACACCCCAGACTCAGTTAATACCCCCAAACCATCCCCAAAAACCCTCTAAAGCCCCCCAAAACCCCCTAAAATCCCCAATTTCTCTCCCAATATCACCCCGATTTCACCCCAAATCGCCCCCAGGACCCCCCAAAAACCCCCAAATTTGGGGGTGCCTCAGAGGGGGCGCACGCGGCGGCGGCAGCAGCGGCAGCTGAGGCAGCGCAGCAGCGCCAGACTCAGGTGAGACCCCCAAAAACCCCCCAAAATCCTGAATTTCTCCCCCAATATCACCCCGATTTCGCCCCAAATCCCCCCAGGACCCCCCAAAAACCCCAAATTTGGGGGTGCCCTCAGAGGGGGCGCATGCGGCGGCGGCAGCAGCGGCAGCTGAGGCAGCGCAGCAGCGCCAGGCTCAGGTGAGACCCCCAAAAACCCCTAAAATCCCCAATTTCTCTCCCAATATCACCCCGATTTCACCCCAAATCCCCCCAGGACCCCCCAAAAACCCCAAATTTTTGGGGTCCCCTCTGACAGGAGTGACTCAAACACCCCAGACTCAGTTAATACCCCCATAAATGCCCCCCAAACCCCCCAAAAACCTCCCCAAATCCCCAAAAATCCCGAATTTCTCCCCTAAAACCTTCCTGATTTCACCCCAAATCACCCCCAGGACCCCCCAAAACCCCAAATTTTGGGGTCCCCTCTGACAGACTCAGTTGAAACCCCAAAAACCCCCCCAAAACCCACCAAATCCCCCCAAAAACCCCAATTTTTCCCCTAAAACCTCACTGATTTCACCCCAAATCGCCCCCAGGACCCCCCAAAACCCCAAATTTGGGGGTGCCCTCAGAGGGGGCGCACGCGGCGGCGGCAGCAGCGGCAGCTGAGGCAGCGCAGCAGCGCCAGGCTGAGCTGGAAAAGGGGGCCCAGGTCGAAGAGGAGGCGGTGGAAGGAGCGAACCCCCAAATCCCCGCGGGGGTCGGCGAAGCGCAGCGCCAGCAGCGGCGAGTACAGGGCGTTGGTGGGGGTCCGCAGCGGGGGGCGGGGGGCGGCGATCACCCCCGCGATGGCCTGGGGGGCACCCCAAAAGGGTCAAAAATGGCCCCAAAAAAATAAAAAAAAATCCCCCCCAAAAATCCCAAAATAACCCCAAAAAATAAAAAAAAATCCCCCCAAAAATCCCAAAATAACCCCAAAAAATAAAAAAAAATCCCAAAATAACCCCAAAAAATAAAAAAAAAATCCCCCCAAAAATCCCAAAATAACCCCAAAAAAAAAAAAATCCCAAAATAACCTCAAAAAATAAAAAAAAATCCCCCCAAAAATCCCAAAATAACCCCAAAAAAAAATCCCAAAATAACCCCAAAAAATAAAAAAAAATCCCCAAAAAAATCCCAAAATAACCCCAAAAAATAAAAAAAAAATCCCCCAAAAAATCCCAAAATAACCCCAAAAAATAAAAAAAAATTCAAAAAATCCGCTTTAAAATGGTCAAAAATCTGCCTCAAAAACCCCAAAATCCCCTCAGAAACCTTAAAAATCCTCCCAGAAACCCCAAAAATCCTCCCAGAAACCTCAAACTGAGAATCCCCCCAAAAAAACCCAAAAAAGATCCCAAAAAAATCCAAAAATCAGCTTAAAAATGGTCAAAAATCTGCACAAAACCCCAAATCCCCGCGTGGTGGGGGTCCGCAGCGGGGGGCGGGGGGCGGCGATCACCCCCGCGATGGCCTGGGGGGGCACCCCAAAAAGGGTCAAAAACGGCCCCAAAAAATCCCCAAAAATAACCCCAAAAAATAAAAAAAAATCCCCCCAAAAATCCCAAAATAACCCCAAAAAAATAATAAAAAAATCTCCCAAAAAATCCCAAAAAACCCCAAAAAAAACCCCCAAAAATCCCAAAATAACTCCAAAAAATAAAAAAAAAACCCCCCAAAAATCCCAAAATAACCCCAAAAAATTAAAAAAAAATCCCCCAAAAATCCCAAAATAACCCCAAAAAATAAAAAAAAAATCCCCAAAAAAATCCCAAAATAACCCCAAAAAATAAAAAAAAATCCCCCCAAAAATCCCAAAATAACCCCAAAAAATAAAAAAAAATCCCCAAAAAAATCCCAAAATAACCCCAAAAAATAAAAAAAAAACCCCCCAAAAATCCCAAAATAACCCCAAAAAATAAAAAAAAATCCCCCAAAAAATCCCAAAATAACCCCAAAAAATAAAAAAAAAATCCCCCCAAAAAAACCCCCAAAATAACCCCAAAAAAATCCAAAAATCCGCTTTAAAACGGTCAAAAATCTGCATAAAAATCCCAAAAATTCCACCAGAAATCCCAAAAATCCCCTCAGAAATCCCAAAAATCCTCCCAGAAACCTCAAACTGAGAATCCCCCCAAAAAAAACCCAAAATAACCCCAAAAAATAAAAAAAAAATCCCCCCAAAAATTCCAAAATAACCCCAAAAAAAAAATCCCAAAATAACCCCAAAAAATAAAAAAAATCCCCCCAAAAATCCCAAAATAACCCCAAAATAAAAAAAAATCCCCCCAAAAATCCCAAAATAACCCCAAAAAAAAAATCCCCAAAAAAATCCAAAAATCCGCTTTAAAATGGTCAAAAATCTGCACAAAAACCCAAAAATCCCCTCAGAAACCCCAAAAATCCTCCCAGAATCCCCAAACTCTGAATCCCCCCAAAAAAATCCCAAAAATATCAAAAAATCTGCCTAAAAATGGTCCAAAATCTGCACAAAACCCCAAATCCCCGCGTGGTGGGGGTCCGCAGCGGGGGCCGGGGGGCGGCGATCACCCCCGCGATGGCCTGGGGGGGCACCCCCAAAAAGGTCAAAAATGGCCCCAAAAAATAACCCCAAAAAAATAAAAAAAATTTAAAAAAATCCCCCAAAAATCCCAAAATAACCCCCAAAAAATAAAAAAAAATCCCCCAAAAAATCCGCTTTAAAATGGTCAAAAATCTGCACAAAAACCCCAAATTCCTCCCTGAATCCCCAAACTCTGAATCCCCAAAAAGTCCCCAAAAAATTTAAAAAAAAATTCCCCCCAAAAAATCCAAAAATCTGCTTCAAAATGGTCAAAAATCCGCCTCAAAAACCCAAAAATCCACCCAGAAACCTCAAACTCAGAATCCCCAAAAAATCCAAAAATCCCCTTAAAAACGGTCCAAAATCTGCACAAAAACCCTCCAAAATCCGCCCAGAAACCCCAGACTCAGAATCCCTAAAAAAAACCCCAAAAAACCCCAAAAAAATCCAAAAATCAGCTTAAAAATGGTCCAAAATCCACCTCAAAAACCCAAAAATCCCCTCAGAAACCCCAAAAATCCTCCCAGAATCCCCAAACTCTGAATCCCCCCAAAAAAATCCCAAAAATATCAAAAAATCTGCCTAAAAATGGTCCAAAATCTGCACAAAACCCCAAATCCCCGCGTGGTGGGGGTCCGCAGCGGGGGGCGGGGGGCGGCGATCACCCCCGCGATGGCCTGGGGGGGCACCCCAAAAGGGTCAAAAATGGCCCCAAAAAGTAATCCCCAAAAAAATAAAAAAAATCCCCCCAAAAATCCCAAAATAACCCCAAAAAATAAAAAAAAAATCCCCCCAAAAATCCCCAAAATAACCCCAAAAAATAAAAAAAAATCACCCAAAAAATCCCAAAATAACCCCAAAAAATAAAAAAAATCCCCCCAAAAATCCCAAAATAACCCCAAAAAATAAAAAAAAAACCAAAAAATCCCAAAATAACCCCCAAAAAAAAAATCCCCCCAAAAATCCCGAAAAATAACCCCAAAAAAAAAAAATCCCAAAAAATCCCAAAATAACTCCAAAAAATAAAAAAAAAAACCAAAAAATCCCAAAATAACCCCAAAAATTTTTTAAAAAATCCCCCAAAAAATCCCAAAATAACCCCAAAAAATTTTTAAAAAATCCCCCAATAATCCCGAAAAATACCCCCCCAAAAAAAAAAATCCCCCCAAAATAACCCCCAAAAAATAAAAAAAATTCAAAAAATCCACTTTAAAATGGTCAAAAATCTGCACAAAAACCCAAAATTCCTCCCTGAAACCTCAAACTCTGAATCCTCAAAAAAATCCCCCCAAAAAATTCCAAAAAAATTCCCCAAAAATTCCCAAAAAATTCCCAAAATTCCGAAATTTCACCTGTGCCACCTGCTCGGGGCTCTGACCAAAAGTGTCGAACACCTGGTGGGACCGGGCCAGGAATGCCCCAAAAATGCCCCAAAATTCGCTATAAAAACCCCAAAAATCGCCATAAAAACCCCAAAAAATTCCCAAAAAATTCCCAAAAAATTCCCAAATTTTCGCAGGTCTCACCTGCGCCACGTGCTCGGGGCTCTGACCAAAAGTGTTGAACACCTGGTTAAAATTTGCTATAAAAACCCCAAAAATTGCCATAAAAACCCCAAAAAAACCCAAAAAAATTCAAAAAAAACCCCAAAAAATCCCCAAAAAATTCCCAAAAATTCCCAAATTTTCCCAAATCCCACCTGTGCCACCTGCTCGGGGCTCTGACCGAAGGTGTCGAACACCTGGTGGGACCGGGCCAGAAATGGCCCAAAATTCACTATAAAACCCCAAAAAAATCACCAAAAAAACCCCAAAAAATTCCCAAAAATTCCCAAAAAATTCCCAAAAACTCCCAAATCTCACCTGTGCCACGTGCTCGGGGCTCTGACCGAAGGTGTTAAAGGCCAGCCAGGAAATGCCCCAAAAATGCCCCAAAATTCGCTATAAAAACCCCAAAAATCACCATAAAACCCCAAAAAATCCCCAAAAAATTCCCAAAAAATTCCCAAAAATTCCCAAAAATTCCCAAATTTCACCTGGGCCACCTCCTGGGTGCTCTGGCTGAAGGTGTCGAACACCTGGTGGGACCGGGCCAGAAATGCCCCAAAAATGCCCCAAAATTCACTTTAAAAACCCCAAAAATCACCAAAAAAATCCCAAAAAACCCCAAAAAATTCCCAAAAATTCCCAAAATTCCCAAATTTCACCTGTGCCACCTGCTCGGGGCTCTGGCCGAAGGTGTTAAAGGCCAGCCAGGAAATGCCCCAAAAATGCCCCAAAATTCGCTATAAAACCCCAAAAATCGCCATAAAATCCAAAAAAAATTCCCAAAAAATTCCCAAAAAATTCCCAAAAATTCCCAAAAATTCCCAAATTTTCCCAGGTCCCACCTGTGCCACCTGCTCAGGGCTCTGACCGAAGGTGTTGAACACCTGGTGATACCGGGCCAGAAATGCCCCAAAAATGCCCCAAAATTCGCTATAAAAACCCCAAAAATTGCCATAAAACCCCCAAAAATTCCCAAAAAATTCCCAAAAATTCCCAAAAATTCCCTAATTTCACCTGTGCCACCTCGGGGCTCTGACCGAAGGTGTTAAAGGCCAGTCAGGAAATGCCCCAAAATTCGCTATAAAAACCCCAAAAATCACCATAAAAACCCCAAAAAAAACCCAAAAAATTCCCAAAAAATTCCCAAAAAATTCCCAAAAATTCCCAAATTTTCGCAGGTCTCACCTGTGCCACGTGCTCGGGGCTCTGGCCGAAGGTGTTAAAGGCCAGCCAGGAAATGCCCCAAAAATGCCCCAAAATTCGCTATAAAACCCCAAAAATCACCATAAAAACCCCAAAAAATTCCCAAAAAATTCCCAAAAAATTCCAAAAAAATTCCCAAAAATTCCCAAATTTCACCTGTGCCACGTGCTCGGGGCTCTGGCCGAAGGTGTCGAACACCTGGTGGGACCGGGCCAGAAATGCCCCAAAAATGCCCCAAAATTCGCTATAAAAACCCCAAAAATCACCAAAAAAACCCCAAAAAAATCCCAAAAAATCCCCAAAAAATCCCAAAAAATCCCCAAAAAATTCCCCAAAATTCCCAAATTTCACCTGTGCCACCTTCTGGGTGCTCTGGCTGAAGGTATCAAACACCTGGTGGGATTGGTCCAGAAATGCCCCAAAAATGCCCCAAAATTCGCTATAAAAACCCCAAAAATCGTCGTAAAAACCCCAAAAAATTCCCAAAAAATTCCCAAAAATTCCCAAATTTTCGCAGCTCCCACCTGTGCCACGTGCTCGGGGCTCTGGCCGAAGGTGTCGAAGACGCGGCGCGAGGCGGGCAGGTAAACCTGGCGGAAGCAGCGCAGCGTCTCCGCGTCCGCCCCCGGAAATTCGGAATTTTCCACCTCCCGCAGCAGCTTCTGCTCAAAGGCCGAATTCACCGGGCCCGGCTCCACCAGCGACACGCTGCCGGATTTGGGGAGTTTGGGGAGTTTGGGGAGTTTTTGGGATTTTTTGTGATTTTTTTTGGGAATTTTTGGAGGATTTTTGGGGATTTTTTGTGATTTTTTTGAGGATTTTGGGGGATTTTTTTGTGATTTTTTGGGGATTTTTGGGGATTTTTTGGGATTTTTTGGGAATTTTTGGAGGATTTTTGGGGAGTTTTGGGGATTTTTTGGGGGATTTTTTGGGATTTTTTGGGGATTTTTGGAGGATTTTTTGGGGAGTTTTTGAGGATTTTTTGGGCATTTGTAGTGAATTTTTGGGGATTTTGTTGTGAATTTTTGGAGGATTTTTTGGGGATTTTTTGGGGATTTTTTGGGATTTTTTGGAGGATTTTTTGGGGAGTTTTTGAGGATTTTTTGGGGATTTTTGGGGATTTTTTGTGATTTTTTGGGGATTTTTGGAGGATTTTTTGGGGAGTTTTTGAGGATTTTTTGGGGAGTTTTTGAGGATTTTTGGGGATTTTTTGGGGATTTTTTGTGATTTTTTTGGGGATTTTTTGGGATTTTTTGGGAATTTTTGGGGATTTTATGGGATTTTTGGGGATTTTTGGGGATTTTTTGGGGATTTTTTGGGATTTTTTGTGATTTTTTGGGGATTTTTTTGGATTTTTGGAAGATTTTTGGAGGATTTTTTGGGAAGTTTTTGAGGATTTTTGGGGATTTTTGGGAATTTTTGGAGGATTTTTTGGGGAGTTTTTGAGGACTTTTTGGGATTTTTTTGGGAATTTGTAGTGATTTTTGGGGATTTTTTTGGGGATTTTTTTGGAATTTGTAGTGAATTTTTGGGGATTTTTTGTGATTTTTTGGGGATTTTTGGGGATTTTTTGGGGATTTTTTGGGAATTTTTGGAGGATTTTTTGGGGGATTTTTTGGGGAGTTTTTGAGGATTTTTTTTTTGATTTTTTGGGGATTTTTTGTGATTTTTTTGGGGATTTTTTGGGATTTTTGGGGATTTTTTGGGAATTTTTGGAGGATTTTTTGGGGAGTTTTTGAGGATTTTTTTGGGGATTTTTTGGGAATTTGTAGTGAATTTTGGGGGATTTTTTGTGAATTTTTGGGGATTTTTTTGGATTTTTTGGGGATTTTTGGTGGGGATTTTTTGGGGTTTTTGGGGGATTTTTTGGGAAATTTTGGGGACTTTTTGGGGATTTTTTGGAGGAATTTTCGTGAGCTTTTGGGGGATTTTTTGGGGATGATTTTGGGGATGATTTTAGGATGATTTTAGGCTGATTTTGGGGATGATTTTAGGATGGTTTTGGGGATGATTTTAGGCGGTTTTGGGGATGATTTTGGGATTATTTTGGAGTTTATTTTAGGACGATTTTAGGATGATTTTGGGCTGTTTTGGGGTGATTTTAGGCTGGTTTGGGGATGATTTTAGGATGACTTTAGGATGATTTTAGGATGATTTTAGGATGATTTCGGGCTGGTTTTGGGGTGACTTTAGGATGATTTTGGGCTGTTTGGGGGACGATTTTGGGATAATTTTAGGATTATTTTGGGGATGACTTTAGGCTGATTTTAGGCCGTTTTGGGGATGATTTCAGGATGATTTTAGGATGATTTTAGGACGATTTTGGGGATGATTTTAGGCTGATTTTGGGCTATTTTGGGGCTGTTTTTAGGATGATTTTGGGCTGTTTCAGGGATGACTTTAGGATGATTTTGGGCTGTTTTGGGCTGATTTTGGGGATGATTTTAGGCTGATTTTGGGGTTGATTTTAGGATGATTTTACGCTGATTTTGGGGATGATTTTAGGGCGATTTTAGGACGATTTTAGGATGATTTTGGGGTTGATTTTAGGACAATTTTAGGATGATTTTAGGATGATTTTAGGCCATTTTGGGGATAATTTTTGGATGATTTTAGGTCGATTTTAGGCCATTTTGGGGTGCCTTTGGGAGGATTTTGGGGATGATTTTAGGATGATTTTAAGCCGTTTTGGGGGATGATTTTAGGATGACTTTAGGATGATTTTGGGCTGTTTTCGGGCTGATTTTAGGATGATTTTAGGCCGTTTTGGGGATGATTTCAGGATGATTTTAGGACGATTTTAGGATGACTTTAGGACGATTTTGGGGATAATTTTTGGATGATTTTAGGATGATTTTAGGCCATTTTGGGGTGCCTTTGGGAGAATTTTGGGGATGACTTTAGGATGACTTTAGGCTGATTTTGGGCTGATTTTGGGGCTGGTTTTGGGGATGATTTTCGGATGATTTTAGGCTGATTTTGGGGATGATTTTAGGCTGTTTTGGGGCTGTTTTTGGGATGATTTCAGGATGATTTTAGGACAATTTTGGGGATAATTTTTGGATGATTTTAGGACGATTTTAGGCTGATTTTGGGGTGATTTTCGGATGATTTTGGGATGACTTTAGGATGATTTTAGGCCGTTTTAGGGATGATTTCAGGATGATTTCAGCATGATTTTAGGACGATTTTGGGGATAATTTTTGGATGATTTTAGGACAATTTTAGGCTCATTTTGGGGTGATTTTCGGACAATTCGGGGTCCCCCCACACTCACAAGACGTTGAAGTGCAGCAGCTGCACGGCCAGGCTCTCGCACAGCCCCTCCACCGCGAACTTGGAGGCGGCGTAGACGTCGTTGAAAACCACCCCTGGGGGACCCCAAAATTTTGGGGGGGCTCCGGAGGGGTCCGGGGCCCCCAGACCCCCAAAATTTGGGGGGTTGGGGCCTCAAGTCCTACAGAATTTGGGGTTTGGGGCCTCAATTCCTACAGAATTTGGGGTTTGGGGCCTCAATTCCTACAAAATTTGGGGTTTGGGGCCTCAAGTCCTACAGAATTTGGGGGTTGGGGCCTCAATTCCTACAAAATTTGGGGTTTGGATCCCCCCAAAATTTGGGGTCTCCATCCCCCCCCCAAAATTTGGGGTTTGGGGTTTTGATCCCCCCAAAATTTGGGGTCTCCATCCCCCCCCAAAATTTGGGGTTTGGGGTTTTGATCCCCCCAAAATTTGGGGTCTCCATCCCCCCCAAAATTTGGGGTCTCCATCCCCTCAAAATTTGGGGTTTGGGGTTTTGATCCCCCCAAAATTTGGGGTCTCAATCCCCCCCCAAAATTTGGGATTTGGGGTCTCAATTCCCACAAAATTTGGGGTCTCCATCCCCTCAAAATTTGGGGTTTGGGGTTTGGATCCCCCCAAAATTTGGGGCCTCAATTCCTACAAAATTTGGGGTTTGGGGCCTCAATTCCTACAGAATTTGGGGTTTGGATCCCCCCAAAATTTGGGGTCTCCATCCCCCCCCAAAATTTGGGGTTTGGGGTCTTAATCCCCCCAAAATTTGGGGTCTCCATCCCCCCCAAAATTTGGGGTTTGGGGTCTTAATCCCCCCAAAATTTGGGGTCTCCATCCCCCCCAAAATTTGGGGTCTCAATCCCCCCCCAAAATTTGGGATTTGGGGTCTCAATTCCCACAAAATTTGGGGTTTCAGGTCTTGTTTGTCTCAAAATTTGGGGTCCGGGGCCCTGATGCCCTCAAAATTTGGGGTTTGGGGCCTCCATCCCCCCAAAATTTTGGGGTTTGGGGTCTCCATCCCCCCAAAATTTGGGGTCGGAGGGGTTTGGGGCATTCATGGGGGGCTTTTGGGAGCATTTGGGGCCCTCAGGAAGATTTTGGGGTCCTGGGGATATTCTGGGGTCCCAAAAATGAATTTTGGGGTCCCAAAGAGGATTTTTTGGGGTTCCAAAGCCAAATTTTGGGGTCCCAAAAATGAATTTTGGGGTCCCGGGGATATTTTGGGGTCCCAAAAATGAATTTTGGGGTCCCGAGGAGAATTTTTTAGGGTCCTAAAGACGAATTTTGGGGTCCTGAGGAGGATTTTGGGGTCCCGGGGGTTTTTTGGGGTCCCAAAAATGAATTTTGGGGTCCCGAGGAGGATTTTTTGGGGTCCCAAAGACGAATTTTGGGGTCCCGAGGAGGATTTTGGGATCTCAGGGAGGTTTTTTGGGGTCCCGGGGATATTTTGGGGTTCCGGGGGTTTTTTGGGGTCCCAAAGCCGAATTTTGGGGTCCCGGGTTTTTTTTGGGGTCCCAAAGCCGAATTTTGGGGTCCCGGGGGTTTTTTGGGGTCCCGGGGGTTTTTTGGGGTGCCGAAGCCGAATTTTGGGGTGCCGAGGAGGGATTTTTTGGGTCCTGGGGGTTTTTTGGGGTGCCGAAGCCAAATTTTGGGGTCCCGAGGAGGGTTTTTTGGGGTCCCGGGGAGGGTTTTTTGGGGTCCCGGGGAGGTTTTTTGGGGTCCTGGGGTTTTTTTGGGGTCCCGGGGTTTTTTTGGGGTCCCGGGGTTTTTTGGGGTCTCGGGGGTTTTTTGGGGTGCCGAAGCCGAATTTTGGGGTCCCGAGGAGGGTTTTTTGGGGTCCCGGGGAGGTTTTTTGGGGTCCTGGGGGTATTTTGTGGTCCTGAGGAGGATTTTTTGGGTCCTGGGGTTTTTTTGGGGTCTCGGGGGTTTTTTGGGGTCCCAAAGCCGAATTTTGGGGTCCCGGGGGTTTTTTGGGGTCCCGGGGGTTTTTTGGGGTCCCGAAGCCGAATTTTGGGGTCCTGGGGAGGTTTTGGGGTCTCGGGGGTTTTTTGGGGTCCCGAAGCCGAATTTTGGGGTGCCGGGGAGGGATTTTTGGGGTCCCGGGGAGGTTTTTTGGGGTCCTGGGGGTATTTTGGGGTCCTGAGGAGGATTTTTTGGGTCCCGGGGTTTTTTTGGGGTCTCGGGGGTTTTTTGGGGTGCCGAAGCCGAATTTTGGGGTCCTGAGGAGGTTTTTTGGGGTCCCAAAGCCGAATTTTGGGGTCCCGGGGTTTTTTTGGGGTCCCGGGGGTTTTTTGGGGTCCCAAAGCTGAATTTTGGGGTTCTGGGGGTTTTTTGGGGTCCCGGGGGTTTTTTGGGGTGCCGAAGCCGAATTTTGGGGTGCCGAGGAGGGTTTTTTGGGTCCTGGGGGTTTTTTGGGGTGCCAAAGCCGAATTTTGGGGTCCTGAGGAGGGTTTTTTGGGGTCCCGGGGAGGTTTTTTGGGGTCCTGGGGGTTTTTTGGGGTGCCGAAGCCGAATTTTGGGGTCCCGGGGTTTTTTTGGGGTCTCGGGGGTTTTTTGGGGTGCCGGAGCCGAATTTTGGGGTCCTGAGGAGGATTTTTTGGGTCCCGGGGAGGTTTTGGGGTCCCGGGGGTTTTTTGGGGTGCTGAAGCCGAATTTTGGGGTGCCGAGGGGGGATTTTGGGGGTCTCACCCTGCAGCCCCATGACGCTGCTGACCACCACGATGTGGCCGCTGCGGCGCTGCTTCATTTGGGGGAGCAGGGCCTGGGTCAGCCGCAGCACCCCGAAAACGTTGGTGTCGAAAACCCGCTGCACCTCCGCCTCCGAGGCGCTCTCCAGGGGTCCCACCAGCCCCACCCCCGCGTTGTGCACTGGGGGGGGCGGGGGGGGGTCAGGGGAACCCCAAAAAATTCCGAAATTCCCACAAAAATCCCAATAAAATACCCAAATCCCAATAAATCCCATTAAATCCCATTAAATCCCATTAAATCCCATTAAATCCCATAAAATCCACCCCAAATCCAACCCAAAATCCACAGCCCTGATGGTCACTGGAGGGGTTGGGGGGGGGTCAGGGGAACCCCAAAAAATTCCCAAATCCCCCCAAAAATCCCAATAAAATACCCAAATCCCAATAAATCCCCCAAAAATCCCATAAAATCCCACCCCAAATCCCCCCCAAAATTCGCCCATCAGAACCAAAACTCTGCCCAAAACCCCCCAAAACCACCCCAAAATCCCCTAAAAACCTCCAAAAAAACCCCAAAAATCCCCTAAAATCCAAAAAAACTCCACAAAAATCCACAAAAATCCCAAAAAATCCCCAAAAATCCACAAAAATCCCAAAAAAATCCCCAAAAATCTCCCCAAATCTCCCCAAAATTCACCCAAAATTCGCCCATCAGAACCAAAACCCTCCCAAAGGTGCCCAAATCCCCCCAAAATTGCCCCAAATCCCCCAAAACTGCCCAAAATCCCCTAAAATCCCCAAAAATCCCCCAAAATTCGCCCATCAGAACCAAAACCCCTCAAAACCACCCCAAAATCCCCAAAAACCTCCAAAAAATCCCCTAAAACCTCCAAAAAAAAACCCCAAAAATCCCCGAAAAATCCCCGAAAATCCCCAAAATCTCCCCAAATCTCCCCAAAATTCCCCCAAAATTCGCCCATCAGAACCAAAACCCTCCAAAGCTGCCCAAAACCCCTCAAAACCCGGCAAAATCACCCCAAAATCCCCTTTAAATCCCCTAAAATCTCAAAAAAATCCCCTAAAACCTCCAAAAAACAAGCCCCAAAAAATCCCAAAAATCCCCCAAAATGCCCCAAATTTTCGGGATTTCCTCACCCACGACGTCCACGCGGCCGTCGGGCACGAGCCGGAGGCACTCGGCCACGGAGGTGGCGCTGGTGACATCGAGTGGCAGCAGCAGCAGAGTGTCCCCAAGGAGGGACCCGGCGGCGGATTCCAGCGGGCCCCGGCGGGACAGGTCCCGCATGGTGGCCAAAACTGCACCCCAAAATATCCCAAAATATCCCAAAATATCCCAAAAAACCCCTCAGAGACACCCCCAAACCCGCCGGGCCAGAACTGCACCCCAAAAACCCCAAAAACCCCCAAAAAACCCAAAATATCCCTCAGAGACACCCCCAAACCCGCCGGGCCAAAACTGCACCCCAAAAACCCCAAAAACCCCAAAAAAACCCCAAAAAATCCCTCAGAGACACCCCCAAACCCGCCGGGACAGGTCCCGCATGGTGGCCAGAACTGCACCCCAAAAACCCCAAAATATCCCAAAATATCCCAAAATATCCCAAAAAATCCCTCAGAGACACCCCCAAACCCGCCGGGACAGGTCCTGTCCCAAAATATCCCAAAATATCCCAAAAACCCCCAAAAAATCCCTCAGAGACACCCCCAAACCCGCCGGGACAGGTCCCGCATGGTGGCCAAAACTGCACCCCAAAATATCCCAAAATATCCCAAAAAATCCCTCAGAGACACCCCCAAACCCGCCGGGACAGGTCCCGCCGGGCCAAAACTGCACCCCAAAATATCCCAAATATCCCAAAATATCCCAAAAAATCCCTCAGAGACACCCCCAAACCCACCGGGACAGGTCCCGCCCCAAAATATCCCAAAATATCCCAAAATATCCCAAAAACCCCCAAAAAATCCCTCAGAGACACCCCCAAACCCGCCGGGCCAAAACTGCACCCCAAAAACCCCAAAATATCCCAAAAAATCCCTCAGAGACACCCCCAAACCCGCCAGGACAGAACTGCACCCCAAAAACCCCAAAATATCCCAAAATATCCCAAAAAAAACCCCTCAGAGACGCCCCCAAACCCGCCGGGACAGGTCCCACCCCAAAATATCCCAAAATATCCCAAAATATCCCAAAAACCCCAAAATAACCCAAAAAAAATCCCTCAGAGACACCCCCAAACCCGCCGGGACAGGTCCCGCCCCAAAATATCCCAAAATATCCCAAAAAACCCATCAGAGACAGCCCCAAACCCGCCGGGACAGGTCCCGCATGGTGGCCAGAACTGCACCCAAAATATCCCAAAATATCCCAAAATATCCCAAAAAACCCCTCATGGTGGCCAGAACTGCACCCCAAAATATCCCAAAATATCCCAAAAACCCCCAAAAAATCCCAATTAGAGACCCCAAAAATTCCTCAGGGACACCAAAACCCGAATGGGGACACCTGGGGACCCTTGGGGACATTTGGGGACCCTCGGGGACATTTGGGGACACCTGAGGACCCTTGGGGACATTTGGGGACACTTTGGGGACACTTGGGGACACCCTGGGGACCCTCGGGGACCTTTGGGGACATTTGGGGACATTTGGGGACCCTTGGGGACACCTGAGGACCCTTGTAGGGACATCTGGGGACCCTCGGGGACACTTTGGGGTCCTCCCGGGGTGTCCCTCCCGGTATTTCCCGTGTCCCGCTCCCTCCTTGGGGACCCTTGGGGACATTGGGGGACCCTCGGGGACATTGGGGACCCTTGGGGACATTTGGGGACATCCTGGGGACATTGGGGACACCTGGGGACACCTTTGGGGACCCTTGGGGACCTTTGGGGACACTTGGGGACATTTGGGGACCCTTGGGGACACTTTGGGGTCCTCCCGGGGTGTCCCCCCCTTCCCCTGCCGGTATTTCCCGTGTCCCCCTCCCGCCTTGGGGACACCTGAGGACCCCTGGGGACACTTTGGGGACATTTGGTGACCCTTGGGGACACTTGGGGACCCTTGGGGACACCTGAGGACCCTCGGGGACATTTGGGGACCCTTGGGGACACTTTGGGGTCCTCCCGGGGTGTCCCTCCCGGTATTTCCCGTGTCCCGCTCCCTCTTTGGGGACATTTGAGGACACCTGAGGACCCTTGGGGACACCCTGGGGACCCTCGGGGACATTTGGGGACACCCCGGGGACCCCCTGGGGACACCCTGGGGACATTTGGGGACACTTTGGGGTCCCTCTGGGGTGTCCCCCCCGTTCCCCTCCCGGTATTTCCCGTGTCCCGCTCCCGCCTTGGGGACACCTGGGGACACCTTGGGGACATTTGGAGACACCTGGGGACATTTGGGGACCCCCTGGGGACCCCCTGGGGACACCTTTGGGGACACTTGGGGACATTTGGGGTCCTCCTGGGGTGTCCCTACCGGTATTTCCCATGTCCCCCTCCCACCTTGGGGACACTTTGGGGACTGTTGGGGACACTTTGGGGACATTTGGTGACCCTTGGGGACCCTCGGGGACATTTGGGGACCCTTGTAGGGACATTTGGGGACATTTGGGGACATTTGGGGTCCCTCCGGGGTGTCCCCCCCTTCTCCTGCCGGTATTTCCCGTGTCCCCCTCCCGCGTTGGGGACATTTGAGGACCCTCGGGGACACTTGGGGACATTTGGGGACACCCTGGGGACACCCTGGGGACCCCCTGGGGACACTTTGGGGACATTTGGTGACCCTTGGGGACCCTTGGGGACATCTGGGGACACTTGGGGACCCTTGGGGACATTTAGGGACATCTGGGGACCTCCCGGGGTGTCCCCCCCTTCCCCTCCCGGTATTTCCCGTGTCCCCCTCCCACCTTGGGGACATTTGAGGACCCTCGGGGACATTTGGGGACACCCTGGGAACCCCCTGGGGACACCTTTGGGGACATTTGGGGACACTTTGGGGTCCTCCCGGGGTGTCCCCCCCTTCCCCTCCCGGTATTTCCCGTGTCCCCCTCCCACCTTGGGGACCCTTGGGGACATTTGGGGACCCTCGGGGACATTTGGTGACACTTGGGGACATTTGGGGACCCTTGAGGACACCTGAGGACCCTTGTAGGGACATCTGGGGACCCTTGGGGACATTTGGGGACCCTTGGGGTGTCCCCCTGACCCTCCCGGGGTGTCCCCCCCCTTGTCCCTCCCGGTATTTCCCGTGTCCCCCTCCCGCCTTGGGGACCCTTGGGGACACCCTGGGGACATTGGGGACACCCTGGGGACATTGGGGACACTTGGGGACACTTTGGGGTCCTCCCGGGGTGTCCGTCCCGGTATTTCCCGTGTCCCCCTCCCGCCTTGGGGACACCTGAGGACCCCTGGGGACACTTTGGGGACATTTGGTGACCCTTGGGGACCCTCGGGGCCCCTTGAGGACCCCCTGGGGACATTTGGGGACACTTGGGGACATTTGGGGACACTTTGGGGACCCTCGGGGACATTTGGGGACATTTGGGGTGTCCCCCTGACCCTCCCGGGGTGTCCCCCCCTTCCCCTGTCGGTATTTCCCGTGTCCCGCTCCCACCTTGGGGACATTTGGGGACCCTCGGGGACATCTGGGGACACCCTGGGGACACTTGGGGACATTGGGGACACCCTTGGGGACACCTTTGGGGACACTTGGGGACACTTGGGGACCCCGCTCACCCCGGTAGCGGCGCTGCGGGTCCCGCGCCAGGCGCAGCGCCAGCGCCAGCCCGATGCCCGAGGAGCAGCCGGTGACAAGGACAGCGCGGGGGGTGGCCATGGTGGCACCTCTGTCCCCTCCCCCCCACCGGGGACAAAGGCGCTTAACGGGATCAGCGCCCACGTGGTGGCACCGCGGGGACACGGGGGGACACGGGGGGGACACGGGGGGGACACGGGACACGTGGTGGCACCGGGACATTGGCGGTGGCATCGGCACCGGGGGGACAGGGGGGTGGCATCGGGACACCGAGGGGACACGGGGGTGGCATCGGGGGGACACGGGGGGGACAGGGGACACGGGGGGGACACGTGGTGGCACCGGGACACCGAGGGGGACACGGGGGTGGCACCGGGACACGGGGGTGGCATCGGGGGTACACGGGGGGGACACGGGGACACGGGGGTGGCACCGGGACCGGGACACCGAGGGGACACGGGGGTGGCATCGGGGGGACACGGGGGTGGCACCGGGGGGGCACCGGCACCGGGGGGATACGGTGGTGGCATCGGGACACCGAGGGGACACCGGGACACCGAGGGGACACGTGGTGGCACCGGGACATCGAGGGGACACGGGGGTGGCATCGGGGGGACACGGGGGTGGCACCGGGACCGAGGGAGACACGGGGGTGGCATCGGGACACGGGGGACACCGGGAGGGACACCGGGACACGGGGGTGACATCGGCACCGGGGGGGACACCGGGGGTGGCATCGGGACCGAGGGGGACACGGGGGTGGCATCGGGACACGTGGTGGCACCGGGGGGGCACCGGGACACCGGGGGAACACGGGGGTGGCACCGGGACCGAGGGGACACGGGGGTGGCATCGGGGGGACACGGGGGTGGCATCGGGACATCGAGGGGGACACGGGGGTGGCACCGGGACACGGGGGGAGGCACCGGGACGGGGACACGGGGGGACACGTGGTGGCACCGGGACACGGGGGGTGGCACCGGGGGGGCACCGGGACACCGGGGGAACACGGGGGTGGCATCGGGACACGGGGGACACCGGGACCGGGACACGGGGGGACACGGGAGGACACGGGGGGGCACCGGGACACGGGGGTGGCATCGAGACCGAGGGGGACACGTGGTGGCACCGGGACACCGGGGGGACACGGGGGTGGCACCGGGACCGAGGGGACACCGGGGTGGCACCCCGGGATGTCACCAAACGGGGACAAGGTGGGGGGACAGCTCACCAATCACAACGCGGGATTCGAGCTATATTTGCATAACCACGCCCCCGGCCCCGCCCCGCCCGCAGCCTCCGGGCGCGGTTCGATCCCAGTTCCGTCCCAGTGCTCCCAGTTCGCTCCCAGTTCCCTCCCAGTTCCGTCCCAGTGCTCCCAGTTCGCTCCCAGTGCTCCCAGTTCCCTCCCAGTGCTCCCAGTTCCCTCCCAGTGCTCCCAGTTCCCTCCCAGTGCTCCCAGTTCGCTCCCAGTTCCGTCCCAGTGCTCCCAGTAAGGGCCGTGCTGGGACGGAAAGCGCTCCCAGTTCCCTCCCAGTTCCCTCCCAGTGCTCCCAGTAAGGGCCGTGCTGGGACGGAAAGCGCTCCCAGTTCCCTCCCAGTTCCCTCCCAGTGCTCCCAGTAAGGGCCGTGCCGGGAGGGAAAGCGCTCCCAGTTCCCTCCCAGTGCTCCCAGTAAGGGCCCGGGCCGGGCAGGGAGCGGGAGGAAGAGGAAGAGGAAGAGGAAGGAGAGAAGAAGGAGAGGAAGAGGAAGAGGAAGAGGAAGAGGAAGAGGAAGAGGAAGAGGAAGAGGAGGAGGAAGAGGAAGAGGAAGAGGAAGAGGAAGAGGAAGAGGAAGAGGAGGAGGAAGAGGAGGAGGAAGAGGAAGAGGAAGAGGAAGAGGAAGAGGAAGAGGAAGGACAAAGGAAGAGGAGGGAGAGAAGAAGGAGAGGAGGAGAGGAGGAGGAAGAGGAGGAGGAAGAGGAAGAGGAGGGACAGAGGAAGAGGAGGAGGAAGAGGAAGAGGAGGGACAAAAGACGAGGAGGGAGAGAAGAAGAAGGAGAGGAAGAGGAGAGGAAGAGGAAGAGGAAGAGGAAGAGGAAGAGGAAGAGGAAGGACAAAGGAAGAGGAGGGAGAGAAGAAGGAGAGGAAGAGGAGGAGGAAGAGGAGGGACAAAGGAAGAGGAAGAGGAGGGAGAGAAGAAGAAGAAGAAGGAGAGGAAGAGGAGAGGAAGAGGAGGAGGAAGAGGAAGAGGAAGGACAGAGGAAGAGGAGGAGCGGCCGGAGGAGGAGGAGGGAGAGAGGAAGAGGAAGAGGAGGGATAAAGGAAGAGGAAGAGGAGGGAGAGAAGAAGAGCGAGAGGAGGAGGAAGAGGAAGAGGAAGAGGAGGGACAGAGGAAGAGGAGGAGCGGCCGGCATCGCCCCCGGTCCCGGTGCAGGTGAGCGGGCAGCGGCAGCTCATCCAAACCCGTACCGGGGCTCCCCGGGAGCGTTTTCCGGTGGTCCCGGGGGGGCTCGGATGGGGCAGGACCCCAAACCGGGGCGGAATTGCCCCTGGAGGGGTCTTGGGGGGTCCCACGTGGCGATCGGCCGGTACCGGCGGGCACGGGGGCGGGCTCGGGGTTGGGGATGCCCGGGAGCCCCGGAGCGGGGGGAGCGGGGCAGCGATACCGGAGCGGGGAGGAGCAATACCGGAGCGGGGGGAGAGCGCGGAGGGGCGATACCGGAGCCCCGGGAGAGCTCGGAGGGGCGATCCCGGAGCGGGGAGGGGCGATACCGGAGCGGGGGGAGAGCGCGGAGGGGCAATACCGGAGCGGGGCGGCGATACCGGAGCGGGGAGGGGCAATACCGGAGCCCGGGGGGAGAGCGGAGGGGCGATACCGGAGCCCGGGGAGCGCGGAGGGACGATACCGGAGAGCGGAGGGGCGATACCGGAGCGGGGAGAGGCGATCCCGGAGCCCGGGGAGAGCGCGGAGGGGCGATCCCGGAGCCCGGGGGGAGAGCGGAGGGGCGATACCGGAGAGCGCGGAGGGAGCACGGAGGGACGATACCGGAGCGGGGGGAGAGCGGAGGGGCGATACCGGAGAGGGGGAGCGCGGAGGGAGCACGGAGCGGCGATACCGGAGTGGGGGGAGAGCGGAGGGGCGATCCCGGAGCGGGGAGGGGCGATCCCGGAGCCCGGGGAGAGAGCGGAGGGGCGATACCGGAGCGGGGAGGGGCGATACCGGAGCCCGGGGAGAGCTCGGAGGGGTGATACCGGAGAGCAGAGGGGCGATACCGGAGCCCGGGGAGAGAGCGGAGGGGCGATACCGGAGCCCGGGGGAGCGCAGAGGGGCGATCCCGGAGAGTGGAGGCGCGATACCGGAGCGGGGGGAGCACGGAGGGGCGATACCGGAGCCCAGGGGAGCGCGGAGGGGCGATACCGGAGCGGGGGGAGGCGATACCGGAGCGGGGGGAGCGCGGAGGGGCGATACCGGAGCCCGGGGAGAGAGCGGAGGGGCAATACCGGAGCGGGGAACGGCGATACCGGAGCCCGGGGGGAGCGCGGAGGGGCGATACCGGAGCGGGGAGGGGCAATACCGGAGCGGGGAGGGGCAATACCGGAGTGGGGAACGGCGATACCGGAGCGTGGAGGGGCGATACCGGAGCCCCGGGGGAGCGCGGAGGGGCTATAACGGAGCGGGGAGGGGCGATACCGGAGAGCGGGGAGAGCACGGGGCGGCGATACCGGAGCGGGGAACGGCGATACCGGAGCCCGGGGGGAGCACGGAGGGGCGATCCCGGTTCTCAGCCCCGGTTCTCCCCCACAGCAGCGTTTGCCATCCCCAAACCTCGGCCGGGACAGCAGCAGGAGGAGGAGGAGGAGGCCGCGAGGAAGAGGAAGAGGAAGAGGAAGAGGAAGGTGACCCGGGAGCCGCAGGCAGGTGAGGAGGAAGTCGGTGCCCCTTTTCCCCTTCTCTCCTGCTCCATCTCCAGCCCAGCCCGGCAGGACAGCTCCGTGTCCTTCGCTGCGGCGCGGAGGCAAATCCCATCCTCTGCTTGTCCTTCCTCCTCCAGAGCAGGAGCTGAGGATGGAGAGCGGCGAGGAGAAATCCCCACGGCAGAGCTCCACGGCACAGGAACCCACCAGGGAGGAGAAATCTTTGGTCCTGAGCAGCTCCACGGCACAGGAACCCACCAGGGAGGAGAAATCCCCGTGGCAGAGCTCCACGGCACAGGAACCCACCGAGGAGGACAAATTCATGGTCCTGAGCAGCTCCACGGCACAGGAACCCACCGAGGAGGAGGAAAAGCCCCGGAGATCCCTGTCCAGGAGGGGCTGCAAACGCAGATCCCAGCGCGGATCCCAGGGGGAAAGACCCACCTTGGGTCGGAGCTCGGAGCTGGAGGTCCAGGAGCTCCTCCAGGATGGGAAGAAGATCTACGTGTGCTCGGAATGCGGGAAGAACTTCAGGTGGAGGTCCACCCTGCTCATCCACCTGAGGACCCACACCGGGGAGAAACCCTACGGGTGTGGGGAGTGCGGGAAGAGCTTCAGAGGCAGCTCCAGCCTGGCTGTCCACCGGAGGATCCACACCGGGGAGAAGCCCTACGAGTGTGGGGAGTGCCACAAGAGGTTCCGGACCAGCTCGGAAGTTCTCAAGCACCAGCGCTCGCACACGGACGAGAAACCGTTCCTCTGTCCCGACTGCGGGAAGGGCTTCAAGCACAACTCCACCCTGGTCAACCACCGGAGGATCCACACCGGGGAGAAGCCCTACGAGTGTCCCCGGTGCGGGAAGAGCTTCAGGATGAGGAGCAGCCTGATTTCCCACCACCTGATCCACACGGGCGAGCGGCCCTTCGACTGCGGGCAGTGCGGGAAGAGCTTCCGACGGAGCTCCCACCTGGTCGTCCACCAGAGGAGACACGCGGCGCGTCAACGCGGCGCCCACGGTTCAGAAAAACCCACCGCGGCACCGGGAGGCGGCCGGAGCTCGGAGTTGGGGGTCCGGGAGCGGCTCCGGGGTGGGAAGGTGCCCCACAAGTGTGGGGAGTGTGGGAAGAGCTTCACGTGTAGGTCCTCCTTGATCTACCACAGAAGAATCCACAGCGGGGAGAGGCCCTACGGGTGTGGACAGTGTGGGAAGAGCTTCATTTCGGGCTCGGAGCTGGTGAAACACCAGAAGATCCACACCGGGGAACGGCCCTACAAGTGTGGGGAGTGCGGGAAGAGCTTCATCAAGAGCTCCCACCTGCTCTACCACCGCAGGAGCCACACCGGGGAGAAGCCCTACGAGTGTCCCCAGTGCGGGAAGAGCTTCAGGACCAGCTCCTGCATGATGGAGCACCGGCGTGTCCACACCGGGGAACGGCCCTACGCGTGCGCCGTGTGCGGGAAGAGCTTCGTGCTGAGGTGCCACCTGATGGTCCACCGGAGGACCCACACCGGGGAGAAACCCTACGGGTGTGAGGAGTGCGGGAAGAGGTTCACCACCAGCTCCTCCCTCAACGTCCACCGGAGGATCCACACCGGGGAACGGCCCTACGAGTGCGAGCAGTGCCACAAGAGGTTCCAGACCAACCCCGGTCTCCTCCGGCACCGGCGCTCGCACACGGACGAGCGGCCGTTCCTCTGCCCCGACTGCGGGAAGGGCTTCAGGGCCAACTCCATCCTGGTCAACCACCGGCGCGTCCACACCGGGGAACGGCCCTACGCCTGCGGGGAGTGCGGGAAGAGCTTCGGTTGGAAGTGCCAACTGAAGGTCCACCACAGGATCCACACCGGGGAACGGCCCTTCACGTGTGGGGAGTGCGGGAAGAGCTTCACCCAACGCTCGGGCCTGGCCGCCCACCAGAAGGTCCACACCGGGGAACGGCCCTACGAGTGCGACCAGTGCCACAAGAGGTTCCGGAGCAGCTCGGAAGTTCTCAAGCACCAGCAGCGCTCGCACACGGATGAGAAACCGTTCCTCTGCCCCGACTGCGGGAAGGGCTTCAACCAGAACTCCAGCCTGGTCAACCACCGGCGTGTCCACACCGGGGAGAGGCCCTACAAGTGTGGGCACTGCGAGAAGAGCTTCAGCGCGAGGTCCAGCCTGATTTCCCACCAGAAGAGGCACGGCCAGGACGGTCCCCACGAGTGTGGACGGTGCCAGAAGAGGTTTCCCACCGGCGCGGCTCTGCAGAGCCACCGGTGCGCACGGCCGGAGGAGAAACCCTTCCGCTGTCCCGACTGCAAGAGGGGCTTCAAGAGCAGCTCCTACCTGGCCAAACACCAGCTCAGCCACGCCGGGGACAGGCCCCAGCCGTGTCCCCAGTGCGGGAAGATGTTCTCCAGGAGCTCCCTGCTGGCCAAGCACCAATGGAGGCACCACTAAAGGCGGCGCTGAGGCCGTGGGGAGACTCCGAGCGCCGCGGAGACGCCCCACGAGTGTCCCCGGTGTGGGCAGAGTCACCCAGGAGATGCCAAGTGGTTGTCCAGCAGAGGAGCCGCGCCGGGGAGAAACGCCGCGAGTGTGGGGAGAGCTTTGGTGAGAACTTCAGCCTGATGTGGGGAGAAACCCCACGAGTGTGGGGAGAGCTTTGGTGAGAACTTCAGCCTGATCTGGGGAGAAATGGAGAAACCCCACGAGTGTGGGGAGAGCTTTGGTGATGATCTGGGGACAAACCCCACAAGTCTGGGGAGAGCTTCAGTGAGAACTTCAGCCTGATGTGGGGAGAAGCCCTACAAGTGTGGGGAGGGCTTTGGTGAGAACTCCAACCAGATCTGGGGAGAAACCCCACGAGTGTGGGGAGAGCTTCGGTTGGAAATCCCAACTGAAGGTCCACCAGAGGAGCCACCCTGGGGACAAACCCCACGAGTGTGGGGAGAACTTTGGTGATGATCTGGGGAGAAACCCTACAAGTGTGAGGAGAGCTTTGGTGAGAACTTCAGCCAGATCTGGGGAGAAATGGAGAAACCCTACAAGTGTGGGGAGAGCTTTGGTGATGATCTGGGGAGAAACCCCACGAGTGTGGGGAGAACTTTGGTGAGAACTTCAGACTGATCTGGGGAGAAACCTTACAAGTGTGGGGAGAACTTCGGTTGGAAATCCCAACTGAAGGTCCACCAGAGGAGCCACCCTGGGGAGAGAAACCCCACGAGTGTGGGGAGAGCTTTGGTGAGAACTTCAGACTGATTTGGGGAGAAACCCTACAAGTGTGGGGAGAATTTTGGTGAGAACTTCAGCCTGATCTGGGGAGAAACCCCACGAGTGTGGGGAGAACTTCAGTTGGAAATCCCACCTGAAGGTCCACCAGAGGAGCCACCCTGGGGACAAACCCTACAAGTGTGGGGAGAGCTTTGGTGAGAACTTCAGCCTGATCTGGGGAGAAAGGGAGAAACCCTACGAGTGTGGGGAGAACTTTGGTGAGAACTTCAGCCGGATTTGGGGAGAAACCCCACGAGTGTGGGGAGAACTTTGGTGATGATTTGGGGAGAAACCCCACAAGTGTGGGGCGAGCTTCGGTTGGAAATCCCAACTGAAGGTCCACCAGAGGAGCCACCCTGGGGAGAAACTCTACAAGTGTGGGGAGAGCTTTGGTGATGATCTGGGGAGAAACCCTACAAGTGTGGGGAGAACTTTGGTGAGAACTTCAACCTGATCTGGGGAGAAACCCTACAAGTGTGGGGAGAGCTTTGGTGAGAACTTCAGCCTGATCTGGGGGGAAACCCTACAAGTGTGGGGAGAGCTTTGGTGAGAACTTCAACCTGATGTGGGGAGAAGCCCCACGAGTGTGGGGAGAGCTTTGGTGAGAACTTCAGACTGATGTGGGGAGAGCTTTGGTGAGAACTTCAACCTGATGTGGGGAGAAACCCTACAAGTGTGGGGAGAACTTTGGTGAGAACTTCAACCTGATGTGGGGAGAAACCCCACGAGTGTGGGGAGAACTTCGGTTGGAAATTCCACCTGAAGGTCCACCAGAGGAGCCACCCTGGGGAGAGAAACCCCACGAGTGTCCCCAAAATCCAGAGAACCTCAGGAAAACCAAAAGCTGGAGAGGACAAAGGCAGATCTGAACCAACGCGGTTCATGGAACGTTCTCCGTTTATTCGAGATGAGGTGGTGGTTGATAGAAACGAAGAAATTGTTTAAATTTTCCTTAAGTGGCCTTAATCTGACACGATAAATTTATATAATGACTATAAATTTATATATGACACTATAAAGATAAGGATGTGTCCATGGATGGGGACATGGTGGGACATGGCCATGGATGGGGACGTGGTGGGACATGGCCATGGTGGGACATGGATGGGGACGTGGCCATGGATGGGAACGTGACCATGGATGGGGACATGGATGGGGACATGGTGGGATGTGGTGGGACATGGCCATGGTGGGACATGGTGGGACATGGCCATGGATGGGGACATGATGGGACATGGCCATGGATAGGGATGGGGACATGGTGGGACATGGTGGGACATGAACATGGATGGGAACGTGGCCATGGATGGGAACATGGTGGGACATGGCCATGGATGAGGACGTGACCATGGATGGGGACATGGTGGGACATGGCCATGGTGGGACATGGATGGGGACGTGGCCATGGATGGGGACGTGGCCATGGATGGGGACATGGCCATGGATGGGGACATGGTCATGGTGGGACATAGACATGGATGAGGATGTGATCATGGATGGGGACTTGGGACAAGGACGGGGATGGGGACATGGATGGGGACGTGGCCATGGATGGGGACATGGTGGGACATGGACATGGATGGGAATGTGGCCATGGATGGGGACATGGTGGGACATGGCCGTGGATGAGGACGTGATGGGACATGGCCATGGTGGGACATGGATGGGGACGTGGCCATGGATGGGGATGGGGACATGGATGGGGACATGGTGGGACATGGCCATGGATGAGGACGTGTTCATGAATGGGGACATGGTGGGACATGAACATGGTGGGACATGGTGGGACATGGTGGGACATGGTGGGACATGGCCATGGATGGGGACATGGTCATGGATGGGGACATGGTGGGACATGAACATGGTGGGACGTGGTGGGACATGGCCATGGATGGGGACATGGTGGGACATGAACATGGATGGGAACATGGCCATGGATGGGGATGGGGACATGGATGGGAACATGGTGGGACGTGGTGGGATGGGGCCATGGATGGGAACGTGGTGGGACGTGGCCATGGTGGGACATTGGCATGGATGGGGACATGGCCATGGATGGGGACATGGTGGGACATTGGCATGGATGGGGACGTGGTGGGACGTGGCCATGGATGGAGACGTGGTGGGACATGGCCATGGATGGGGATGGGGACATGGATGGGGACATGGTGGGACATGAACATGGTGGGACATGGTGGGACATGGCCATGGTGGGACATGGATGGGGACATGGTCATGGTGGGACATAGACATGGATGAGGATTGATCATGGATGGGGACATGGGACAAGGACGGGGATGGGGACATGGATGGGGACGTGGCCATGGATGGGGACATGGTGGGACATGGCCATGGATGAGGACGTGATGGGACATGGCCATGGATGGGGACGTGGTGGGACGTGACCGTGGATGGGGACGTGGTGGGACGTGGCCATGGTGGGACATGGTGGGACATGGACATGGTGGGACATGGTGGGACATGGCCATGGTGGGACATGGTGGGACATGGCCATGGTGGGACATGGCCATGGATGGGGACATGGTCATGGTGGGACATAGACATGGATGAGGATGTGATCATGGATGGGGACATGGTGGGACATGGCCATGGTGGGACATGGATGGGGATGAGGACATGGATGGGGACTTGGTGGGACATTGGCATGGATGGGGACATGGTCATGGATGGGGACATGGTCATGGTGGGACATAGACATGGATGGGGACTTGGGACAAGGACGGGGATGGGGACATGGATGGGGACGTGGCCATGGATGGGGGCATGGTGGGACATGGTGGGACATGGTGGGACATGGCCATGGATGAGGACGTGGCCATGGATGGGGACATGGTGGGACATTGGCATGGATGGGGACATGGCCATGGATGGGGACATGGTGGGACATGAACATGGTGGGACATGGTGGGACATGGCCATGGTGGGACATGGATGGGGACGTGGCCATGGATGGGGACATGGTGGGACATGGCCATGGATGAGGACGTGACCATGGATGGGGACATGGCCATGGATGGGGACGTGGTGGGATGTGGTGGGACATGGCCATGGATGGGGACGTGGTTGGTCCAGATGGACACCAGACCATGAATCCTACTCTGGATGGACACCGGTCCAAGTGGACACCAGACCTGCTCCTGCATCCCCCCAGCGTGACCAACCCCCAGCCCAGGCGACCACCGACCTGACCACGTCCTGGCCCACTCCACCGGTCCCCAAAATCAACCCAAACCCCCAAAAAATAAACCCCAAAACCCCCCAAAATAACCCCAATTCCAGAAGGTCACCTCTGATCCGCGCCTGCAGAACTGAGGGAAACTGAGGCACCAGGAGGAACTTCAACCCCCACCTCGGAGACCCCAAAACCACCACCCGCCCCCCAAAATATCCAAAATATCACCTCAGCACCCCCAAAAAACCCCAAATTTCACATCGTGAGGTCTTGGAGACCCCAAAACCACCACCCGACCCCCAAAATATCCAAAATATCACCTCAGACCACCCAAAAAACCCCAAAATTTGACATCGTGGAGGGAAACTGAGGCAGGTCCCACCTCGGAGACCCCAAAACCACCACCCGCCCCCCAAAATATCCAAAATATCACCTCAAAACCCCCAAAAAAACCCCAAAATTTCGCATCGTGAGGTCTCGGAGACCCCAAAACGACCACCCGACCCCCAAAATGTCACCTCAACACCCCCAAAAAACCCCAAATTTCTCATCATGAGGTCTTGGAGACCCCAAAACGACCACCCGCCCCCCAAAATGTCACCTCAGACCCCCAAAAAACCCCAAATTTCACATCGTGAGGTCTTGGAGACCCCAAAACCACCACCCGCCCCCAAAATATCACCTCAGCACCCCCAAAAAAACCCCAAAAAACCCCAAATTTCACATCGTGAGGTCTTGGAGACCCCAAAACCACCACCCGCCCCCCAAAATATCACCTCAGACCACCCAAAAATCCCCAAATTTCTCATCGTGAGGTCTCGGAGACCCCAAAACCACCACCCACCCCCCAAAATATCACCTCAACACCCCCAAAAAACCCCAAAAAACCCCAAAAATCCCCAAATTTCTCATCGTGAGGTCTTGGAGACCCCAAAACCACCACCCGCCCCCCAAAATATCCAAAATATCACCTCAGACCCCCCAAAAAACCCCAAATTTCACATCGTGAGGTCTCGGAGACCCCAAAACCACCACCCGACCCCCAAAATATCCAAAATATCACCTCAACACCCCAAAAAAACCCCAAATTTCACATCGTGAGGTCTTGGAGACCCCAAAACCACCACCCGCCCCCCAAAATATCCAAAATATCACCTCAGACCCCCCAAAAACCCCAAATTTCACATCGTGAGGGAAACTGAGGCAGGTCCCACCTCGGAGACCCCAAAACCACCACCCGCCCCCCAAAATATCCCCTCAGACCCCCCAAAAAAACCCCAAATTTCACATCGTGAGGTCTCGGAGACCCCAAAACCACCACCCGCCCCCCAAAATGTCACCTCAGACCCCCCAAATTTCACATCGTGAGGGAAACTGAGGCAGGTCCCACCTCGGAGACCCCAAAACGACCACCCGCCCCCCAAAATGTCACCTCAGACCCCCCAAATTTCACATCGTGAGGGAAACTGAGGCAGGTCCCACCTCGGAGACCCCAAAACGACCACCCGCCCCCCAAAATATCCAAAATATCACCTCAACACCCCCAAAAACCCCAAATTTCACATCGTGAGGTCTCGGAGACCCCAAAACCACCACCCGCCCCCCAAAATATCACCTCAGACCCCCCAAAAAAACCCAAATTTCGCATCTTGGAGGGGTGGGAGGACCTCCAGGTGCCACCAGCCCCACCCGAGGAGGAGGAGGAGGAGGAGGAGGAGGAAGAATTGAGGGTGTGACTGAAACTCCCGCCCGGTCACATGAGGGAAACTGAGGCAGGAACCGCGGCAGCAGCACCGGAGGTACCGGGAGGGGGTTTGGGGGTGACAATCCCCCCCAAAAAATGTCCCCAAAATGTCCCCAAAATGTCCCCTGGGGTGGGGGTGGCGCGGGGTGGAAGCGGCCCCAAAAAAGGGACCCCAAAAATGGGGAAATTTTGTGGTTTTGTCACTTTTTTTGGCGCCATCGATGGAGGATGTGGTCACCCCCCCCATCCCCCCCCCCCCCAATTTGGGGACAAATTGTCGCGCGGTGGTGACAAAACGCGGGTGGCACCTCGGGGTGGCACAAGGGGGGGGGAGGGTCACCTGAGGGGGGACAAAAGTTTTTTTTGGGGGGTCGGGGGTGTCCCCAAAGTGCCCAAAATTCAATTTTTCCCCATCCCCCCAACCCCAAATCCGCCCCAAAACCCCCAAATTCAGCTCTCCCCATCCCCCAACCCCAAAACCACCCCCCAAACCCCCCAAAATTCTCTCCCCCCATCCCCACAACCCCAAATCCACCCCAAAACCCCCCAAAAATCAACTCCCCCAACCCCAAATCCACCCCTGAACCCCAAAATTCTGTCCCCCCATCCCCCAACCCCAAAACCCCCCAAAAATCAACTCCCCCAACCCCAAATCCACCCCAAAACCCCCCAAAATTCAGCTCCCCCATCCCCCCAACCCCAAATCCACCCCAAAACCCCCCAAAATTCTCTCCCCCCATCCCCCCAACCCCAAATCCACCCCAAAACCCCCCAAATTCAGCTCCCCCATCCCCCAACCCTCAAAATGTCACCTCAGCATCCCAAAATCAACCCCAACCCCCCAAATCTCCCCAAAATCCCTCCCCCAATCCCAAATCCACCCCAAAACCCCCCAAAAATCAACTTCCCCCAACCCCCAACCACAAATCCACCCCAAAACCCCCCAAAACTCAACTCCCCCAAATCCCCCGAACCCCAAATCCACCCCAAAACCCCCCAAAACTCAACTCCCCAACCCCAAATTCACCCTAAACACCCCAAAAATCAACTCCCCCCACCCCAAATCCACCCCCTGAACCCCCAAAATTCTCTCCCCCAACCACAAATCCACCCCAAAACCCCCCAAATTCAGCTCCCCCATCCCCCCAACCCCAAATTCACCCCCGAACCCCCCAAAATTCTCTCCCCCCACCCCAAATCCACCCCAAAACCCCCAAAAATTCTCTCCCCGCAACCCCAAATCCGCCCCCCAAAGCCCCCAAAACTCAACTCCCCCATCCCCCGAACCCCAAATCCACCCCCTGAAACCCCCAAAATTCTCTCCCCCCATCCCCCACAACCCCAAATCCACCCCAAATCTCCCCAAAAATCAACTCCCCCAACCCCAAATCCACCCCCAAAACCCCCCAAAATTCTCTCCCCCCACCCCAAATCCACCCCAAATCCCCCAAAAATCAACTACCCACAACCCCAAATCCACCCCCAAACCCCCCAAAATTCTCTCCCCCATCCCCAAATCCACCCCAAAACCCCCCAAAATCAACTCCCCCAACCCCAAATCCGCCCCCTGAACCCCAAAATTCTCTCCCCCCCCCCAGATGGAGCGCCCCTCCCCCCTCCGGACCTACAAGTGGCGCTCGGTGACCCCCGCGCGGGGGGACCCCCAAAAGTTCGGGGGGTCCCGGCGGCGCTGGGCGGGAATGGCGCGCTGGGGGCGAGCCCGGAGCGGCGGCGGCGGCGGCGCATGTCGCGATAGGGGCGGCGATAGGGGGGGCGACAGGGGGGGCGACAGGGGGGGTGACAGGGGGGGTGACAGAGGGGGTGACAGAGGTGACAGGGGTGGCGATAGGGGGGGTGACAGAGGTGACAGGGGTGGTGACAGGGATCGCGATAGGGGTGACAGAGGTGACAGAGATCGCGATAGGGGTGACAGATGTGGCGATAGGGGGGGTGACAGGGGTGGTGACAGAGATGGCGATAGGGATGGCGACACGGGTCGCGACAGAGGTGGCGATAGGGGTGGTGACAGAGGTGACAGAGGTGGCGATAGGGGTGGTGACACGGGTCGCGACAGGGATCGCGACAGGGGTGGCGACAGGGGGAGTGACAGAGGTGACAGAGGTGGCGACAGAGGTGGCGATAGGAGTGACGATAGGGGTGGCGATAGGGGTGGCGATAGGGGTGACACGGGTGACAGAGGTGGCGATAGAGGTGGCGACACGGGTCGCGATAGGGATCGCGATAGGGGTGGCGATAGAGGTGACAGAGGTGGCGATAGGGGTGGCGATAGGGGTGGCGATAGGGGGGGTGACACGGGTCGCGACAGGGATCACGATAGGGGGGGTGACAGAGGTGGCGATAGGGGTGACAGAGGTGGCGACAGGGGGAGTGACAGGGATCGCGACAGGGATCGCGATAGGGGTGACAGAGGTGACAGCGGTGGCGATAGGGGTGGTGACAGGGGTGGTGACAGAAGTGGCGACAAAGATCGCGATAGGGGGAGTGACAGAAGTGGCGACAGAGGTGGCGATAGGAGTGGCGACACGGGTCCCGACAGGGATCGCGACAGGGGGAGTGACAGAAGTGGCGACAGAGGTGGCGACAGGGACCGCGACAGGGGGAGTGACAGAGGTGGCAATAGGGGTGGTGACAAAGATCGCGACAGGGGGAGTGACAGAAGTGACGACAGAGCTGGCGACAGGGACCTCGACAGAGGTGGCGACAGGGATGGCGACAGGGATGTCCCCAAGGCCACCGCGCGGCGCTCGCTGTTCCGGAGGGCGTTTTCCGCCCCCTGCACAGCACCCAAGGGTGCGGGGGAGCCCTGGGGACACCCCGGGGGACACCCCGGGACAGCGGGGGACACCCGGGGACACCCCGGGACGAGGCCACCCCTGCAGTGGGTCCTGCACAGGAGGAGGGGACACGGTGAGAGGGGGTTTGGGGTGAGGGGTGGGGGGTGATGGGGTGATTGTGTCCCTTGATGTCACCTCACCCTTGGTGTCACCAAACCCATGGTGGCATCTCCATGGCCTTGGTGTCACCTCTTCCATGGTGGCATCTCCATGGCCTTGGTGGCACCTCCATGGCCACGTGTCCCTTGGTGCCACCTCACCCTTGGTGTCACCTCACCCTTGGTGCCACCAAACCCTTGGTGCCACCAAACCCTTGGTGGCACCTCCATGGCCTTGGTGGCACCTCCATGGCCTTGGTGACACCTCCATGACCTTGGTGTCACCTCACCCTTAGTGTCACCTCACCCTTGGTGCCACCACACCCATGGTGGCCCCTCCATGGTGACACCTCCATGGCCTTGGTGGCACCTCAATCATGGTGGCCCCTCCATGGTGACACCCCCGCGGGTGCCACCGACCCTGCGGCCACCCACCCCCATTCTGTCCCCTCAGGGACCTCCTTGGGGACGTCCCCGCCGCCGGTGGCCCCGGTGCCACCCGATGCCACCGTGTGGGACGTGTCCCAGTTCCGGCTGCTGGACGGACGCCTGGTGGCACTGGGGGGGGACCCTGAGGTGAGCGGGGACATCGGGGTGTCCCCTGGGTGGCACCTCGGGGTGTCCCCAGGATGTCCCCAGGGTGGGAGGTGGCACTTTCAGATGTCCCCTGGGTGGGAGGTGGCACCTCGGGGTGTCCCTAAGGTGGGAGGTGGCACCTCCTGGTGTCCCCTGGGTGGCACCTCCGGGTGTCCCCAAGGTGGGAGGTGGCACCTCGGGGTGTCCCCAGGGTGTCCCCAAAGTGTCCTCAGGGTGTCACCCCAGGGTGTCCTCTCAGGGTGTCCCCAGAGTGTCCCCAGGGTGTCCCCAAAGTGTCCCCAAAGAGTCCCCAGGGTGTCCCCAAAGTGTCCCCAGAGTGTCCCCAAAGTGTCCCCAAGGTGTCCCCAGAGTGTCCCCAAAGTGTCCCCAAGGTGTCCCCAGAGTGTCCCCAAAGTGTCCCCAGAGTGTCCCCAAAGTGTCCTCAGGGTGTCACCCCAGGGTGTTCTCTCAGGGTGTCCCCAAAGTGTCCCCAAAGTGTCCCCAGAGTGTCCCCAAAGTGTCCCCAGGGTGTCCCCAAAGTGTCCCCAGAGTGTCCCCAGAGTGTCCCCAAAGTGTCCCCAAAGTGTCCCCAAGGTGTCCCCAGGGTGTCCCCAGGGTGTCCCCAAGGTGTCACCTCGTGCTGTCCCCAGGGTGTCCCCGTGTCCCCTCCCGCTGGCGCTGCCACCCCCGAGGCCACCGAGCCCAACCCGGGTGAGACACGGGGGGAACTGGGAGGGAACTGGGAGGGACTGGGAGGGAACTGGGTTATACTGGTTTATACTGGTTTATACTGGGTTATACTGGGTTATACTGGTTTATACTGGGCTATACTGGTTTATACTGGGAGCACTTTGGGGCTACTGGGTTATACTGGTTTATACTGGTCCATACTGGTCCATACTGGTTTATACTGGTCCAAACTGGGTTATACTGGTCCATACTGGTTTATACTGGTCCGTACTGGTCTGTATTGTTCCATACTGGTTTATACTGGGAGCACTGGGGGGTTACTGGGTTATACTGGTTTATACTGGGAGCACTTTGGGGTTACTGGGTTATACTGGTTTATACTGGGAGCACTGGGGGGTTACTCGGGGGGTGACGGGTTCATACTGGTTCATACTGGTTTATACTGGTTTATACTGGGTTATACTGGTTTATACTGGGAGCACTTTGGGGTTACTGGGTTATAATGGTCCGTACTGGTCCATACTGGTCCATACTGGTTTATACTGGGAGCACTTTGGGGTTACTGGGTTATACTGGTTTATACTGGGAGCACTGGGGGGTTACTCAGGGGGTGACGGGTTCATACTGGTTCATACTGGTTCATACTGGGTTATACTGGATTATACTGGGTTATACTGGGTTATACTGGGTTATGCTGGTTTATACTGGTTTATACTGGTTTATACTGGGTTATACTGGTTTATACTGGTTTATACTGGGTTATACTGGTTTGTACTGGGAGCACTGGGGAGATACTGGTTTATACTGGTTTATACTGGTTTATACTGGGTTATACTGGGTTATACTGGTTTATACTGGGTTATACTGGGTTATACTGGGTTATAGTGGTCCGTACTGGTCCATACTGGTCCATACTGGTTTATACTGGTCCGTACTGGTCTGTATTGTTCCATACTGGTTTATACTGGGAGCACTGGAGGGTTACTCGGGGGGTGACGGGTCCATACTGGTCCATACTGGTTCATACTGGTTTATACTGGTTTATACTGGGTTATACTGGTTTATACTGGTCCATACTGGTCCGTACTGGTCCATACTGGTCCATACTGGTTTATACTGGTCCATACTGGTCCATACTGGTCCATACTGGTTTATACTGGGTTATACTGGTTTATACTGGTCCATACTGGTCCGTACTGGTCCATACTGGTCCATACTGGTTTATACTGGTCCATACTGGTCCATACTGGTCCATACTGGTTTATACTGGTTTATACTGGTTTATACTGGTACATACTGGTCCATACTGGTCCGTACTGGTCCATACTGGTCCATACTGGTCCATACTGGTCCATACTGGTTTTCACTGGGTGCCCCCCCAGGCCCGGCCGAGCGCAGGACGGGACACGGCAAGGTGGGACAGAGGTGGCACTGCCACTGTCGTTGTCACTGTGTCATTGTCATTGTCATTGTCACTGTCACTGTCACTGTCACTGTCACTGTCACTGTCACTGTGTCACTGCCATTGTCATTGTCACCTGTCCTTGTCACTGTCACTGTCACTGTGTCACTGTGTCACTGTCCCCGTCCCTGTCCCTCTGTCCCTGTCCCTGTCCCTGTCCCTGTGTCACTGTCCCTGTCCCCATCCCTGTCCCTGTCCCCTCTGTCACTGTGTCCCTGTCCCTCTGTCCCTGTCCCTGTCCCTGTGTCACTGTCCCTGTCCCTGTCCCTGTCCCCTCTGTCACTGTCACTGTGTCACTGTCCCTGTCCCTGTGTCACTGTCCCTGTGTCCCTGTGTCACTGTGTCCCTGTGTCACTGTGTCCCCATCCCTGTCCCTGTCCCCTGTGTCACTGTGTCCCTGTGTCCCTGTCCCTGTCCCTGTCCCTCTGTCCCTGTCCCCTCTGTCCCTGTCCCCTCTGTCACTGTGTCACTGTGTCCCTGTGTCACTGTCCCTGTCCCCGTCCCTGTCCCTCTGTCACTGTCCCTGTCCCTCTGTCCCCATCCCTGTCCCTGTGTCACTGTCCCTGTGTCCCCCTGTCCCTGTCCCCGTCCCTGTCCCTCTGTCCCTGTCCCTGTCCCTGTCCCCTGTGTCCCCATCCCTGTCCCTGTCCCCTCTGTCACTGTCACTGTCCCTGTCCCTGTCCCCTGTGTCACTGTCACTGTGTCCCTGTCCCTGTGTCAGTGTCCCTGTCCCTGTGTCCCTGTCCCCTGTGTCCCTGTCCCTGTGTCACTGTCCCTGTCCCTGTCCCTGTGTCCCTGTCCCCTGTGTCCCTGTCCCTGTCCCTGTGTCACTGTGTCCCTGTGTCACTGTGTCCCCGTGTCCCTGTCCCTGTCCCTGTGTCCCTGTGTCCCTGTGTCCCTGTCCCTGTCCCTGTCCCTCTGTCACTGTGTCCCTGTCCCTGTCCCTGTGTCACTGTCCCCATCCCTGTCCCCTCTGTCACTGTGTCACTGTCCCTGTCCCCATGTCGCTGTCCCTGTCCCCTCTGTCACTGTCCCTGTCCCCGTCCCCAGGCGCTGCTCTGGAAGAGGCTCCTCCGGGACTGGAAGAGTCGCGGTGGCACCAGAAGTGACCCCGGGGTGGTGGCAGCGCCCGAGGGTGACAGGTCAGTGCCACTCCTGTCCCGGTGACCCCGCTGTCCCCTTGCTGTCCCCTCGCTGTCCCTTTTCGGGGTCCCGGTGACACTCCTGTCCCTTTTTGGGGTCCCGGTGACACCCCTGTCCCTTTTGGGGTCCCTTTTTGGGGTCCCTTTTCGGGGTCCCTTTTTGGGATCCCTTTTCGGGGTCCCTTTGGGGTCCCAGTGACACTCCTGTCCCTTTTCGGGGTCCCTTTTCGGGGCCCTTTTTGGGGTCCCTTTGGGGTCCTGGTGACACCCCTGTCCCCTTTTGGGGTCCCTTTTCAGGGTCCCTTTGGGGTCCCGGTGACACCCCTGTCCCTTTTTGGGGTCCCTTTTCGGGGTCCCTTTTCGGGGTTCCGGTGACACTGCTGTCCCTTTCGGGGTCCCGGTGTCACCCCTCTCCCTTTTTGGGGTCCCTTTTCGGGGTCCCGGTGACACCCCTGTCCCCTTTTGGGGTCCTTTTTTGGGGTCCCTTTTCGGGGTCCCTTTTCGGGGTCCCTTTTCGGGGTCCCGGTGTCACCCCTGTCCCTTTTGGGGTCCCGGTGACACCCCTCTCCCTTTTGGGGTCCCTTTTTGGGGTCCCGGTGACACCCCTCTCCCTTTTGGGGTCCCTTTTCGGGGTCCCGGTGACACCCCTGTCCCTTTTTGGGGTCCCGGTGTCCCCCCTGTCCCCTTTTGGGGTCCCTTTTCGGGGTCCCTTTTTGGGGTCCCTTTTTGGGGTCCCTTTGGGGTCCTGGTGACACCCCTGTCCCCTTTTTGGGGTCCCTTTTTGGGGTCCCGGTGACACCCCTGTCCCTTTTGGGGTCCCGGTGACACCCCTCTCCCTTTTGGGGTCCCTTTTCGGGGTCCCGGTGACACCCCTGTCCCTTTTTGGGGTCCCGGTGACACCCCTGTCCCTTTTCGGGGTCCCTTTTCGGGGTCCCGGTGTCACCCCTGTCCCTTTTTGGGGTCCCGGTGACACCCCTGTCCCTTTTGGGGTCCCGGTGACACCCCTGTCCCTTTTGGGGTCCCGGTGTCCCCCCTGTCCCTTTCTGGGGTCCCGGTGTCACCCCTGTCCCTTTTGGGGTCCCTTTTTGGGGTCCCGGTGACACCCCTGTCCCTTTTGGGGTCCCGCAGCCGCGGCGGGTCCCCGGTGTCGCCCCCCGGGCTGGAGCTCAGCGGTGACGGTGTCGTGGTGCGGCCGGTGCACGGCAGCGTGGCGGGAGAGAGCTTCTGCTTCCAGGTACGGCCCCGCGCCCCAAAACTGCCCCTGCACCCCAAAAACGGCACCCCCAAATCCCAAAAACGGCCCCGCGCCCCAAAAACGGCACCCGGATCCCAAAAACGGCACCCGGATCCCAAAAATGGCACCCGGATCCCAAAAACGGCTCCCGGATCCCAAAAATGGCACCCAGATCCCAAAAACTGCCCCGCGCCCCAAAAACGGCACCCCCAAATCCCAAAAACTGCCCCGCGCCCCAAAAACGGCACCCGGATCCCAAAAACGGCCCCAGGATCCCAAAAAGGGCACCCGCGCCCCAAAAACGGCTCCCGGATCCCAAAAAGGGCACGCGGATCCCAAAAAGGGCACCTGAACCCTAAAAAGGGCACCCGCACCCCAAAAAGGGCACCCGGATCCCAAAAAGGGCACCCGGATCCCAAAAATGGCACCCGGATCCCAAAAAGGGCACCTGGATCCCAAAAAGGGCACCCGGATCCCAAAAAGGGCACCCGGATCCCAAAAAGGGCACCCAGATCCCAAAAACTGCCCCGCGCCCCAAAAACGGCACCTGGATCCCAAAAAGGGCACCCGGATCCCAAAAAGGGCACCCGGATCCCAAAAAGGGCACCCGAACCCTAAAAAGGGCACCCAGATCCCAAAAAGGGCACCCGGATCCCAAAAAAGGCCCCTGCACCCCAAAAAGGGCACCCCCAAATCCAAATAGGGCACCCAGATCCCAAAAAGGGCACCCCCAAATCCAAATAGGGCACCCAGAGCACCCCAGAAATCCTAACAGGGCACCCATACCCCAAAAAAGGCACCCAGACCCTAAAAAGGGCACCCAGATCCCAAAAAGGGCACCCGGATCCCAAAAACGGCACCTGGATCCTGAAAAGGGCGCCCAAACCCCAAAAAGGGCACCCAGAGCACCCCAGAAATCCTAACAGGGCACCCAAACCCCAAAAAGGGCACCCAGATCCCAAAAAGGGAACCCAAATCCAAATAGGGCACCCGGATCCCAAAAACGGCACCCGGATCCCAAAAAGGGCACCCGGACCCCAAAAAGGGCACCCGGACCCCAAAAAGGGCACCCGGACCCCAAAAACGGCACCCGCACCTCAGAAACGGCCCTCACGCCCCAAAAACGGCCCCTGCGCCCCAAAAACGGCACCCGGATCCCAAAAAAGGCACCCCCAAATCCAAAAAAGGCTCCCGGATCCCAAAAAGGGCACCCGGACCCTAAAAAGGGCACCCAAACCCCAAAAAGGGCACCCGGATCCCAAAAATGGCGCCCGGATCCCAAAAAGGGCACCCGGATCCCAAAAACGGCACCCAAAACAGTGTCACCCTCGGTGTCCCTCAGTGTCCTGCCACCCTCAGTGTCCCATCACCCTCAATGTCCCCTCAAGGCCACCTCAGTGTCCCCTCAGTGTCCCCTCAGTGTCCCCATCACCCTCAATGCCACCCCAGTGTCCCCTCAATGCCACCCCAGTGTCCCCCCAGTGTCCCCTCAGTGTCCCCTCAGTGCCACCCCAGTGTCCCCTTAGTGTCCCTGTCACCCTCAGTGTCCCCATCACCCTCAATGCCACCCCAGTGTCCCCTCAGTGTCCCCTCAATGCCACCCCAGTGTCCCCTCAGTGTCCCCTCAATGCCACCCCAGTGTCCCCTGGTGTCCCCTCAGTGTCCCCATCACCCTCAATGTCCCCTCAGTGTCCCCTCAGTGTCCCTGTCACCCTCAGTGTCCCTCAGTGTCCCTCAGTGTCCCCTCAGTGTCCCTCAGTGTTCCCTCAGTGTCCCTCAGTGTCCCTCAGTGTCCCTCAGTGTCCCTCAGTGTCCCCTCGGTGTCCCCTCAATGTCCCCTCAGTGTCCTCTCAGTGTCCCCTCAGTGTCCCCTCAATGCCACCCCAGTGTCCCCTCAGCGTCCTTGTCACCCTCAGTGTCCCCATCCCTCTCAATGCCACCCCAATGTCCCCTCAATGCCACCCCAATGTCCCCTCAGTGTCCCTCAGTGTCCCCTGGTGTCCCCTCAGTGTCCCCATCACCCTCAGTGTCCCTCAGTGTCCCTGTCACCCTCAGTGTTCCATCACCCTCAATGCCACCCCAGTGTCCCCTCAGTGTCCCTCAGTGTCCCCTCGGTGTCCCCATCACCCTCAGTGTCCCTCAGTGTCCTGTCACCCTCAGTGTCCCCCCAGTGTCCCCTCAGTGTCCCCTCAGTGTCCCTCAGTGTCCCCTCAGTGTCCCCTCAGTGCCACCCCAGTGTCCCCTCAGTGTCCCCATCACCCCCAGTTTCCCTCAGCGTCCTTGTCACCCTCAGTGTCCCCTCAGTGCCACCCCAGTGTCCCCTCAGTGTCCCCTCAATGCCACCCTCAATGCCACCCCAGTGTCCCCTCAGTGTCCCCTCAATGCCAACCTCAATGCCACCCCAGTGTCCCCTCAATGCCACCCCAGTGTCCCCTCAGCGTCCCTGTCACCCTCAGTGTCCCCTCAGTGTCCCTCAGTGTCCCTCAGTGTCCCATCACCCTCAGTGTCCCATCACCCTCAATGCCACCCCAGTGTCCCCCAGTGTCCCCCAGTGTCCCCTCGGTGTCCCCGCTGTCCCCATCACCCCCAGTGTCCCCCCAGTGTCCCCTCAGTGTCCCTCAGTGTCCTGTCACCCTCAGTGTCCCCATCCCTCTCAATGCCACCCCAGTGTCCCCTCAGTGTCCCCTCAATGCCACCCCAATGTCCCCCCAGTGTCACCCTCAGTGTCCCTGTCACCCTCAGTGTCCCGTCACCCTCAGTGCCACCCCAGTATCCCCTCAGTGTCCCCTCAGTGTCCTTGTCACCCTCAGTGTCCCCTCAGTGTCCCCTCAGTGTCCCCATCATGCTCAGTGTCCCCTCAGTGTCCCATCACCCTCAATGCCACCTCAGTGTCCCCTGGGTGTCCCCTCGCTGTCCCCTCAGGTGATCACACCCTCGGGCAGCCGCTCCTTCTCCTGCGCCTCCCGGGCCGAGCGCGACCGATGGATGGAGGAACTGCGGCGGGTGGCACGGCCGGGCAAGGTGGGACAGGGACACCTCGGGGACACCCCGGGGACACTGAGGGGACACCCTGGGGACACCTCGGGGACACCCTGCCACCCCCAGCCCCTCATCGGGCTCTCCTGTCCTTGGGCTGGTGGGGAAACTGAGGCACGAACTGTCACCATTGTCCCCTTTGTCCCCTTTGTGCCATTGTCCCTTTGTCCTCATTGTCCCCTTTGTGCCATTGTCCCTTTGTCCCCTTTGTCCCCCTTGTCCCATTGTCCCCATTGTCCCCATTGTCCCATTGTCCCCATTGTCCCCATTGTCCCCATTGTCCCCTCTCTCCCCTTTGTCCCCATTGTCCCCATTGTCCCCATTGTCCCATTGTCCCCATTGTCCCCATTGTCCCATTGTCCCCATTGTCCCCTCTCTCCCCTTTGTCCCCATTGTCCCCATTGTCCCCATTGTCCCCTTGTCCCCTTTATCCCCATTGTCCCCATTGTCCCCAATGTCCCATTGTCCCCTTTATCCCCATTGTCCCCATTGTCCCCATTGTCCCCTTTGTCACCATTGTCACCATTGTCCCTTTGTCCCATTGTCCCCATTGTCCCTTTGTCCCCATTGTCCCATTGTCCCCATTATCCCCATTGTCCCATTGTCCCATTGTCCCCATTGTCCCCATTGTCCCCACTGTCCCCATTGTCCCCATTGTCCCCATTGTCCCTTTATCCCCATTGTCCCCACTGTCCCCATTGTCCCCATTATCCCCATTGTCCCATTGTCCCATTGTCCCCATTGTCCCCATTGTCCCCCTTGTCCCCTTTGTCCCATTGTCCACTTTATCCCCATTGTCCCCATTGTCCCCATTGTCCCCATTGTCCCCATTGTCCCCACTGTCCCCATTGTCCCCATTGTCCCCATTGTCCCCATTGTCCCCATTGTCCCCATTGTCCCCTTTATCCCCATTGTCCCCATTGTCTCCATTATCCCCATTGTCCCCATTGTCCCCATTGTCCCCATTGTCCCCATTGTCCCCTGTCCCTCCAGGACAGCTGCGAGCGCCTGGACCTGTCTCTGACCCTTTGGATCTACGAGGGCCGTGACCTCCCGGCGCGGCGCCGCCTCCGCTGCCACCTCCAACTGGACGGCGCCATCTTCGCCCGCACCACGGCCAAACCGTCCGGCGCCGACGGCCAACTCTTCTGGGGCGAACTCTTCCACCTCCCGGCGCTGCCGCCGGCGCGCGCCCTCACCGTCGCGCTGTGCCGCGACGACCACCCCGGCTGCCGGCCGCTGTCCGCCGTCACCATCCCGCTGGCCGAGCTGGCAGCGGCGCGGCAGCCCCTGGAGCGGTGGTACCCCCTGAGCGGCGCCGGCGGCGAGCGGGCGCCGGCGCTGCGGTTGGGCGGGCGGTACCGCCAGGTCAGGGTGTTGCCCATCGTGCGGTACAAGGAGTTGGCGGAGTTCATCACCTTCCACTACCGGGAGCTGTGTGGCCGCCTGGAGCCGCTCATCGCCGCGCGGCACAAGGAGGAGCTGGCCGGCGCGTTGGTGCGCGTCCTGCAGAGCACCGGCAAGGCCAAGGTGGGGCGGCGTCGGGTACAGGGGTGGGTTTGGTTGGGTTGGGTTGGATGAGTTGGTTTGAATGAGGATGGGTTAGGTTGGGTTGGGATGGGATTGGTGAGATGGGATGGATGTGTTGGGTTGAGTTGGGTGAGGTTGGGTTGAGTTGGGTTGGGTTGGGTTGGGTTGGGTTGGGTTGGGTTGGGTTGGGTTGGGTTGGGTTGGATGAGTTGGTTTAAATGGGGATGGGTTGGGTTGGGTTGGGTTGAGTTGGGTTGGGTTGGGTTGGGATGGGATTGGTGAGATGGGATGGATGTGTTGGGTTGAGTTGGGTGAGGTTGGGTTGAGTTGGGTTGGGTTGGTTTGGGTTGAGTTGGGTTGGGTTGGGTTGAGTTTAGTTGCGTTGGGATGGATTGGGTTGGATGTGTTGGTTTGAATGAGGATGGGTTGGGTTGGGTTGGGTTGGGTTGGGTTGGGTTGGGTTGGGATGGATGCATTGGGTTGAGTTGGGTTGGGTTGGGTTGGGTTGGGTTGATTTGGTTTGGGTTGGGTTGGGTTGGGTTGGGTTGGGTTGGGTTGGGTTGAGTTGGGTTTGGTTGATTTGGTTTGGGTTGGGTTGGGTTGGGTTGGGTTGGGTTGGGTTGAGTTGGGTTGTGTTGGTTGGGTTGGTTACACTGGTTGGGTTTGGTTGATTTGGGTTGGGTTGGGTTGGGTTGGGTTGGGTTGGGTTGGGTTGGGTTGGGTTGGGTTGGGTTGGGTTGGGTTGAGTTGGGTTGAGTTGGATTGGTTGAGTTTAGTTGGGTTGGGTTGGGTTGGGTTGGGTTGGGTTGGGTTGGGTTGGGTTGGGTTGGGTTGGGTTGGGTTGGGATGGGATTGGTGAGATGGGATGGATGTGTTGGGTTGAGTTGGGTGAGGTTGAGTTGAGTTGGGTTGGGTTGAGTTGGGTTTGGTTGATTTGGGTTGAGTTGAGTTGAGTTGGGTTTGGTTTGGGTTGAGTTGAGTTGGGTTGGGATGGGTTGGGTTGGGTTGGGTTGGGTTGAGTTGGGTTGGGTTGGGTTGGGTTGGGTTGGGTTGGGTTTGGGTTGAGTTGGGTTGGCTTGGCTTGAGTTAGAAGAAGACTTTAGACATGGCAAACCCAACTCAAGAGACACCAGGAGATCCAACATGGGTTGACTTGGTCATTTCGGGGTCATGGGTTCCACCAAACCCTTTGAGGACATGGGTGCCACCAAACCCTTCAAGGTCATGGGACCCTTTGGGGACACGGGACCCTTTGGGGTCACGGGTGCCACCAAACCCTTCAAGGTCATGGGACCCTCTGGGGTCACGGGTGCCACCAAACCCTTCGGGGTCATGGGACCCTTTGGTGACATGGGTGCCACCAAACCCTTCAAGGTCATGGGACCCTTTGGGGTCACGGCTGCCACCAAACCCTTCAAGGTCATGGGACCCTTTGGGGACACAGGACCCTTTGGGGTCACGGGTGCCACCAAACCCTTTGGGGACACGGGTGCCACCAAACCCTTTGGGGACACGGGTGCCACCAAACCCTTTGGGGTCATGGGTGCCACCAAACCCTTTGGGGACACAGGTGCCACCAAACCCTTCAAAGTCATGGGACCCTTTGGGGACACGGGTGCCACCAAACCCTTCGGGGTCATGGGTGCCACCAAACCCTTCGGGGTCATGGGACTCTTTGAGGACACGGGTGCCACCAAACCCTTCAAGGTCATGGGAACTTCTGGGGACACGGGTGCCACCAAACCCTTTGAGGACACGGGTGCCACCAAACCCTTTGGGGACACGGGTGCCACCAAACCCTTTGGGGACACGGGTGCCACCAAACCCTTTGGGGTCATGGGACCCTTTGGGGTCACGGGTGCCACCACACGTCCCCACGTGTCCCCGCAGTCGTTCCTGGTGGACCTGGGCGTGGCCGAGCTGGAGCGCTTGGACGAGCGCGAGGCGCTGATCTTCCGCGAGAACACCTTGGCCACCAAGGCCATCGAGGAGTTCATGAAGCTGGTGGGGGCCACGTACCTGCAGGACACGCTGGGTACGCCCAGGGGACACGGGGACATCCCGGCGGGTGGCAGGACACCTTGGTGGGGCAACGCTGGGGTTGTGGGACACCCCTGACCACCCATGGAGACGTTGTGGTGACCTCTTGATCTCCTCATGGCCTGTGGGACACCTCTGACCATCCATGAGGACGTGGTGGTGGCATCTTGGTCACCTCATGGCCTGTGGGACACCCCTGACCATCCGTGGCGACGTGGTGGTGACATCTCAGTCACCTCGTGGGTTGTGGGACCATTCATGGAGATGTGGTGTGGGTTCTTCCTGTCCATCCTGACCCCGGTGACCTCTCGGTCCCCTCATGGACTGTGGGACACCCCTGACCATCCATGGGGACGTGGTGGTGACATCTTGATCACCTCATGGCCTGTGGGACCATCCGTGGGGATGTGGTGTGGGTTCCTCATGTCCATCCTGACCTCGGTGACCTCTCGGTCCCCTCATGGCCTGTAGGACACCCCTGACCACCCATGGGGACGTGCTGTGGGTTCCTCACATCCATCCTGACCCCGGTGACCTCTCGGTCCCCTCATGGACTGTGGGACACCTCTGACCACCCATGGGAACGTGGTGTGGGTTCCTCACGTCCATCCTGACCTCGGTGACCTCTCGGTCCCCTCATGGCCTGTGGGACCATTCATGGAGATGTGGTGTGGGTTCCTCATGTCCATCCTGACCTTGGTGACCTCTCGGTCCCCTCATGGACTGTGGGACCATCCGTGGGGACGTGGTGTGGGTTCCTCATGTCCATCCTGACCCTGGTGACCTCTCGGTCTCTTCATGGACTGTGGGACCACCCATGGGGACGTGGTGTGGGTTCCTCATGTCCATCCTGACCCTGGTGACCTCTCGGTCCCCTCATGGACTGTGGGACACCTCTGACCATCCATGGGGACGTGGTGGTAGCATCTTGGTCACCTCATGGCCTGTGGGACACCACTGACCACCCATGGGGACGTGCTGTGGGTTCCTCACGTCCATCCTGACCTCGGTGACCTCTCAGTCCCCTCATGGCCTGTGGGACACCCCTGACCACCCATGGGGACGTGCTGTGGGTTCCTCCTGTCCATCCTGACCCCGGTGACCTCTCGGTCCCCTCATGGCCTGTGGGACACCCCTGACCACCCATGGGGACATGGTGTGGGTTCCTCCTGTCCATCCTGACCTCGGTGACCTCTCAGTCCCCTCATGGACTGTGGGACACCCCTGACCATCCATGGGGACGTGGTGTGGGTTCCTCACGTCCATCCTGACCTCGGTGACCTCTCAGTCCCCTCATGGACTGTGGGACCATTCATGGAGATGTGGTGTGGGTTCCTCCTGTCCATCCTGACCTCGGTGACCTCTCGGTCCCCTCATGGACTGTGGGACCATTCATGGTGACGTGTTGTGGGTTCCTCCTGTCCATCCTGACCTCGGTGACCTCTCGGTCACCTCATGGACTGTGGGACCATCCGTGGGGACGTGCTGTGGGTTCCTCACGTCCATCCTGACCTCGGTGACCTCTCGGTCCCCTCACGGGCTGTCCCCTGTCCCCAGGGGAGGTGGTGGCCCAGCTCTGCAGCTCCGAGGAGAGCTCCGAGGTGGACCCCAGCAGATGCTCGGGGCTGGAGCTGGCCGAGCACCGGCAGCAGCTGCGGCGGCTCTGCGAGGAGACCCTGCGGCACATCACCAACGGCTCCGAGTGAGGGACACCGCGGGTGGCACCGGGGTGGCACCGGGGTGGCACCGGGGCCAGGAGATCCTGGGAGAAGGGACAGGAGAACCTGGGAGAAGGGACAGGAGATCCTGGGAGAAGGGACAGGAGAACCTGGGAGAAGGGACAGGAGAACCTGGGACAAGGGACAGGAGAACCTGGGAGAAGGGACAGGAGAACCCGGGAGAAGGGACAGGAGATCCTGGGAGAAGGGCCAGGAGAACCTGGGAGAAGGGACAGGAGAACCTGGGATGAGGGACAGGAGAACCTGGGAGAAGCTCGGACACGGGGGTGGGATTGGGGACAGGAAGTGTTTGGGGACATGGATGGAGATGGACACCACGATGGACCTGGGGACAAATTTGGGGACATGGATGGAGATGGACACCAGGATGGACTTGGGGACAAGTTTGGGGACAAGTTTGGGGACACGGATGGAGATGGACACCAGGATGGACTTGGGGACAAGTCTGGGGACAAATTTGGGGACACGGATGGAGATGGACACCAGGATGGACCTGGGGACACGGATGGAGATGGACACCAGGATGAACTCAGGGACACGGATGGAGATGGACACCAGGATGGACTTTGGGGACAAGTTTGGGGACAAGTTTGGGGACAAGTTTGGTGACATGGATGGAGATGGACACCAGGATGGACTTGGGGACAGGGATGGAGATGGACACCAGGATGGACTTAGTGACACGGATGGTGATGGACACCAGAATGGACTTGGGGAGAAGTTTAGTGACACGGATGGAGATGGACACCAGGATGGACTTGGTGACACGGATGGTGAGGGACACCAGGATGGACTTGGGGACAAGTTTGGGGACACGTTTGGTGACACGGATGGGGATGGACACCAGGATGGACCTGGGGACAAATCTGGGGACGAGTTTGGGGACAGGGATGGAGATGGACACCAGGATGGACTTGGAGACAAGTCTGGGGACGAGTTTGGGGACAGGGATGGAGATGGACTCCAGGATGGACTCGGGGACAAATTTGGTGACACGGATGGAGATGGACACCAGGATGGACTTGGGGACACGGGTGGACACCAGGATGGACTTGGGGACACGGGTGGACACCAGGATGGACCTGGGGACACGGATGGACACCAGGATGGACTTGGGGACACGGATGGACACCAGGATGGACTTGGGGACAGGGATGGAGATGGACACCAGGATGGACTTGGTGACATGGATGGAGATGGACACCAGGATGGACCTGGGGACACGGATGGACACCAGGATGGACTTGGGGACACGGATGGACACCAGGATGGACTCGGGGACAAACTTGGCCACACGGATGGTGACGGACACCACCCACCTTTGGTCCACACATGAAGACGCCCACCAAAAACCACTGGTCACCAACCCCAGAGGTGGTGCCACCACCCCGTGTCCCACCACGGTGTCCCACCAGGTCCTTCCCGGCGGAGCTGGGCGAGGTGTTCGCGGCGTGGAGCTCCGAGTGCGCGGCGCGCGGCAAGGCGGCCACCGGCCGGCGCCTGGTGTCCTCCTCGCTCTTCCTGAGGTTCCTCTGCCCGGCCATCATGTCCCCGAGCCTCTTCGGCCTGGTCCAGGAGTACCCCGGCGAGGCCACCGCCCGCAGCCTGACGCTGGTGGCCAAGGTCATCCAGAACTTGGCCAACTTCACCACGTAGGTGGCCGTGGGGACGATGGGGACGTGGGGTGGTGGGGTTGTCCCCAAGGTCGGGTTGTCCCCAACGCGCCACGGACAGTTGGTTTGGATGGTCCACGTTCCTGAAAGTGGCCTTTGACCGTGACCATGGTGGTGACCCCTTGACCATGGTGGTGACCCCTTGACCATGGTGGTGACCCCTTGACCATGACAATGACCCCATGACCATGGTGGTGACCCCAGTCCATGGTGGTGACCCCAGTCCATGGTGGTGACCCCAGACCATGGTGGTGACCCCTTGACCATGGTGGTGACCTCTTGACCATAATGATGACCTCAGACTATGGTGGTCACCCCTTGACCATGGTGGTGACCTCTTGACCATGACAATGACCCCATGACCATGACGATGACCCCAGTCCATGGTGGTGACCTCAGACCATGGTGGTGACCCCTTGACCATGGTGGTGGCCCCTTGACCATGGTGGTGCCCCTTGACCATAATGATGACCTCAGACTATGGTGGTCACCCCTTGACCATGGTGGTGACCCCTTGACCATGACCATAACCCATGACCATGACGATGACCCCAGTCCATGGTGGTGACCTCTTGACCATAATGATGACCTCAGACTATGGTGGTCACCCCTTGACCATGGTAGTGACCCCTTGACCATGATGGTGACCCCTTGACGATGACCCATGACCATGACCCATGACCATGTCAGTGACCCCAGACCATGGTGGTGACCCCTTGACCATGACCATGACCCATGACCATGACCCATGACCATGTCAGTGACCCCAGACCATGGTGGTGACCCCTTGACCATAATGATGACCTCAGACTATGGTGGTGACCCCTTGACCATGACCATAACCCATGACCATGACGATGACCCCAGACCATGGTGGTGACCCCTTGACCATGGTGGTGACCCCATGACCATGACGATGACCCCAGTCCATGGTGGTGACCTCAGACCATGATGGTGACCCCTGACCATGATGGTGACCTCTGACCATGGTGGTGACCCCTTGACCATGACCATGACCCATGACCATGACGATGACCCCAGACCATGGTGGTGACTCCTTGACCATAATGATGACCTCAGACTATGGTGGTGACCCCTTGACCATGGTGGTGACCCCTTGACGATGACCCATGACCATGACCCATGACCATGTCAGTGACCCCAGACCATGGTGGTGACCCCTTGACCATGGTGGTGACTCCTTGACCATGACCATGACCCATGACCATGACAATGACCCCATGACCATGACAGTGACCCCAGACCATGGTGGTGACCCCTTGACCATGGTGGTGACTCCTTGACAATGACCATGACCCATGACCATGACAATGACCCCATGACCATGACGATGACCCCAGTCCATGGTGGTGACCTCTTGACCATAATGATGACCTCAGACTATGGTGGTCACCCCTTGACCATGGTGGTGACCCCTTGACCACGACGATGACCTCAAGACCACGACGATGACCCTTTGACCACGGCCATGACCCCAGGACCACGGTGGTGACCCCTTGACCACAACAATGACCTCAAGACCACGACGATGACCCCAAGACCACGACGATGACCCTTTGACCACGACAATGACCTCAAGACCACAATGATGACCCTTTGACCACAACAATGACCCCAAGACCACGGTGGTGACTCTTTGACCACGGCCATGACCTCAAGACCACAACAATGACCCCAAGACCACGACGATGACCCTTTGACCACAATGATGACCTCAGAGCATGATGATGACCCCAGACCATGATGATGACCTCTGACCATGATGGTGGACCATGTGCTCATGGTGGTGACCCCTTGGCCACAATGATGACCTCAGACCATGGTGGTGACCCCTTGACCATGACAATGACCCCAAGACCACGGTGGTGACCCTTTGACCACAATGATGACCTCAAGACCACGGTGGTGACCCCTGACCATGACCATGACCCATGACCACGACAATGACCTCAAGACCACAATGATGACCCTTTGACCACGACGATGACCTCAAGACCACCACAATGACCTCAAGACCACGGTGGTGACCCCTTGACCACAACAATGACCTCAAGACCACGACAATGACCTCAAGACCACACTGATGACCCTTTGACCACGGCCATGACCTCAAGACCACGGTGGTGACCCTTTGACCACAACGATGACCTCAAGACCACACTGATGACCCTTTGACCACGGCCATGACCCCAGACCATGGTGGTGACCCCTGACCATGACCATGACCCCAGACCATGGTGGTGACCCCTGACCATGACCATGACCCATGACCATGACAATGACCTCAAGACCACAGTGGTGACCCTTTGACCACAGCCATGACCCCAGACCATGGTGGTGACCTCTGACCATGATGGTGGACCATGTGATCATGGTGGTGACCCCTTGGCCACAATGATGACCTCAGACCATGGTGGTGACCCCTTGACCCCAACGATGACCCCCTTGACCCCACCCGCGCCGTTGACCCCAGGTTTGGTGAGAAGGAACCCTACATGACCTTCATGAACGACTTCCTGGAGCACAACTGGGCCACCATGACCGACTTCCTGAGGGCCGTGGCCACCACCGAGGCCGGTGACCACGTGGCCACCACCGACGGCCGCGTGGACCTGGCCCTGGAGCTCGCCACGCTCCACCTGCTGCTCTGCGACATCTTCTCCGGCCTCGACCAGGTGCCACCACCCCTCCGGCCACCTCGTTCTTCGCTGGTGTCCCCCGGGCCACCGGTGATGTCCCCGTGGTGTCCTCGCAGGTCACGCAGGAGGAGCTGGAGCCGCTGCCCACCATCCTCAGGGCCATCAGGGAGGGGACACCTGTCCCCGTGTCCGTCCACCTCAGCTCCACCGCTGGGAGAAGGTACCTGGGGACACCTGGGGACACCTGGGGACACCTGGGGACATCATCTGGGGACACCTGGGGACACCTGGGGACACCTGGGGACATCATCTGGGGACACCTGGGGACATCATCTGGGGACACCTGGGGACACCTGGGGACACCTGGGGACATCATCTGGGGACATCATCTGGGGACACCTGGGGACATCACCTGGGGACACCTGGGGACACCTGGGGACACCTGGGGACATCATCTGGGGACATCATCTGGGGACACCTGGGGACATCATCTGGGGACACCTGGGGACACCTGGGGACATCACCTGGGGACATCATCTGGGGACATCATCTGGGGACATCATCTGGGGACACCTGGGGACACCTGGGGACACCTGGGGACATCATCTGGGGACACCTGGGGACATCATCTGGGGACACCTGGGGACACCTGGGGACACCTGGGGACATCTGGGGACATCATCTGGGGACACCTGGGGACATCATCTGGGGACACCTGGGGACACCTGGGGACACCTGGGGACACCTGGGGACATCATCTGGGGACATCATCTGGGGACACCTGGGGACACCTGGGGACATCATCTGGGGACATCATCTGGGGACATCATCTGGGGACATCATCTGGGGACACCTTCTGGGGACACCTGGGGACACCTGGGGACATCATCTGGGGACACCTGGGGACATCATCTGGGGACACCTGGGGACATCTTCTGGGGACATCATCTGGGGACACCTGGGGACATCATCTGGGGACACCTGGGGACACCTGGGGACATCATCTGGGGACATCATCTGGGGACATCATCTGGGGACATCATCTGGGGACACCTGGGGACACCTGGGGACACCTGGGGACATCATCTGGGGACACCTGGGGACATCATCTGGGGACATCATCTGGGGATGAGGGGGACATGTGGGTGTTGGGATTTGGGGTTCCTCAGGTTCTGTTTGAGGTCAGGAGATGGGTCTGATCCCACCAGGGTTTGGGGTTCCTCTGATCTCACCAGGGTTTGGGGTTCCTCTGGTCCCACCAGGGTTTGGGGTCACCTCTGATCCCACCAGGGTTTGGGGTCTCTGTGATCCCACCAGGATTTGGGGTCCCTCTGATCCCACCAGGGTTTGGGGTCCCTCTGATCCCACCAGGGTTTGGGGTCTCTGTGATCCCACCAGGATTTGGGGTCCCTCTGATCCCACCAGGGTTTGGGGTCCCTCTGGTCCCATCAGGGTTTGGGGTTCTTCTGGTCCCACCAGGGTTTGGGGTCTCTGTGATCCCACCAGGGTTTGGGGTTCTTCTGATCCCACCAGGGTTTGGGGTTCTTCTGATCCCACCAGGGTTTGGGGTTCTTCTGATCCCACCAGGGTTTGGGGTTCCTCTGATCCCACCAGGGTTTGGGGTTCCTCTGATCCCATCAGGGTTTGGGGTTCCTCTGGTCCCACCAGGGTTTGGGGTTCCTCTGGTCCCACCAGGATTTGGGGTTCCTCTGATCCCACCAGGGTTTGGGGTTCCTCTGATCCCATCAGGGTTTGGGGTTCCTCTGGTCCCACCAGGGTTTGGGGTTCCTCTGATCCCACCAGGGTTTGGGGTTCCTCTGGTCCCACCAGGGTTTGGGGTCCCTCTGGTCCCACCAGGGTTTGGGGTTCCTCTGGTCCCACCAGGGTTTGGGGTTACTCTGGTCCCACCAGGGTTTGGGGTCTCTGTGATCCCACCAGGGTTTGGGGTTCCTGTGATCCCACCAGGGTTTGGGGTTCCTGTGATCCCACCAGGGTTTGGGGTCACCTTTTGTCCCACCAGGGTTTGGGGTTCCTCTGATCCCACCAGGGTTTGGGGTCCCCTTTTCTCCCACCAGGGTTTGGGGTTCCTCTGATCCCACCAGGGTTTGGGGTTCCTCTGGTCCCACCAGGGTTTGGGGTTCCTCTGGTCCCACCAGGATTTGGGGTCTCCTCTGATCCCACCAAGGTTTGGGGTCCCTCTGGTCCCACCAGGATTTTGGGTCCCCTCTGGTCCCACCAGGGTTTGGGGTTCCTCTGATCCCACCAGGGTTTGGGGTTCCTCTGGTCCCACCAGGATTTGGGGTCCCCCTCGTTGCTGCCACATTTGGGGTTCCTCTGATCTCCATCCTTTTATTCTTTTGTCCCTCTGTCCCTGTCCCTGTCCCCATCCCTGTCCCATCCATGTCCCTGTGTCCCCTGTCCCCATCACTGTCCCTCTGTCCACATCCCTGTCCTTGTCCCCTCCTGTCCCTGTGTCCCCTGTCCGTGTCCCCATCCCTGTCCCTTTGTCCCCTGTCCCCATCCCTGTCCTTGTGTCCCTGTCCCCATCTGTGTCCCCTGTCCCCATCCATGTCCCTGTGTCCCCTGTCCCTCTCTCCCATCCCTGTCCCTGTGTCCCTCTGTCCCCTGTCCCATCCCTGTCCCTGTGTCCCCTGTCCCATCCATGTCCCTGTCCCTGTCCCCATCCCTGTCCCTGACCCATCCCTGTCCCTGTGTCCCCTGTCCCTGTCCCTGTCCCTGTCTTTGTCCCCTGTCCCATCCCTGTCCCTGTGTCCCCTTTGTCCCCTGTCCCTGGGTCCCCATCCCTGTCCCTGTCCCTCTGTCCCATCCCTGTCCCCTCCATGTCCCTTTGTCCCCTGTCCCTCTGTCCCCTGTCCCTGTGTCCCCTGTCTAATCCCTGTCCCTGTGTCCCCTCTGTGCCATCCCTGTCCCCATCCATGTCCCTGTGTCCCCTGTCCCATCCCTGTCCCCATCCCTGTCCCTGTGTCCCTGTCCCCATCCCTGTCCCTGTGTCCCCTGTCCCTTTGTCCCCTGTCCCTGTCCCATCCCTGTCCCCATCCCTGTCCCTGTCCCCTCCTGTCCCATCCCTGTCCCATCCATGTCCCTGTCCCTTTATCCCCTGTCCCCATCCCTGTCCCTTTGTCCCTTTGTCCCCTGTCCCTGTGTCCCCTGTCCCTTTGTCCCCTGTCCCTGTCCCATCCCTGTCCCTGTCCCTGTCCCCATCACTGTCCCCTGTCCCCATCCCTGTCCCATCCCTGTCCCCATCCCTGTCCCTTTGTCCCTTTGTCCCCTGTCCCTCTGTCCCCATCCCTGTGTCCCCCGTCCCTTTGTCCCCTGTCCCCATCCCTGTCCCTGTGTCCCCTGTCCCTGTCCCTTTGTCCCTTTGTCCCTTTGTCCCCTTTGTCCCCATCCCTTTGTCCCCTGTCCCTTTGTCACTCCCTCACCATCGTCCGGCACAGCCACCCCGAGGCCACCAAGGCCACCGAGGCCACCGAGGCCACCGAGGTGCCACCAACAGACCCGTCCCCGTCCCCGTCCCCGTCCCTGTCCCTGTCACCGTCCCTGTCACCGTCCCCGTCACGACGTCACCGCCACGTCCATCGCACCCACAGCGTGCCAGCGCCGGCCAAGGCCGCGTCACCCGGTGACAAAGGTGACACCGGCCACGCCACCGAGGGTGGCACCGTGTCACCAATGCCCGGTGACGTCCCGGTGAGTGTCGGTGTCACCGCGGTGTCACCGCGGCTGCCGGGGGGGTCGGAGCGCCAGGATTGGGGTGGCACTGGTGGCGCTTGGGGACACCGAGGGGTTTGGTGGCATCAGTGGGGGTTTGGTGGCACTAATTGGGGTCTGGTGGCACTAATGAGCGTTTGGTGGCATTAACGAGGGTCTGGTGGCACTAATGAGGGTTTGGTGGCATTAATTGGGTTTAGGTGGCATTAATGAGGGTTTGGTGGCACTAATGAGGGTTTGGTGACATTAATGGCGGTCTGGTGGCACTAATTGGATTCAGGTGGCACTAATTGGGGTCTGGTGGCACTAATGAGAGTTTGGTGGCACTAATGAGGGTTTGGTGGCATTAACGAGGGTTTGGTGGCGTTAATGGGGTCTGGTGGCACTAATTGGGGTCTGGTGGCATTAACAAGGGTTTGGTGACATTAATGGCGGTGTGGTGGCACTAATTGGGGTCTGGTGGCACTAATTGGGGTCTGGTGGCACTAATTGGGTTTAGGTGGCACTAATTGGGGTCTGGTGGCACTAACGGGGCTGTGGTGGCACTAATTGGGTTTAGGTGGCACTAACGGGGGTGTCCCGGTGCCGTTACCGGGTGTCCTGGTGCCGTTACCGGGACATTAACGGGTGTCCCGGTGCCATTAACGGGACATTAACGGGTGGCTCAGTGCCATTACCGGGACATTAACGGGTGTCCCGGTGCCGTTACCGGGTGTCCTGGTGCCGTTACCGGGACATTACTGGGTGTCCTGGTGCCGTTACCGGGTGTCCCGGTGCCATTACCGGGACATTAACGGGTGTCCTGTTGCCGTTACCGGGACATTACCGGGTATCCTGGTGCCATTAACGGGACATTAACGGGTGTCCCGGTGCCATTAACGGGTGTCCCGGTGCCGTTACCGGGACATTAACGGGTGTCCCGGTGCCATTACCGGGTGTCCTGGTGCCATTACCGGGTGTCCTGGTGCCATTACCGGGTGTCCCGGTGCCATTACCGGGTGTCCTGGTGCCATTACCGGGTGTCCCGGTGCCGTTACCGGGACATTACCGGATGTCCCGGTGCCATTAATGGGTGTCCCGGTGCCATTAACGGGTGTCCCGGTGCCATTACCGGGACATTAACGGGTGTCCTGGTGCCATTAACGGGTGTCCCGGTGCCATTACCGGGTGTCCCGGTGCCATTACCGGGTGTCCCGGTGCCATTACTGGGACATTAACGGGACATTACCGGGTGTCCCGGTGCCATTACCGGGTGTCCCGGTGCCATTACCGGGTGTCCTGGTGCCATTACCGGGTGTCCCGGTGCCGTTACCGGGACATTAACGGGTGTCCTGGTGCCATTACCGGGACATTAACGGGTGTCCCGGTGCCATTACCGGGACATTAACGGGTGTCCCGGTGCCGTTACTGGGTGTCCCGGTGCCGTTACTGGGTGTCCTGGTGCCGTTACCGGGACATTACCGGGTGTCCTGGTGCCGTTACTGGGACATTAACGGGTGTCCCGGTGCCGTTACCGGGACATTACCGGGTGTCCCGGTGCCGTTACCGGGACATTAACGGGTGTCCTGGTGCCATTACCGGGTGTCCCGGTGCCATTACCGGGACATTAACGGGTGCCCGGTGCCGTTACCGGGCCGTTGTCACCCTCACAGCCCCGGGTGAAGCTGCGCTCGTCGGCGTCGCTGCCGCGCAAACCGTCGGTGCCGTGGCAGCGCCCGGCCGAGGACTCGGTGGCACCGGGAGAGCTCCACGCGCTGCGGCCGCTCGAGAAGGTAACGCCGGGGTGGCGGGGACAGTCCCCGGTGTGTCCCGGTGTCCTCCAGTGTCCCCCCAGTGTCCCCCAGTGTGGTCCCAGTGTCCTCCCGGTGTCCCTCGGTGTCCCCCGGTGTCCCTCGATGTGCTCCCGGTGTCCCTCGATGTGCTCCCGGTGTCTCCTGAGGTCCTCCCAGTGTCACCCAGTGTGCTCTCGGTGTGCTCCCGGTGTCCCCCGGTGTCTTCCCCATTGTCCCCCAGTGTCTCCCGGTGTCCCCCGGGGTCCCCCAGTGTGCTCCCGGTGTCCCTCCACTGTCCCCCGGTGTCCTCTGGTGTCCTCCCGGTGTCCTCCGAGGTCGTCCCGGTGTCCTCCGGTGTCCCCCAGTGTGGTCCTGGTGTCCTCACGGTGTCCCCGCTGACCGTTCCCGGTGTTCCCGGTGACAATTCCCGGTGTTCCCAGCACGGGCGGCTGTTGGCGGCGCTGCGGGAGGAGGTGGCGGAGCTCCGGGAGCGTTTGGAACGGGCGGAGGCGGCGCGGGCGGAGCTGCGGGAGCGGGAACGGGAACGGGAACGGGAACGGGAACGGGAGCGCAGCGCCCAACTGGAGGAGAGGTGCGGCCGGGACCCCAAATTTTGGGTGGGGGACCCCAAATTTTGGGTGGGGGACCCCCAAAATTGGGTTTGGCACCCTGAAATTGGGGTGGGGCATCACAAAATTGGGATGGGGGACCCCGAAATTTGGGTGAGGCACCCCGAAATTGAAGTGGGACACCCTAAAAATGGGTGAGGCATCCAGAAAATGGGGTGCCCCGAAATTTGGGATTGGCACCCCGAAATTGGGGTGGGGCACCCATCAAATGGGATAAGGCACCCAAAAAAATGGGTGGGGCACCCCAAAATTTGGGTGAGGCACCCCAAAAATGGGATAAGGCACCAAAAAAAATGGGTGGGGCACCCCAAAATTTGGGTGAGGCACCCCAAAAATGGGATAAGGCACCAAAAAAAATGGGTGGGGCACCCCAACATTTGGGTGAGGCACCCCAAAAATGGGATAAGGCACCAAAAAAAATGGGTGGGGCACCCCAACATTTGGGTGAGGCACCCCAAAAATGGGATAAGGCACCCAAAAAAATGGGTGGGGCACCCCAAAATTTGGGTGGGGCACCCATAAAATGGGATAAGGCACCCAAAAAAATGGGTGGGGCACCCCAAAATTTGGGTGGGGGACCTCAAAATTGGGGTGGGGCGCATCAAAATTGGGGTTTGGCGCCCCGAAATTTGGGGTGGGACACCCTGAATTTTGGGGTTGGCACCACGGAATTGGGGTGGGGTACCCCAAAAATGGGGCGGACATCCTGAAAATGGGGTGGGGCACCCCAAAAATGGGGTGGGGCACCCATAAAATGGGATAAGGCACCCAAAAAAATGGGTGGGGCACCCCAAAATTTGGGGTTGGCACCCCGAAATTGGGGTGGGGCACCCCGAAATTGGGGTGGGGCGCACCAAAATTTGGGTGGGATATCCCGAAATTTGGGGGTGGCATCCTAAAAATGGGGTGGGGTACCCCGAAATTGGGGTTGCTCCCAGTTTGGGCTCCCAGTCCCTCCCAGTCCATCCCAGTCCATCCCAGTCCCTCCCAGTAACTCCCAGTCCATCCCAGTCCATCCCAGTCCCTCCCAGTCCATCCCAGTTCCCTCCCAGTCCCTCCCAGTAACTCCCAGTCCATCCCAGTCCATCCCAGTCCATCCCAGTCCCTCCCAGTCCATCCCAGTTCCCTCCCAGTCCCTCCCAGTATAAACCAGTTTGCTCCAGGCTGGCGGCGGTCGAGGTCGGGCGCAGGGAGGATCTGGAGAGGCTGAAAAGGAGCGAAGAGAGAACGAGAGAGACGGTGACAGTGGGGACATCATTGGGGACATTGGGGACATTGGGGGGACATTGGGGGCATTGGGGGGATTGGGGACATTGGGGGGACATTGGGGACATTGGGGACATTGGGGACATTGGGGGGACATTGGGGACATTGGGGACATTGGGGGGACATTGGGGACATCGGGGACATTGGGGGGATTGGGGACATTGGGGGGACATTGGGGACATTGGGGACATTGGGGACATTGGGGGGACATTGGGGACATTGGGGACATTGGGGACATTGGGGACATTGGGGACATTGGGGGGACATTGGGGACATTGGGGACATTGGGGGGACATTGGGGACATTGGGGACATTGGGGACATTGGGGGGACATTGGGGACATTGAGGACATCGGGGACATTGGGGACATTGGGGACATTGGGGACATTGGGGGGACATTGGGGACATTGGGGGGATATTGAGGTGACAGGGAGGTGACATTCGGGTGACACTCAGGTGACATTGAGGTGACACAGGTGACACTGAGGTGACACAGGTGACACAGGTGACAAGGAGGTGACACAGGTGACACAGGTGACAAGGAGGTGACACAGGTGCCACCGTGTCCCCAGGAGCGCCGCCTCTCTGCGCTGGAGCTGGAGCTGCGCCGGACGCGCTGCCACCCCGGCGATGTCCCCAAAGTGTCCCCAAATGTCCCCAAAGTGTCCCCAGGGCGCTGCCACCAGCCCGGCCAGGACGGCCAGGCCACCAGCGTGTGACACCGTGTCCCCAAATGTCCCCAACGTGTCCCCAAAGTGTCCCCAGAGTGTCCCCAAATGTCCCCAACGTGTCCCCAAAGTGTCCCCAGAGTGTCCCCAAATGTCCCCAACGTGTCCCCAAAGTGTCCCCAGAGTGTCCCCAGATGTCCCCAGGGTGTCCCCAAATGTCCCCAAATGTCCCCAAAGTGTCCCCAAATGTCCCCAAATGTCCCCAAAGTGTCCCCAGAGTGTCCCCAGAGTGTCCCCAAAGTGTCCCCTCAATGTCCCCAATGTCCCCAGTGCCACCCCAGTGTCCCCAAGGTGTCCCCAAAGTGTCCCCAAATGTCCCCAGAGTGTCCCCAAAGTGTCCCCAAAGTGTCCCCAAAGTGTCCCCAAATGTCCCCAAATGTCCCCAAAGTGTCCCCAAATGTCCCCAAAGGGTCCCCAGAGTGTCCCCAAATGTCCCCAACATGTCCCAAACATGTCCCCAGAGTGTCCCCAAAGTGTCCCCAAAGTGTCCTTCAGTGTCCCCAAATGTCCCCAACATGTCCCCAAATGTCCCCAACATGTCCCCAAATGTCCCCAACGTGTCCCCAAATGTCCCCAAATGTCCCCAAATATCCCCATTAATGGCACGAAGTGCACAAACGGGATCGTTTTTGGGGTCAGCCCCGTTTTTGGGGTTTTTTGGGGTTTTTTTGGGGGGTTTTTTGGGGTTTTATTTTGGGGTACTGGGTTTTTTGGGGTGCCACTACCTGGGGGTGGCACAGGGTCCCCCAAAACCCTTTCAGTGTCCCCAAATGTCCCCAAATATCCCCATTAATATGACACAAAGTGCACAAACGGGATGGTTTTTGGGGTCAGCCCCGTTTTTGGGATTTTTGGGTTTTATTTTGGGGTTCCCGGTTTTTTGGGGTGCCAGAGGTGGCCGGGGATGGTGAAGGCGTCCCCTCAGTGTCCCCAAATGTCCCCAAACATCCCCAAATGTCCCTAAATGTCCCCATTAATAATGAAGTGCACAAACGGGATCGTTTTTGGGGTCAGTCCCGTTTTTGGGGTTTTTTTGGGTTTTTTTGGGGTTTTTTTTGGGTTTTTTTGGGGTTTTATTTGGGGGTTCCGGATTTTTGGGGTGCCACTACCAGGGGGTGGCACAGGGTCCCTTTAAACCTCTTCAATGTCCCCAAATGTCCCCAAATCCCCAATAATTATGACACCAAGCAGCACAATGGGATCGTTTTTGGGGTCAGCCCCGTTTTTGGGGTTTTTTTGGGGTTTTATTTGGGGGTTCCCGGTTTTTTGGGGTGCCAGAGGTGGCCGGGGATGGTGAAGGCGTCCCCTCAATGTCCCCAAATGTCCCCAAACATCCCCAAATGTCCCCAAATATCCCCATTAATAATGAAGTGCACACCAATGGGATGGTTTTAGGGTCAGCCCCATTTTTGGGGTTTTTGGGGTTTTATTTGGGGGTTCCCGGTTTTTTGGGGTGCCAGAGGTGGCCGGGGATGGTGAAGGCGTCCCCTCAATGTCCTCAAATGTCCCCAAATGTCCCCAAATGTCCCTAAATCCCCATTAATATGACACCAAACAGCACAATGGGATGGTTTTTGGGGTCAGCCCCGTTTTTGGGGTTTTTGGGGTTTTTTTGGGGTTTTTTGGGGTTTTATTTGGGGGTTCCCGGATTTTTGGGGTGCCACTACCTGGGGGTGGCACAGGGTCCCCCAAAACCCTTTCAGTGTCCCCAAATGTCCCCAAATATCCCCAAATGTCCCCATTAATAACACGAAGTGCACAAACGGGATCGTTTTTGGGGTCAGCCCCGTTTTTGGGGTTTTTCGGTTTTTATTTTGGGGTTCCCGGTTTTTTGGGGTGCCAGAGGTGGCCGGGGATGGTGAAGGCGTCCCCATAATCCAAACCCATTCCAGGTGTCCGCAAATGTCCCCAAATCCCCAATAATCATGACACCAAGCAGCACAATGGGATGGTTTTTGGGGTCAGCCCCGTTTTTGGGGTTTTTCGGTTTTTATTTTGGGGTTCCCGGTTTTTTGGGGTGCCAGAGGTGGCCGGGGATGGTGAAGGCGTCCCCATAATCCAAACCCATTCCAGGTGTCCCCAAATGTCCCCAAATGTCCCCAAATATCCCTAAATCCCCATTAATATGACACAAAGTGCACAAACGGGATCGTTTTTGGGGTCAGCCCCGTTTTTGGGATTTTTCGGTTTTATTTTGGGGTTCCCGGTTTTTTGGGGTGCCAGAGGTGGCCGGGGATGGTGAAGGCGTCCCCATAATCCAAACCCATTCCAGGTGTCCCCAAACATCCCAAATGTCCCCATTAATAACAAGAGGTGCACAAACGGGATCGTTTTTGGGGTCAGCCCCGTTTTTGGGATTTTTCGGTTTTTATTTGGGGGTTCCCGGTTTTTTGGGGTGCCAGAGGTGGCCGGGGATGGTGAAGGCGTCCCCTCAATGTCCCCAAATGTCCCCAAATGTCCCCAAACATTCCCAAATATCCCCAAATGTCCCCATTAATAACAAGAGGTACACACCAATGGGATGGTTTTTGGGGTCAGCCCCGTTTTTGGGGTTTTTTGGGGTTTTTTTGGGATTTTTTGGTGTTTTTTGGTGTTTTATTTGGGGGTGCCGGGTTTTTTGGGGTGCCACTACCTGTGGGTGGCACAGGGTCCTCCAAAACCCTTTCAGTGTCCCCAAATGTCCCCAAATGTCCCCGTTATTGCCCGTATGAAGCACCAAGCAGCACAATGGGATCGTTTTTGGGGTCAGCCCCGTTTTTGGGATTTTTCGGTTTTTATTTTGGGGTTCCCGGTTTTTTGGGGTGCCAGAGGTGGCCGGGGATGGTGAAGGCGTCCCCTCAATGTCCCCAAATGTCCCCAAACATCCCCAAACATCCCCAAATATCCCCATTAATAATGAGGTACACACCAATGGGATCGTTTTTGGGGTCAGCCCCGTTTTTGGGATTTTTTGGGGGTTTTTTTTGGGTTTTATTTGGGGTTCCCGGTTTTTTGGGGTGCCACGGCTCAGGGGGACACCCAAAGTGTCCCTTGGAGGGGATGACACCCCTTGGACCCATTCCAGATGTCCCCAAATGTCCCCAAATGTCCCCGTTATTTCCCACATGAAGCACCAAGCAGCACAATGGGATGGTTTTTGGGGTCAGCCCCGTTTTTGGGGTTTTTGGGGTTTTATTTTGGGGTTCCCGGTTTTTTGGGGTGCCAGAGGTGGCCGGGGATGGTGAAGGCGTCCCCTCAATGTCCCCAAATATCCCCAAATGTCCCCGTTATTGCCCGTATTAAGCACCAAGCAGCACAATGGGATCGTTTTTGGGGTCAGCCCCGTTTTTGGGATTTTTCGGTTTTTATTTTGGGGTTCCCGGTTTTTTGGGGTGCCAGAGGTGGCCGGGGATGGTGAAGGCGTCCCCATAATCCAAACCCATTCCAGGTGTCCCCAAATGTCCCCAAATGTCCCCATTAATAATGAAGTGCACAAATGGGATGGTTTTTGGGGTCAGCCCCGTTTTTGGGTTTTTTCGGTTTTTATTTTGGGGTTCCCGGTTTTTTGGGGTGCCAGAGGTGGCCGGGGATGGTGAAGGCGTCCCCTCAATGTCCCCAAACATCCCCAAACATCCCCAAATGTCCCCAAATATCCCCATTAATAACACGAAGTGCACAAACGGGATCGTTTTTGGGGTCAGCCCCGTTTTTGGGGTTTTTGGGGTTTTTATTTTGGGGTTCCCGGTTTTTTGGGGTGCCAGAGGTGGCCGGGGATGGTGAAGGCGTCCCCATAATGTCCCCAAATGTCCCCAAATGTTCCCAAACATCCCCAAACATCCCAAGTATCTCCATTAATATGACACAAAGTGCACAAACGGGATGTTTTTTGGGGTCAGCCCCGTTTTTGGGGTTTTTAGGATTTTATTTTGGGGTTCCCGGTTTTTTGGGGTGCCAGAGGTGGCCGGGGATGGTGAAGGCGTCCACGCTGCCGCTCATGGTGCGCGCCGGGAGGCGGCAGAAGCGCCGCTGGTCCGACTGGTACTTGTAGAGCGCCTCGACCATGGGCAGGGGGACGCTGCGGGGCCCCGACCCCGAAAGGCGTTTTAGGGTCGGGGGGATCCCCCCCAAAGCGTAAACGCCCCGAAATTGGCAGCCCCCGTCCCGGAACAGGATCAGCAGCTGCTGCGCTGAGCTCTGCTCCATCTCCTGAAAGGGAAAAAACAGAGTTTTGGGGGGTTTTTGGGTTTTTTTTGGTGTTTTTTTTGGGTTTTTATGGGATTTTTTAGAGGATTTCTGGGGGATTTTGGGGGATTTCTGGGGGATTTTGGGGGGTATTTCTGGGGTCTTTCAAGGGATTTGTGAGGGTTTTGGGAAGTTTGTGGGGTTTTTTTAGGGATTTATGGGATTTTTTTAGGGATTTGTGGGGTTTTTTGGGGTTTTTTGGGTTTTTTTGGGGTTTTTTATAGGATTTTATGGGGTTTTTTAGGGGATTTCTGGGGGATTTTGGGGGGGATTTCTGGAGTCATTCAAAGGATTTGTGAGGGTTTTGGGAAGTTTGTGGGGGTTTTTTAGGGATTTATGGGGTTTTTTTGGGTTTTTTGGGGTTTTTTATAGGATTTTATGGGGTTTTTTAGAGGATTTCTGGGGGATTTTGGGGGGGATTTCTGGGGGATTTCTGGGGGTTTTTTTAGGGATTTATGGGGTTTTTTTAGGGATTTATGGGTTTTTTACAGATTTTTGGGATTTTTTTGGGGATTTATGGGATTTTTCTGGGGTTTTCTGGGGAGGTTTTGGGGGATTTCTGGAGGATTTGTGGAGGTTTTTCTATGGGATTTTTGGGGGATTTCTGGGTTTTCTTGTGGATTTTTTTAGGGATTTTTGGGGGTTTTTTTAGGGGTTTTGGTGTTTTTTAGGGATTTTGGGGGTTTTTTAGGGGGTTTATGGGACTTTTGGGGGGAATTTCGGGGCGTTTTAGGGTCGGGGGGATCCCCCCCAAAGCGTAAACGCCCCGAAATTGGCAGCCCCCGTCCCGGAACAGGATCAGCAGCTGCTGCGCTGAGCTCTGCTCCATCTCCTGGAAGGGAAAAAACAGAGTTTTTGGGGTTTTTGGGGGATTTTTGCAGGTTTTTGGGGTTTTTTTGGGTTTTTTTTGGGGTTTTTTCAAGGATTTTATAGGGTTTTTTGGGGGTTTTATGGGGTTTTTTAGAGGATTTCTGGGGCATTCTGGGAGGGATTTCTGGAGTCATTCAAAGGATTTGTGAGGGTTTTGGGAAGTTTGTGGAGTTTTTTAGGGATTTATGGGATTTTTTTTAGGGATTTATGTGATTTTTGGGGGGTTTTATGGGGTTTTTCTGGGGTTTTCTGGGGTTTTAGGGGGGGGTTTGGGGGATTTTTGGAGGATTTGTGGAGGTTTTTCTATGGGATTTTTGGGGGATTTCTGGGTTTTCTTGTGGATTTTTTTAGGGATTTTTGGGGGTTTTTTTAGGGATTTTGTGGTTTTTTTAGGGATTTGGGGTTTTTTTAGGGGATTTATGGGACTTTTGGGGGGAATTTCGGGGCGTTTTAGGGTCGGGGGGATCCCCCCCAAAGCGTAAACGCCCCGAAATTGGCAGCCCCCGTCCCGGAACAGGATCAGCAGCTGCTGCGCTGAGCTCTGCTCCATCTCCTGCAAGGGAAAAATCAGATTTTTTGGGGTTTTTGGGGTTTTTTTCAAGGATTTTATGGGGTTTTTTGAGTTCTTTGTGGGGATTTTGGGGTCCCTGTCTGGCTGTGGGTTCTGGGTGATTTTTGGGGTGATTTTTGGGGATTTTGGGGTCTCACCTGCAGCACCTTGGCCCTCAGGGGGATTTAGGATCGCTGTAGAATTTGGGGTTTTTTGGGTTCTTTGTGGGGTTTTTTGGGTTCTTTGTGGGGATTTTGGGGTCCCTGTCTGGCTGTGGGTTCTGGGTGATTTTGGGGTGATTTTGGGGTGATTTTTGGGGATTTTGGGGTCTCACCTGCAGCCCCTTGGCCCTCAGGGGGATTTAGGATCGCTGTAAGAATTTGGGGTTTTTTGGGTTCTTTGTGGGGTTTTTTGGTTCTTTGTGGGTTTTTTTGGTTCTTTGTGGGTTTTTTTGGGTTCTTTTGGGGTTTTTTGGGGTCCCTGTCTGGCTGTGGGTTCTGGGTGATTTTGGGGTGATTTTTGGGGTGATTTTTGGGGTTTTTGGGGTGATTTTTGGGGATTTTGGGGTCCCACCTGCAGCGCTTTGTTCCTTTGGGGTCACTATAAGGATTTAGGATCGATGTAGGAATTTGGGGTTTTTTGGGTTTTCTGTGGGTTTTTTTGGGTTCTTTGTGGTGTTTTTGGGGTCCCTGTCTGGCTGTGGGTTCTGTGTGATTTTTGGGGTGATTTTTTGGGTTTTTTGGGGTCCCACCTGCAGCACTTTGTTCCTTTGGGGTCACTATAAGGATTTAGGATTGCTGTAGGAATTTGGGGTTTTTTTGGGTTCTTTGTGGGTTTTTTGGGTTCTTTGTGGGTTTTTTGAGTTCTTTGTGGTGTTTTTGGGGTCCCTGTCTGGCCGTGGGTTCTGTGTGATTTTGGGGTGATTTTTGGGGTTTTTGGGGTCCCACCTGCAGCACTTTGTTCCTTCGGGGTCGCTATAAGGATTTAGGATCAATGTAGGAATTTGGGGTTTTTTTGGGTTCTTTGTGGGGTTTTTTGGGTTCTTTGTGGGGATTTCGGGGTCCCTGTCTGGCTGTGGGTTCTGTGTGATTTTGGGGTGATTTTTGGGGATTTTGGGGTCACACCTGCAGCACTCTGGCCCTCAGGGGGATTTAGGATCGATGTAGGAATTTGGGGTTTTTTTGGGTTCTTTGTGGGTTTTTTTGGGTTCTTTGTGGGGATTTTGGGGTCCCTGTCTGGCTGTGGGTTCTGTGTGATTTTTGGGGTGATTTTTGGGGTGATTTTTGGGGATTTTGGGGTCCCACCTGCAGCACCTTGGCCCTCAGGGGGATTTAGGATCCCTATGGGATTTAGGATCACTGCAGGAATTGGGTTTTTTTGGGTTCTTTGTGGGTTTTTTTGGGTTCTTTGTGGGGATTTTGGGGTCCCTGTCTGGCTGTGGGTTCTGGGTGATTTTGGGGAGATTTTTGGGGTTTTTGTGGATTTTTGGGGTGATTTTTTGGGTTTTTTGGGGTCTCACCTGCCGCACTTTGTTCCTTTGGGGTCACTATAAGGATTTAGGATCGCTGTAGGAATTTGGGATTTTTTGGGTTCTTTGTGGGTTTTTTTGGGTTCTTTGTGGGGATTTTGGGGTCCCTGTCTGGCTGTGGGTTCTGTGTGATTTTTGGGTGATTTTTGGGGTTTTTGGGGTCTCACCTGCAGCACCTTGGCCCTCAGGGGGATTTAGGATTGCTGTAAAATTTGGGGTTTTTTGGTTCTTTGTGGGTTTTTTTGGGTTCTTTGTGGGGTTTTTGGGGTCCCTGTCTGGCTGTGGGTTCTGGGTGATTTTTGGGGTTATTTTGGGGTGATTTTGGGGAGATTTTTGGGGATTTTGGGGTCCCACCTGCAGCACCTTGGCCCTCAGGGGGATTTAGGATCTCTATGGGATTTAGGATCACTGCAGGAATTGGGGTTTTTTGGGTTCTTTGTGGTGTTTTTGGGGTCCCTGTCTGGCTGTGGGTTCTGGGTGATTTTTGGGGTGATTTTTGGGGATTTTGGGGTCTCACCTGCAGCACCTTGGCCCTCAGGTGGATTTAGGATCACTGCAGGAATTTGGGGTTTTTTTGGGTTCTTTGTGGGGTTTTTTGGGTTCTTTGTGGGGATTTTGGGGTCCCTGTCTGGCTGTGTGTTCTGTGTGATTTTTGGGGTGATTTTTGGGGTGATTTTTGGGGATTTTGGGGTCTCACCTGCAGCACCTTGGCCCTCAGGGGATTTAGGATCGCTGTAGAATTTGGGGTTTTTTGGGTTTTCTGAGGGTTTTTTTGGGTTCTTTGTGGGGATTTTGGGGTCCCTGTCTGGCTGTGGGTTCTGGGTGATTTTTGGGGTTATTTTGGGGTGATTTTGGGGAGATTTTTGGGGATTTTGGGGTCCCACCTGCAGCACCTTGGCCCTCAGGGGGATTTAGGATCTCTATGGGATTTAGGATCACTGCAGGAATTGGGGTTTTTTGGGTTCTTTGTGGTGTTTTTGGGGTCCCTGTCTGGCTGTGGGTTCTGGGTGATTTTTGGGGTGATTTTTGGGGTTTTTGGGGTCTCACCTGCAGCACCTTGGCCCTCAGGTGGATTTAGGATCACTGCAGGAATTTGGGGTTTTTTTGGGTTTTTTGTGGTTTTTTTTGGGTTCTTTGTGGGGATTTTGGGGTCCCTGTCTGGCTGTGGGTTCTGTGTGATTTTGGGGTGATTTTTGGGGTGATTTTTGGGGATTTTGGGGTCTCACCTGCAGCACCTTGGCCCTCAGGGGATTTAGGATCGCTGTAGAATTTGGGGTTTTTTGGGTTTTCTGAGGGTTTTTTTGGGTTCTTTGTGGGGATTTTGGGGTCCCTGTCTGGCTGTGGGTTCTGTGTGATTTTTGGGGTGATTTTTGGGGTGATTTTTGGGGATTTGGGGTCCCACCTGCAGCACCTTGGCCCTCAGGAGGATTTAGGATCACTGCAGGAATTTGGGGTTTTTTGGGTTCTTTGTGTTTTTTTTTTGGGTTCTTTTGGGGTTTTTTGGGGTCCCTGTCTGGCCGTGGGTTCTGTGTGATTTTTGGGGTGATTTTTGGGGATTTTGGGGTCCCACCTGCAGCACCTTGGCCCTCAGGGGGATTTAGGATCGCTGTAGAATTTGGGGTTTTTGGGGTTTTCTGTGGGTTTTTTTGGGTTCTTTGTGGGGATTTTGGGGTCCCTGTCTGCCTGTGGGTTCTGTGTGATTTTGGGGTGATTTTTGGGGATTTTGGGGTCCCACCTGCAGCACCTTGGCCCTCAGGGGGATTTAGGATCACTGCAGGAATTTGGGGTTTTTTGGGTTCTTTGTGGGGTTTTTTGGGTTCTTTGTGGGTTTTTTTGGGGTCCCTGTCTGGCTGTGGGTTATGGGTGATTTTTGGGGTGATTTTTGGGGTTTTTGGGGTCTCACCTGCAGCACCTTGGCCCTCAGGTGGATTTAGGATCACTGCAGGAATTTGGGGTTTTTTTGGGTTCTTTGTGGGGTTTTTTGGGTTCTTTGTGGGGATTTTGGGGTCCCTGTCTGGCTGTGTGTTCTGTGTGATTTTTGGGGTGATTTTTGGGGTGATTTTTGGGGATTTTGGGGTCTCACCTGCAGCACCTTGGCCCTCAGGGGATTTAGGATCGCTGTAGAATTTGGGGTTTTTTGGGTTTTCTGAGGGTTTTTTTGGGTTCTTTGTGGGGATTTTGGGGTCCCTGTCTGGCTGTGGGTTCTGGGTGATTTTTGGGGTTATTTTGGGGTGATTTTGGGGAGATTTTTGGGGATTTTGGGGTCCCACCTGCAGCACCTTGGCCCTCAGGGGGATTTAGGATCTCTATGGGATTTAGGATCACTGCAGGAATTGGGGTTTTTTGGGTTCTTTGTGGTGTTTTTGGGGTCCCTGTCTGGCTGTGGGTTCTGGGTGATTTTTGGGGTGATTTTTGGGGTTTTTGGGGTCTCACCTGCAGCACCTTGGCCCTCAGGTGGATTTAGGATCACTGCAGGAATTTGGGGTTTTTTTGGGTTTTTTGTGGTTTTTTTTGGGTTCTTTGTGGGGATTTTGGGGTCCCTGTCTGGCTGTGGGTTCTGTGTGATTTTGGGGTGATTTTTGGGGTGATTTTTGGGGATTTTGGGGTCTCACCTGCAGCACCTTGGCCCTCAGGGGATTTAGGATCGCTGTAGAATTTGGGGTTTTTTGGGTTTTCTGAGGGTTTTTTTGGGTTCTTTGTGGGGATTTTGGGGTCCCTGTCTGGCTGTGGGTTCTGTGTGATTTTTGGGGTGATTTTTGGGGTGATTTTTGGGGATTTTGGGGTCCCACCTGCAGCACCTTGGCCCTCAGGAGGATTTAGGATCACTGCAGGAATTTGGGATTTTTTGGGTTCTTTGTGTTTTTTTTTTGGGTTCTTTTGGGGTTTTTTGGGGTCCCTGTCTGGCCGTGGGTTCTGTGTGATTTTTGGGGTGATTTTTGGGGATTTTGGGGTCCCACCTGCAGCACCTTGGCCCTCAGGGGGATTTAGGATCGCTGTAGAATTTGGGGTTTTTGGGGTTTTCTGTGGGTTTTTTTGGGTTCTTTGTGGGGATTTTGGGGTCCCTGTCTGCCTGTGGGTTCTGTGTGATTTTGGGGTGATTTTTGGGGATTTTGGGGTCCCACCTGCAGCACCTTGGCCCTCAGGGGGATTTAGGATCACTGCAGGAATTTGGGGTTTTTTGGGTTCTTTGTGGGGTTTTTTGGGTTCTTTGTGGGTTTTTTTGGGGTCCCTGTCTGGCTGTGGGTTCTGTGTGATTTTGGGGTGATTTTTGGGGTGATTTTTGGGGTTTTTGGGGTCCCACCTGCAGCACCTTGGCCCTCAGGGGGATTTAGGATCGCTGTAGAATTTGGGTTTTTTTGGGTTCTTTTGGGGGTTTTTTGGGTTCTTTGTGGGGTTTTTGGGGTCCCTGTCTGGCTGTGGGTTCTGTGTGATTTTTGGGGTGATTTTTGGGGATTTTGGGGTCCCACCTGCAGCACCTTGGCCCTCAGGGGATTTAGGATCGCTGTAGAATTTGGGGTTTTTTGGGTTCTTTGTGGGTTTTTTTGAGTTCTTTGTGGGGATTTTGGGGTCCCTGTCTGGCTGTGGATTCTGTGTGATTTTGGGGTGATTTCTGGGGTGATTTTTGGGGATTTTGGGGTCCCACCTGCAGCACTCTGGCCCTCAGGGGGATTTAGGATTGCTGTAGAATTTGGGGTTTTTTTGGGTTCTTTGTGGTGTTTTTGGGGTCCCTGTCTGGCTGTAAGTTCTGTGTGATTTTGGGGTGATTTTTGGGGTTTTTGTGGATTTTTGGGGTGATTTTTGGGGATTTTGGGGTCTCACCTGCAGCACTTTGTTCCTTTGGGGTCACTATAAGGATTTAGGATCGATGTAGGAAATTGGGGTTTTTTGGGTTCTTTGTGGTGATTTTGGGGTCCCTGTCTGGCTGTGGGTTCTGTGTGATTTTTGGGGTGATTTTTGGGGATTTTGGGGTCCCACCTGCAGCACCTTGGCCCTTTAGGGGGATTTAGGATCGCTGTAGAAATTTGGGGTTTTTTGGGTTCTTTGTGGTGTTTTTTTGGGGTTCTTTGTGGGGATTTTGGGGTCCCTGTCTGGCCGTGGGTTCTGGGTGATTTTTGGGGTGATTTTTGGGGTGATTTTTGGGGTGATTTTTGGGGATTTTGGGGTCCCACCTGCAGCACCTTGGCCCTCAGGTGGATTTAGGATCCCTATGGGATTTAGGATCGCTGTAGAATTTGGGGTTTTTTGGGTTCTTTGTGGTGTTTTTGGGGTCCCTGTCTGGCTGTGGGTTCTGTGTGATTTTTGGGGTGATTTTTGGGGTTTTTGGGGTCTCACCTGCAGCACTTTGTTCCTTTGGGGTCGCTATAAGGATTTAGGATTGCTGTAGAATTTGGGGTTTTTTTGGGTTCTTTGTGGGTTTTTTGGGGTCCCTGTCTGGCTGTGGGTTCTGGGTGATTTTGGGGTGATTTTGGGGTGATTTTTGGGGATTTTGGGGTCTCACCTGCAGCACCTTGGCCCTCAGGGGGATTTAGGATCTCTATGGGATTTAGGATCGCTGTAGGAATTTGGGGTTTTTTTGGGTTCTTTTTGGGGTTTTTTGGGTTCTTTGTGGGTTTTTTGGGGTCCCTGTCTGGCCGTGGGTTCTGGGTGATTTTGGGGTGATTTTTGGGGTGATTTTTGGGGATTTTGGGGTCCCACCTGCAGCACCTTGGCCCTCAGGGGGGCGTTGGGGGTCCCGGCCAGCACGCAGTGCGCCAGCGCGTTCTGGATCAGCGGCCGGTTGGATCGAGCCGTGGGCTCCTTGTACAGCCTCGGACCTGCGGGTTTGGGGCAAATTCGGGAGATTTTGGGAAAATTGGGGGATTTGGGGAAAATTGGGGGGCTTTGGGGAAAAGTTTGGGGGAGATTTGGGGGATTTGAAGGGAAATTTGGGAGATTTGGGAAGAAATTTGGGGGTTTTTGGGAAAATTTGGGGGATTTGGGAAGAAATTTGGGGATTTTGGGGAGGTTGAGGAGGAAATTTGGGGATTTTGGGGCAAATTTGGGGGATTTGGGGAAAATTGGGGGATTTGGGGAAAATTGGGGCACTTTGGGGAAAAGTTTGGGGGAGATTTGGGGGATTTGAAGGGAAATTTGGGAGGTTTGAAGGGGAAATTGGGGGTTTTGAAGGGAAATTTGGGGGAGTTGAGGGAGGTTCAGGAGGAAATTTGGGGATTTTGGGGTGAATTTGGGAGATTTGGGAATTAATTTGGGGGATTTGGGAAGAAATTTGGGGATTTTGGGGCAAATTTGGGGGATTTGGGAAGAAATTTGGGGATTTTGGGGAGGTTGAGGAGGAAATTTGGGGATTTTGGGATGAATTTGGGGGATTTGGGAATTAATTTGGGGGTTTGGGAGCAAATTTGGGAGATTTGGGAAGAAATTTGGGGGGTTTTGGGAAAATTTGGGGGATTTGGGAAGAAATTTGGGGATTTTGGGGAAAATTTGGGGGATTTGGGAATAAATTTGGGGGTTTTGGGGCAAATTTGGGGGATTTGGGAATAAATTTGGGGGTTTTGGGGCAAAATTCAGGGATTTGGGAAGAAATTTGGGGGTTTGGGGGCAAATTTGGGGGATTTGGGAAGAAATTTGGGGATTTTGGGGAGAATTTGGGGGATTTGGGAAGAAATTTGGGGGTTTTGGGGAGGTAGAGGAGGAAATTTGGGGATTTTGGGGAAAAATTGGTAATTTTGGGGGAAATTTGGGGGATTTGGGGTATTTTGGGTAATTTGGGGAGGGGTCTCACCCGTGTACTCTGGCCCTGGGGAGGGGGGGTTGGGGGGTTTGGGGTACCAGGGGATTTTAGGATATTTTCAGGTGATTTTGGGTAATTTTGGGGTATTTTCAGGTGATTTTGGGATATTTTGGTGAAATTTTGAGGTGATTTTGGGATATTTTAGGATATTTTGGGGTGATTTTGGGGGGTTTTGGGTAATTTGGGGAGGGGTCTCACCCGTGTACTCCGGCCCCGGCGAGGGGGGGTTGGGGTCCCAGGGAATTTCAGGATATTTTGGGATATTTTGGGGATATTTTGCTGTAATTTTGGGGTGATTTTAGGATATTTTGGGTAATTTGGGGAGGGGTCTCACCCGTGTACTCCGGCCCGGGTGAGGAGGGGTTGGGGGGTTTGGGGTCCCAGGGAATTTCAGGATATTTTGGGATATTTTTGGGATATTTTGGTGTAATTTTGGGGTGATTTTGGGGGATTTTGGGTAATTTGGGGAGGGGTCTCACCCGTGTACTCCGGCCCCGGCGAGGGGGGGTTGGGGTCGTGCTCCCACTCCCGGCCAGGGGGGGGCGCTCTGTTGGGGGACCCGGCCCGGCTGGGGGAGGGGAGAAGGGGGTCAGAGACCCCTCCCCAAAATCCCAAAATTCCCCCAAAATTCCCCCAAAGCCCCCCCAAAATCCCCCCAAAAACCCCAAATCCCCAAAAATTCCCCCCAAAACCCCCAAATTTTGCCCAAATTTTACCCTCAAAACCCCCAAAATTCCCCCTAAATTTCCCCAAAATCCCCCCCAAAACTCCAAAATCCCCTCAAAATCCCCAAATCCCAAAAAATTCTCCCCAAAACCCCCAAATTTCCCCCAAAACCCCCAAATTTTCCCCTAAAAACTCTCTAAATTTCCCCCAAATCCCCCCCAAGAACCCCAAATTTCCCCCAAAATCCCCCCAAATCCCCCCAAAATCCCCAAATCCCCAAAAATTCCACCCCAAATCCCCAAAAATTCCCCCCAAAAAAGACCCCAAATTTTACCCTCAAAGCCCCCAATTTTCCCCCCCAAAACCCCAATTTTCCCCAAAATCCCCCCCAAAACCCCCAAATTTCCCCTAAATTTCCCCAAAATCACTCCCCAAATTTCCCCAAAAACCCCAAATTTTCCCAAAAACCCCCAAATTTCCCCCAAAATTTCCCCCCTCACCTGTGGCTGCGCCCCCCGCCCGGTTCGGCCACGCTGGACAGGGAGAGCGAACTCTGGGAATAGACCTTGGAGAGGCGCGAGCCTGGGGGGGAAAGGGGTGAGACCCCTCCCCAAATTCACCGGGACCCCTCCCCAAATTCACTGAGACCCTCCCCAAATTCACCGGGACCCCTCCCCAAATTCAGAGACCCCCAAAATCCCCCAAAATCCCCCCAAAATGCCCCAAAATTCCCCCCGAACTCTGCGAATAGACCTTGGAGAGGCGCGAGCCTGGGGGGAAAAGGGGTGAGACCCCTCCCCAAATTCACCCAGACCCCTCCCCAAATTCACCGAGACCCCTCCCCAAATTCAGAGACCCCCCAAATCCCCCAAAAATCCCCCAAAAATGCCCCAAAATCCCGAGACCCCTCCCCAAAATCCCTCCCGAACTCTGGGAATAGACCTTGGAAAGGCGCGAGCCTGGGGGGGAAAGGGTGAGACCCCTCCCCAAATTCACCGAGACCCCTCCCCAAATTCACCCAGACCCCTCCCCAAATTCACCCAGACCCCTCCCCAAATTCAGAGACCCCCAAAATCCCCCAAAATCCCCCCAAAATCCCGAGACCCCTCCCCAAAATCCCCCCCGAACTCTGGGAATAGACCTTGGAGAGGCGCGAGCCTGGGGGGAAAAGGGGTGAGACCCCTCCCCAAATTCACCCAGACCCCTCCCCAAATTCACTGAGACCCCTCCCCAAATTCACCCAGACCCCTCCCCAAATTCACCCAGACCCCTCCCCAAATTCACCGAGACCCCTCCCCAAATTCAGAGACCCCCAAAATCCCCCCAAATCCCCCCAAAATCCCGAGACCCCTCCCCAAAATCCCCCCCGAACTCTGGGAATAGACCTTGGAGAGGCGCGAGCCTGGGGGGGAAAGGGGTGAGACCCCTCCCCAAATTCACTGAGACCCCTCCCCAAATTCACTGAGACCCCTCCCCAAATTCAGAGACCCCCAAAATCCCCCAAAATCCCCCAAAATCCCCCCAAAATCCCGAGACCCCTCCCCAAAATCGCCCCCGAACTCTGCGAATAGACCTTGGAGAGGCGTGAGCCTGGGGGGAAAAGGGGTGAGACCCCTCCCCAAATTCACCCAGACCCCTCCCCAAATTCACCCAGACCCCTCCCCAAATTCACCGAGACCCCTCCCCAAATTCAGAGACCCCCAAAATCCCCCAAAATCCCCCCAAAATCCCGAGACCCCTCCCCAAAATCCCCCCCGAACTCTGGGAATAGACCTTGGAGAGGCGCGAGCCTGGGGGGAAAAGGGGTGAGACCCCTCCCCAAATTCACCGAGACCCCTCCCCAAATTCACCGAGACCCCTCCCCAAATTCACCGGGACCCCTCCCCAAATTCAGAGACCCCAAAATCCCCCCAAAATCCCCCCAAAATTCCGAGACCTCTCCCCAAAATCCCCCCCGAACCCAAGGACAGAGCTCTGGGAGAGGCGCGAGCCTGAGGGGAAAAGGGGTGAGACCCCTCCCCAAATTCACCCAGACCCCTCCCCAAATTCACTGAGACCCCTCCCCAAATTCACCCAGACGCCTCCCCAAATTCCCTGAGACCCCTCCCCAAATTCAGAGACCCCCAAAATCCCCCCAAAATCCCCCAAAATCCCGAGACCCCTCCCCAAAATCCCCGAAGCCCCCCGCCCCATTTCAGGGGTACCCCGAAGCCCCCAGACCCATTTCAGGGCTGCCCCCGAAGCCCCCAGACCCATTTCTGGGTTCTCTATCCCTTCCCCAAGCCCCCAGACCCATTTTGGAGATGCCCCCAAGCCCCCAGACCCATTTCAGGGACTCTCCCCAAAGCCCCCAGACCCATTTCAGAGCTGACCCTGAAGCCCCCAGACCCATTTCACCCCCCCTTACCCAGACCCCAAAGCCCCCAGACCCATTTCAGGGGTGACCCCGAAGCCCCCAGCCCCATTTCAGAGCTGACCCCAAAGCCCCCAGCCCCATTTCAGAGCTGACCCCGAAGCCCCCAGACCCATTTCAGGGGTGACCCCCAAGCCCCCAGACCCATTTCAGGGGGTTCTCCTCCCCTTCCCAAGCCCCCAGCCCCATTTCAGGGCTGACCCCAAGCCCCCAGACCCATTTCAGGGACTCTCCCCAAGCCCCCAGACCCATTTTGGAGATGCCCCCAAGCCCCCAGCCCCATTTCAGGGCTGAACCCAAAGCCCCCAGACCCATTTCTGGGTTCTCTATCCCTTCCCCAATCCCCCAGACCCATTTCAGGGCTGACCCTGAAGCCCCCAGACCCATTTCAGAGCTGACCCCAAGCCCCCAGACCCATTTTTGGGGCTCTCCCCAATCCCCCAGACCCATTTCAGGGGTACCCCCAAGCCCCCAGACCCATTTCAGGGGTACCCTGAAGCCCCCAGACCCATTTCTGGGTTCTCTATCCGTTCCCCAAGCCCCCGACCCATTTCAAGGGTCTCCCCAAAGCCCCCAGACCCATTTTTGGGGGTCTCCCCAAGCCCCCAGCCCCATTTCAGAGCTGACCCCAAAGCCCCCAGACCCATTTCAGGGCTGACCCAGAAGCCCCCAGACCCATTTCTGGGTTATCTATCCCTTCCCAAAGCCCCCAGACCCATTTCTGTTGTCACCCTGAAGCCCCCAGACCCATTTCAGAGCTGCCCCCGAAGCCCCCAGACCCATTTCTGTTGTGCCCCCGAAGCCCCCAGCCCCATTTCAGGGGTTTCCCCGAAGCCCCCAGACCCATTTCTGGGTTCTCTATCCCTTCCCAAAGCCCCCAGACCCATTTCAAGGGTCTCCCCAAGCCCCCAGACCCATTTCAGAGCTGACACAGAAGCCCCCAGCCCCATTTCAGGGGTGCCCTGAAGCCCCCAGACCCATTTCAGGGGGTTCTCCTCCCCTTCCCAAGCCCCCAGACCCATTTTAGGGACTCTCCCCGAAGCCCCCAGACCCATTTCACCCCCCCTTACCCAGACCCCGAAGCCCCCAGACCCATTTCAGGGACTCTCCCCCAAGCCCCCAGACCCATTTCAGGGCTGTCCCCAAACCCCCAGACCCATTTCAGGGACTCTCCCCAAGCCCCCAGACCCATTTCAGAGCCGCCCCCGAAGCCCCCAGACCCATTTCTGGGTTCTCTATCCCTTTCCCAATCCCCCAGACCCATTTCAGGGGTGACCCCGAAGCCCCCAGACCCATTTCAGTGCTGCCCCCGAAGCCCCCAGACCCATTTCTGGGTTCTCTATCCCTTCCCAAAGCCCCCAGACCCATTTCAGTGCTGACCCCGAAGCCCCCAGACCCATTTCAGGGGGTTCTCCTCCCCTTCCCAAAGCCCCCAGACCCATTTCAAGGGTCTCCCCAAGCCCCCAGCAAGCCCCCAGACCCATTTCACCCCCCTTACCCAGACCCCAAAGCCCCCAGCCCCATTTCAGTGGTACCCCCAAGCCCCCAGACCCATTTCAGGGACTCTCCCAAAGCCCCCAGACCCATTCCAGGGGGTCTCCCCAAGCCCCCAGACCCATTTCAGGGACTCTCCCAAAGCCCCCAGACCCATTTCAGAGCTGCCCCCGAAGCCCCCAGACCCATTTCACCCCCCCTTACCCAGACCCCGAAGCCCCCAGCCCCATTTCAGGGCTGCCCCCGAAGCCCCCAGACCCATTTCTGGGTTCTCTATCCCTTCCCCAATCCCCCAGACCCATTTCAGGGGGTTCTCCTCCCCTTACTGAAGCCCCCAGACCCATTTCAGGGCTGACCCCGAAGCCCCCAGCCCCATTTCAGGGCTGCCCCCGAAGCCCCCAGACCCATTTCAGGGGGTTCTCCTCCCCTTCCCAAGCCCCCAGACCCATTTCAGGGGTGTCCCCAAAGCCCCCAGACCCATTTCAGAGCTGACCCCGAAGCCCCCAGACCCATTTCAGGGGTACCCTGAAGCCCCCAGCCCCATTTCAAGGGTCTCCCCAAGCCCCCAGACCCATTTCAGGGCTGCCCCCGAAGCCCCCAGACCCATTTCACCCCCCCTTACCCAGACCCCAAAGCCCCCAGACCCATTTTTTGGGTTCTCCCAAAGCCCCCAGCCCCATTTCAGGGCTGCCCCCGAAGCCCCCAGACCCATTTCCCCCCCTTACCCAGCAGCCCCTTGGGGGGGCTCCTCCCCAGGGCGGAGTCGTCGCAGCAGCGGGGCCGGGGTCTCCCCGAGCCCCCTCCCCTAATTTGGGGGTCGCGGGGGGGGGGTCCCCGAGTGTTGCCCCCCCCCGATTTTGGGGCGGGGGTCCCGCGGGGGGGTCTCAGGACCTTCTCCAGCTCCTCCATCAGCTTCAGCTGCTGCCGCCGCTCGTACTCCAAGCGCGTGAACTCCCCCCGCCGAGACCCCTCCCCAAATTCCTTCTCCGGGCCGGGGGGCGGCTGGGGGGGCTCCGAGGGGGGGCTGGGGGGGAAAAAGGGTCAGGACCCCTCCCCAAATTCACCTTGAGGGGGGAAAATAGGGAAAGACCCCTCCCCAAATTATTCTTGAGGGGATAAAAGGGGAAGACCCCTCCCCAAATTCCTTCTCCGGGCCGGGGGGCGGCTGGGGGGGCTCCGAGGGGGGGCTGGGGGGGGAAAAAGGGTCAGGACCCCTCCCCAAATTCTTCTTGAGGGGGAAAAAGGGTCAGGACCCCTCCCCAAATTCACCTCGAGAGGGAAAATAAGGGAGAGACCCCTCCCCAAATTCTTCTTGAGGGGGAAAAAGGGGAAGACCCCTCCCCAAATTCACCTTGAGGGGGAAAAGGGGAAGACCCCTCCCCAAATTATTCTTGAGGGGATAAAAGGGAAAGACCCCTCCCCAAATTCTTCTTGAGGGGGAAAAGGGTCAGGACCCCTCCCCAAATTCTTCTTGAGGGGGAAAAAGGGTCAGGACCCCTCCCCAAATTGTCCTTGAGGGGGAAAAAAGGGTCAGGACCCCTCCCCAAATTCTTCTTGAGGGGTAAAAAGGGAAAGACCCCTCCCCAAATTCTTCTTGAGAGGGAAAATAAGGGAGAGACCCCTCCCCAAATTCCTTCTCCGGGCCGGGGGGCGGCTGGGGGGGCTCCGAGGGGGGGCTGGGGGGGAAAAAAGGGTCAGGACCCCTCCCCAAATTCACCTCGAGAGGGAAAAAAGGGGAAGACCCCTCCCCAAATTCTTCTTGAGGGGGAAAAAAGGGTCAGGACCCCTCCCCAAATTGTTCCCGAGGGGGGAAAAAGGGGAAGACCCCTCCCCAAATTCTCCTCGAGGGGAAAAAGGGAAAGACCCCTCCCCAAATTTTTCTTGAGAGGGAAATAATGGAGAGACCCCTCCCCAAATTATCCTTGAGGGGGTAAAAAGGGTCAGGACCCCTCCCCAAATTCTCCTTGAGGGGAAAATAATGGAGAGACCCCTCCCCAAATTCCTTCTCCGGGGCGGGGGGCGGCTGGGGGGGCTCCGAGGGGGGTCTGGGGGGGAAAAAGGGTCAGGACCCCTCCCCAAATTGTTCCCGAGGGGGTAAAAAGGGTCAGGACCCCTCCCCAAATTCTTCTTGGGGGGGGAAAAAGGGTCAGGACCCCTCCCCAAATTCTCGTCGAGGGGGAAAAAGGGGAAGACCCCTCCCCAAATTATTCTTGAGGGGGGGAAAAAGAGAAGACCCCTCCCCAAATTTTTCTTGAGGGGGAAAAAGGGAAAGACCCCTCCCCAAATTCTCCTTGAGGGGGGGAAATAATGGAGAGACCCCTCCCCAAATTCCTTCTCCGGGCCGGGGGGCGGCTGGGGGGGCTCCGAGGGGGGGCTGGGGGGGGAAAAAGGGTCAGGACCCCTCCCCAAATTCTCCTCGGGGGGGAAAAAGGGTCAGGACCCCTCCCCAAATTGTTCTTGAGAGGGGAAAAGGGGAAAGACCCCTCCCCAAATTCTTCTTGAGGGGGAAAAAGGGGAAGACCCCTCCCCAAATTCTTCTTGAGGGGGTAAAAAGGGTCAGGACCCCTCCCCAAATTATTCTAGAGGGGGGAAAAGGGGAAGACCCCTCCCCAAATTCTTCTTGAGGGGGGAAAAAAGGGGAAGACCCCTCCCCAAATTATTCTTGAGGGGGAAAAAGGGAAAGACCCCTCCCCAAATTCCTTCTCCGGGCCGGGGGGCGGCTGGGGGGGCTCCGAGGGGGGGCTGGGGGGGGAAAAAGGGTCAGGACCCCTCCCCAAATTCACCTCGAGAGGGAAAAAGGGTCAGGACCCCTCCCCAAATTCTTCTTGAGGGGGAAAAAAGGGGAAGACCCCTCCCCAAATTCTCCTCGAGGGGGAAAAAGGGAAGGACCCCTCCCCAAATTCTTCTTGAGGGGGAAAAGGGAAAGACCCCTCCCCAAATTCCTTCTCCGGGGCGGGGGGCGGCTGGGGGGGCTCCGAGGGGGGGCTGGGGGGGGAAAAAGGGTCAGGACCCCTCCCCAAATTCTTCTTGAGGGGGAAAAAGGGAAAGACCCCTCCCCAAATTGTTCTTGAGGGGGAAATAATGGAGAGACCCCTCCCCAAATTATTTTTGAGGGGGAAAATAATGGAGAGACCCCTCCCCAAATTCTTCTTGAGGGGGAAAAAAGGGTGAGGACCCCTCCCCAAATTTTTCTTGAGGGGGGAAAAGGGAAAGACCCCTCCCCAAATTATTCTTGAGAGGGAAATAATGGAGAGACCCCTCCCCAAATTCCTTCTCCGGGCCGGGGGGCGGCTGGGGGGGCTCCGAGGGGGGGCTGGGGGGGGAAAAAGGGTCACGACCCCTCCCCAAATTCACCTCGAGGGGGAAAAAGGGAAAGACCCCTCCCCAAATTCTTCTTGACGGGGAAAAAGGGAAAGACCCCTCCCCAAATTCTCCTTGAGGGGGAAAATAGGGGAAGACCCCTCCCCAAATTTTTCTTGAGAGGATAAAAGGGAAAGACCCCTCCCCAAATTCTTCTTGAGGGGGTAAATAATGGAGAGACCCCTCCCCAAATTCCTTCTCCGGGGCGGGGGGCGGCTGGGGGGGCTCCGAGGGGGGTCTGGGGGGGAAAAAAGGGTCAGGACCCCTCCCCAAATTCTCCTCGAGGGGGAAATAATGGAGAGACCCCTCCCCAAATTTTTCTTGAGGGGGAAAAAGGGGAAGACCCCTCCCCAGATTCTTCTTGAGGGGGAAAATAAGGGAGAGACCCCTCCCCAAATTTTAGACCCCCTCCATTTTTGGGACCCCATCCCCATTTTTTCGGACCCTCCCCCATTTTTGGGAGACCCCTCCCCAATTTTTAGACTCTCCCTGATTTTTGGAAGCCCCCTCCTCATTTTTCGGACCCTCCCTAATTTTTAGGACCCTCCCCCATTTTTAGGACCCCTCCCCCATTTTTGGACCCTCCCCCATTTCTGGGACCCCTCCCCATTTTTCGGACCCCCCATTTTTCAGAGACCCCTCCCCCATTTTTTGGGGACCCCTCCCCCATTTTTGGGACCCTCCCCCATTCCGGGCACCCCTCCCCCATTTTTTGGACCCCTCCCCATTTCGGGACCCCTCCCCATTTTCAGGACCCTCCCCCATTTTGGACCCCTCCCCATTTTTCGGACCCTCCCCCATTTGGGGACCCCTCCCCCATTTGGGGACCCCTCCCCATTTTTGGGACTCCCCCCCCATTTCCGGGACCCCTCCCCATTTTGGGGACCCCTCCCCATTTTCGAGGACCCCTCCCCCATTTTTCGGACCCTCCCCCATTTCTGGGGCCCCTCCCCATTTTTCGGACCCCTCCCCATTTTCAGGGCCCCTCCCCCATTTCGGGGACCATTCCCCCATTTTTCGGACCCTCCCCCATTTTGGGGACCCCTCCCCATTTCTGCGACCCCTCCCCCATTTTTGGGGACCCCTCCCCATTTTGGGGACCCCTCCCCCATTTCTGTGACCCCTCCCCATTTTTCGGACCCTCCCCCATTTTGGGGAGCCCTCCCCCATTTCTGAGACCCCTCCCCATTTTGGGGACCCTCCCCCATTTTTTGGACCCTCCCCCATTTGGGGACCCCTCCCCCATTTGGAGACCCCTCCCCCATTTCTGCGACCCCCTCCCCATTTCGGGAACCCCTCCCCATTTCAGGGACCCCTCCCCCATTTCAGGGACCCCTCCCCCCATTCAGGGACCCCTCCCCCATTTTGGGGACCCCTCCCCATTTTGGGGACCCCTCCCCAATTCCCGCTCACCGCTCCGGGGGCTGCTCCTGCCCCGCCCCCCACAGGCGGCGCTGCCGCAGTGGGGGAGGGGCGCGGCGGGGGGGGGAGGGGTCGGTGTCATCGAGCTGTGACAGGGACAGGGGGACATTGGGGACATTGGGGACATTGGGGACACCTCCTGTCCCTGTGCCACCCCCCCAATGTCCCCCCAATGTCCCCCCAATCCCCCCAATGTCCCCCAATGTCCCCAATCCCCCCAATGTCCCCAATGTCCCCAATGTCCCCCCAATGTCCCCAATGTCCCCAATGTCCCCAATGTCCCCCAATGTCCCCAATGTCCCCAATGTCCCCAATGTCCCCCAATGACCCCCCAATGTCCCCAATGTCCCCCCAATGTCCCCAATGTCCCCCAATGTCCCCCCAATGTCCCCAATGTCCCCCAATGTCCCCAATGTCCCCAGTGATGTCCCCAATGTCCCCAATGTCCCCATGTCCCCCCAATGTCCCCAATGTCCCCCCAATGTCCCCAATGTCCCCAATGTCCCCAATCCCCCCAATGTCCCCAATGTCCCCCCAATGTCCCCAATGTCCCCAATGTCCCCAGTGATGTCCCCAATGTCCCCAATGTCCCCATGTCCCCCCAATGTCCCCAATGTCCCCAATGTCCCCAATGTCCCCCCAATGTCCCCAATCCCCCCAATGTCCCCAATGTCCCCAATGTCCCCAATCCCCCCAATGTCCCCAATGTCCCCCCAATGTCCCCAATGTCCCCAATGTCCCCAATGCCCCCAATCCCCCCAATGTCCCCCCAATGTCCCCAATGTCCCCAATGTCCCCCCAATGTCCCCAATCCCCCCAATGTCCCCAATGTCCCCAATGTCCCCAGTGTCCCCAATGTCCCCAATGTCCCCAATGTCCCCAATCCCCCCAATGTCCCCAATGTCCCCAATGTCCCCAATGTCCCCCCAATGTCCCCAATGTCCCCAATGTCCCCCCAATGTCCCCAATGTCCCCCCAATGTCCCCAATGTCCCCAATGTCCCCAATGTCCCCCCAATGTCCCCAATGCCCCCAATGTCCCCAATGTCCCCAATCCCCCCAATGTCCCCAATGTCCCCAGTGATGTCCCCAATGTCCCCAATGTCCCCAACCCCCCCAATGTCCCCAATGTCCCCAATGCCCCCAATGTCCCCAATGTCCCCATTAATGTCCCCAATGTCCCCAATGTCCCCAATGTCCCCCCAATGTCCCCAATGTCCCCAATGTCCCCAATCCCCCCATTGTCCCCAATGTCCCCAGTGTCCCCGATGTCCCCAATGTCCCCAATGTCCCCAATGTCCCCCCAATGTCCCCAATGTCCCCAATGTCCCCAATGTCCCCCCAATCCCCCCAATGTCCCCAATGTCCCCCATGTCCCCAATGTCCCCAATGTCCCCCCAATGTCCCCAATCCCCCCAATGTCCCCCCAATGTCCCCAATGTCCCCAATGTCCCCCCAATGTCCCCAATCCCCCCAATGTCCTCACTGTCCCCACTGTCCCCAATGTCCCCAATGTCCCCAATGTCCCCGATGTCCCCCAATGTCCCCAATGTCCCCAATGTCCCCAATGTCCCCAATGTCCCCCCACTGTCCCCAATGTCCCCAATGTCCCCAATGTCCCCGATGTCCCCCAATGTCCCCAATGTCCCCAATGTCCCCAATGTCCCCCAATCCCCCCAATGTCCCCAATGTCCCCCATGTCCCCAATGTCCCCAATGTCCCCCCAATGTCCCCAATCCCCCCAATGTCCCCCCAATGTCCCCAATGTCCCCAATGTCCCCCCAATGTCCCCAATCCCCCCAATGTCCTCACTGTCCCCACTGTCCCCAATGTCCCCAATGTCCCCAATGTCCCCAATGTCCCCAATGTCCCCAATGTCCCCCCAATGTCCCCAATGTCCCCAATGTCCCCCCACTGTCCCCAATGTCCCCAATGTCCCCAATGCCCCCAATCCCCCCAATGTCCCCAATGTCCCCAATGTCCCCAACCCCCCCAACCCCCCCAATGTCCCCAATGTCCCCAATGTCCCCAATGTCCCCAATGTCCCCAATGTCCCCACCGTACCTGACAGAAGAACCCCACACTGGGTCGGGCTCCCCCATTTCCCGCTTCACTTGGGGACCCCTCCAGCGAATCCCCTTCTCCTTCCTCCTCCTCCTCCTCCTCCTCCTCCTCCTCCTCCTCGGGGTGGTGCCCGCTCCGTGTGCCACCCGTGCCACCCGTGCCACCCTCGCCGGGGGACAGGGACGCGTCGCTGGTGCCATCGCCGCAGGCGCGGGCGCGCAGCCCCCCCCCGGCCGGGCACCGGCGGCGACTCGGGGGGCGGAGGGGGGTCCTGTGGGGAGGGGACACGGGGTGGCACTGAGTGGCACTGGGGTGGCACTCAATGGCACCAAAGTGGCACCAGAGTGGCACCAATGTGGCACTGAATGGCATTGCAATGGCATCATGGTGGCACTCAATGGCACTGGGGTGGCACCATGGTGGCACTCAATGGCACTGCAGTGGCACCGGAGTGGCACTGAATGTCACCAGAGTGGCATCAATGTGGCACTAATGGCACCATGGTGGCACTCAATGTCACCAGAGTGGCACCATGGTGGCAGTGAATGGCACTGGAATGTCACCAGAGTGGCACCAGAGTGGCACTGAATGGCACCAGAGTGGCGCTAAATGGCACCACAGTGGCACCAGAGTGGCACTGAATGGCATTGGAATGTCACCAGAGTGGCACCAATATGACACTGAATGGCACCGGAGTGGCACTGAATGGCACTGGGGTGGCACCATGGTGGCACTGAATGGCACCATGGTGGCACTGAATGGCACCAGAGTGGCACCTGACCCAGATGTGACCCGAATCACCCCAAATCTGACCCAAATTTCCCTAAATTTCCCCAAATTTGACCCAAATCACCCCAAATCTCACCTCCACCTCCTCATGCTCCTCCTGGCCGTCGGCGAAGCGCAGCGAGCTGTGGGTCTGCATCTGACCCGAATTTCCCCAAATCTGACCCGAATTTCCCCAAATTTCCCCAAATCTGACCCGAATCACCCCAAATCTGACCCGAATTTCCCCAAATTTCCCCAAATTTGACTGGAATTCCCCCAAATCTCACCTCCAGCTCCTGCTGCTGCTGCTCCTCCTGGCCGTCGGTGAAGCGCAGCAAGCTGCGGGTCTGCATCTGACCCGAATTTCCCCAAATCTGACCCAAATTTCCCCAAATTTCCCCAAATCTGACCCAAATCACCCCAAATTCCCCCAAATCTGACCCGAATCACCCCAAATCTCACCTCCACCTCCTCATGCTCCTCCTGCCCATCGGCGAAGCGCAGCGAGCTGTGGGTCTGCATCTGACCCGAATCTGACCCAAATCTGACCCGAATTTCCCCAAATTTCCCCAAATCTGACCCGAATTTCCCCAAATTTCCCCAAATTCCCCCAAATTCCCCCAAATCTGACCCGAATCACACCAAATCTCACCTCCTCCTCCCGGCTCTGCTCCTCCTGCCCGTCGGCAAAGCGCAGCGAGCTGCGGGTCTGCATCTGACCCAAATCTGACCCGAATTTCCCCAAATTTCCCCAAATCCTCCTGAAATTTCCCCAAATTTGACCCGAATTCCCCCAAATCTCACCTCCTCGTGCTCCTCCTGCTGCTGCTGCTCCTCCTGGCCGTCAGTGAAGCGCAGTGAGCTGCGGGTCTGCATCTGACCCGAATCTGACCCGAATCGCCCCAAATCTGACCCAAATTTCCCCAAATTTCCCCAAATCTGACCCGAATCACCCCAAATCTGACCCGAATCACCCCAAATTTCCCCAAATCTCACCTCCTCCTCCTGGTGCTGCTGCTCCTCCTGGCCGTCGGTGAAGCGCAGCGAGCTGCGGTTCTGCATCTGACTCAAATCCGACCCAAATCTGACCCGAATTTCCCCAAATTTGACCGGAATTTCCCCAAATCTGATCCAAATCACCCCAAATCACCCCAAATCTCACCTCCACCTCCTGCTGCTCCTCCTGTCCGTCGGCGAAGCGCAGCGAGCTGCGGGTCTGCATCTGACCCGAATCTGACCCGAATCACCCCAAATCTGTCCCGAATTTCCCTAAATCTGACCCGAATTTCCCCAAATTTTCCAAATTTCCCCAAATCTCACCTCCTCCAGCTCCTGGTGCTGCTGCTCCTCCTGCCCGTTGGCGAAGCGCAGCGAGCTGCGGGTCTGCATCTGACCCAAATCTGACCCGAATTTCCCCAAATCACCCCAAATCTGACCCAAATTTCCCCGAATTTCCCCAAATTTCCCCAAATCTGACCTGAATCACCCCAAATCTCACCTCCTCGTGCTCCTCCTGCTGCTGCTGCTCCTCCTGCCCGTCGGCGAAGCGCAGCGAGCTGCGGGTCTGCATCTGACCCAAATCTGACCCGAATCACCCCAAAATCCCCCAAATCTCACCTCCTCATGCTCCTCCTGCCCGTTGGCGAAGCGCAGCGAGCTGCGGGTCTGCATCTGACCCGAATCTGACCCGAATCTGACCCAAATCTGACCCGAATTTCCCCAAATTTGACCCAAATCACCCCAAATCTCACCTCCACCTCCTCATGCTCCTCCTGCCCGTCGGCAAAGCGCAGCGAGCTGCGGGTCTGCACGGGCACCTGGCTGGGCGAGAAGCGCCGCAGGTGGGGCAGCGTGTCCACGTCGTGGGGAGGGGTCAGCACCCGCGTCAGGGGCGGCAGCCGCAGCTCGGCGGGCCGGGGTCTCCTGGGGCTGCGGGGAGGGGGCTTCCGAGACCCCCCTGTGGCGACAGGACCCGTGCTTCCTCCTCCTCCTCCTCCTCCTCCTCCTCCCGTCGCATTTCCTGCATTGTTGCCGCTGCTGCTTCCTCCTCCTCCTCTCCTGGCGGGCGCCGGCGATCCCGGGGTGTTTTTTGGGGTCGCCGAGGGGGTTTTGGTGGATTTGGGGAGGGGGATCACCCAAGCTTGGGGGGCTCCGTGGGGTCTCTGCTCCAGCAGCAGCCGCTCCTGCTGCTGCGTCAAGCGTTGCATGTCCAGCTGCAACGAGCTCAGCGCCGCGCTCAGCCTGGCCACCGCCGCTTCGTATTGCCCCGGAGGGGCTGGAGGTGGTTTTTGGGGAGCCCCCAGACTCAATTCCTCCTCGGGAAGGGCGGGGGGAGACCCCTCCTCGTCGTGGCGGAGGCGCTGCAAAGCGTTCTGGCCCAAGCGCTGGCGGTGCTTGGCGAAAATGGCCTCGATGCGTTTCTTCTGCGCCTCGATGGCGCGGCGCTTCTCCTCCAGACGCGCTCCCAGCTGCGACATCTCGGCGCTGAGACCCCCCCCCGATTCTGGGGGACCCCCGGGAGTGGTGGGGACCCCCCCCAAATTGACGCCGAGACCCCCGGGGGGATTCGATGGGGCGGCACCAGTGGCTTCTTCCAGTTTCTTCTTGCGCTCGGCGAAGCTGGTCATGGGGCGGGATGGATTTTGGGGAGGGTTTTGGGGGGTCCCAAGAGGATTTGGAGGGGTCCCAAGAAGATTTTGGGGGGCGGAGGAAAAGTTTGGAGGGGTCCCAAGAAGATTTTGGGGGTTTTGAGGAGGGGGAGGCTCCGGGGAGTGGAGGAAAAAAGCGTCGGGGGCTCCGTCGGGGAGGAGGCGCTCGGAGCTGTGGATGATCTGCAGAGCCTCCTCGATGCTGGGGGGCTCGGGGGGCTCGGGGACACCGTTGGGGACAGCTGGGGGGGTGGCAGGGGTGGCACTGGGCGGGTGGCAGTGGCGGGGGCGGGGGGCGAGGCTGTCGGAGCTGGCGGAGCGGGCGAGGGTCCCCGCCGGGACCCCCACGGGGTTACCCATGACGATGTCCACGTCGCTGTCCAGCCCGAAGGGGATGCTGAAGGACACGGCCTGGGACAGGGGGTGGCTGGGGAGGGGGAAAAACAGGGGGTGAGAACCCAAAAATGTCCCCAAAGTGTCCCCAAAGTGTCCCCAAAGTGTCCCCAAATCAGACGTTTAAAATTTAAAATCTGCACCCAAATTGGAGCAAAATCGCCCCAAATTTGACACAAATTTGAGCTAAATTGAACTCAAATTGCTCCAAATTTGACTCAAATTTGACCCAAAACTGACCCAAAACTGACCCAAAACTGACCCAAATCCCACCCAAAACTGACCCAAAACTGAGCCAAATCGCCTCAAATCTGCACCCAAATCGCCTGAAATCCCACCCAAAACTGACCCAAATCCCACCCAAAACTGACCCAAATCGCCTCAAATCGGATCCAAATCGCCCCAAATCCCACCCAAACCCCACCCGAAACTGACCCAAATCACCCCGAAGCTGCACCCAAATCGCCCCAAATCCCACCCAAAACTGACCCAAATGACCCCAAATCTGACCCAAATCGCCCCAAATCCCACCCAAAACTGACCCAAACCCCACCCAAAACTGACCCAACTCTGACCCAAAACTGACCCAAATCCCACCCAAAACTGAGCCAAATCGCCCCAAGTTTGACCCAAATGACCCCAAATTGGACCCAAATCGCCTCAAATCCCACCCAAAACTGACCCAAATCACCCCAAATCCCACCCAAAACTGAGCCAAATCCCACCCAAAACTGACCCAAAACTGACCCAAATCCCACCCAAAACTGAACCTAATTACCCCAAGTTTGACCCAAATGCCCCTAAATTGGACCCCAATCGCCTCAAATCCCACCCAAAACTGACCCAAATTGCCCCCAAAATCCCCCAGAGAACCCCCAAATCCCCCAGGACCCCCTAAATCTCACAGAACCCCCCAAATCCTCCCCAAAACCCCCAAATCACTCAAGACCCCCCCCTAAATCCCTCAGGACCCCCCAAAATCCCCCAGGGACCCCCCAAATCCCTCAAAACCTCCCTAAATCCCCCCCTGGGATCCCCCCAAATTCCTCAGGACCCCCCAAAATCCTCCCCCAAACCGCCCCCGAACCCCCCAGGACTCCCCAAAACCCCCCCAGGACCCCCCAAAATCCCCCAGGACCCCCCAAATCCCTCAAGACCCCCCAAAACCCCCCCAGGACCCCTCAAGACCCCCCAAAATCCTCCCCAAACCCCTCAAGACCCCCCCCAAATCCCTCAGGACCCCCCAAATCCTCCCCAAACCCCTCAAGACCCCCCAAAATCCTCCCCAAACCCCTCAAGACCTCCCCAAATCCCCCAGGGACCCCCCCAAAATCCCCCAGGACCCCCCAAAACCCCCCCAGGACCCCCCAAAATGCCCCAGGACCCCCCAAATCCCCCAAGACTGCCCAAATCCCCCCTGGGATCCCCCCTGATTCCTCAGGACCCCCCAAAATCCTCCCCAAACCCCTCAAGACCCCCCAAAATCCTCCCCAAACCCCTCAGGACCCCCCAAAATCCTCCCCAAACCCCTCAAGACCCCCCAAATCCCCCCCCCAAATCCCTCAAGACCTCCCCAAATCCCCCAGGGACCCCCCCAAATTCCTCAGGACCCCCCAAAATCCTCCCCCAAACCCCCCCAAAACCCCCCAGGACCCCCCAAAACCCCCCCAGGACCCCCCAAAACCCTCCCCAAACCCCTCAAGACCCCCCCCAAATCCCCCAAGACTGCCCAAATCCCCCCCTGGGACCCCCCAGATTCCTCAGGACCCCCCAAAATCCTCCCCCAAACCCCCCCAAAACCCCCCAGGACCCCCCAAAGCCCCCCAGGACCCCCCAAAACCCCCCCAGGACCCCCCAAATCCCCCAGGACCCCCCAAAACCCCCCTCACCTCAGGGGTCTCTTGCTCCAGCCCTTCCCGAAGCCGTCGCCGTGGGGGAGGGAGGGGGAGTGGGGCAGGAGCCCTTTTTTGGGGGGGGGGGAGAAGAAATGGGGTCACCCCCAGACCCCAAAAACCCCCCCAAGCTCAGAGACCCCCCCCACCCCCCAAAAAATCCCAATGAGCTCCCCCAGGATGCTCCAAAAACCCCAAAATCCCCCCAGGACCCCTCAAAATCCCTCCCCAGACCCCCCCCCCAACACCAAATTCCCCCCATGGGACCCCTCCCCAAATTTTTGGGGTCCCCCCCAGACCTCCCCCAGCTCAGTGACCCCCCCAAAAATCCCAGGAACCCCCCAAATCTTCCCCAAAACCCCCCTGGGACCCCCACAAATTTTTCAGGGACCCCCAAAATCCCCCAGGACCCCCCAAATCTTCCCCAAAACCCCCCTGGGACCCCCCTAAATCCTCTCAGGGACCCCCCCAAACACCCCAGGACCCCCCAAATCTTCCCCAAAACCCCCCTGGGACCCCCCCAAACCCCCCAGGACCCCCCAAAATCCCAAAATTCCCCCAGGACCCCTCAAAATCCCTCCCCAGACCCCCCCCAACACCAAATTCCCCCCATGGGACCCCTCCCCAAATTTTTGGGGTCCCACTCCAGACCGCCCCCAGCTCAGTGACCCCCCCAAAAATCCCAGGAACCTCCAAATCTTCCCCAAAACCCCCCTGGGACCCCCCAAAATCCCCCAGGACCCCCCAAATCTTCCCCAAAACCCCCCTGGGACCCCCCTAAATCCTCTCAGGGACCCCCCCAAACCCCCCAGGACCCCCCAAAATCCCAAAATTCCCCCAGGACCCCTCAAAATCCCTCCCCAGACCCCCCCCCAACCCCAAATTCCCCCCATGGGACCCCTCCCCAAATTTTTGGGGTCCCCCCCAGATCGCCCCCAGGTCAGTGACCCCCCCAAAAATCCCAGGAACCCCCAAATTCACCCCAAATTCCCCCCAAAACCACCCTGCCCCCCACCCAAATCCCCCAGGACCCCCCAAATCTTCCCCAAAACCCCCCTGGGACCCCCACAAATTTTTCAGGGACCCCCAAAATCCCCCAGGACCCCCCAAATCTTCCCCAAAACCCCCCTGGGACCCCCCTAAATCCCCTTAGGGACCCCCTCAAATCCCCCAGGACCCCCCAAAAAATCCCAAAATTCCCCCAGGACCCCCCAAAATCCCTCCCCAGACCCCCCCCAACCCCAAATTCCCTCCATGGGACCCCTCCCCAAATTTTTGGGTCCCCCCCAGACCGCCCCCAGCTCAGTGACCCCCCCAAAAAATCCCAGGAACCCCCAAATTTACCCCAAAACCCCCCTGCCCCCACCCAAACCCCCCAGGACCCCCCAAATCTTCCCCAAAACCCCCCTGGGACCCCCACAAATTTTTAAGGGACCCCCAAAATCCCCCAGGACCCCCCAGATCTTCCCCAAAACCCCCCTGGGACCCCCCTAAATCCCCTTAGGGACCCCCCCAAACACCCCAGGACCCCCCAAATCTTCCCCAAAACCCCCCTGGGACCCCCCTAAATCCTCTCAGGGACCCCCCCAAACCCCCCAGGACCCCCCAAATCTTCCCCAAAACCCCCCTGGGACCCCCACAAATTTTTCAGGGGCCCCCAAAATCCCCCAGGACCCCCCAAATCTTCCCCAAAACCCCCCTGGGACCCCCCCTAAATCCCCTTAGGGACCCCCCCAAATCCCCCAGGACCCCCCAAAATCCCAAAATTCCCCCAGGACCCCTCAAAATCCCTCCCCAGACCCCCCCCCAACCCCAAATTCCCCCCATGGGACCCCTCCCCAAATTTTTGGGGTCTCACTTCAGACCTCCCCCAGCTCAGTGACCCCCCCAAAAATCCCAGGAACCCCCAAATTCACCCCAAAACCCCCCTGGGACCCCCCTAAATCCCCCAGGACCCCCCAAATCTTCCCCCAAACCCCCCTGGGACCCCCACAAATTTTTCAGGGACCCCCAAAATCCCCCAGGACCCCCCAAATCTTCCCCAAAACCCCCCCTAAATCCCCTTAGGGACCCCCCCAAATCCCCCAGGACCCCCCAAAATCCCAAAATTCCCCCAGGACCCCTCAAAATCCCTCCCCAGACCCCCCCCAACACCAAATTCCCCCCATGGGACCCCTCCCCAAATTTTTGGGGTCCCCCCCAGACCTCCCCCAGCTCAGTGACCCCCCCAAAAATCCCAGGAACCCCCAAATTTACCCCAAAACCCCCCTGGGACCCCCCTAAATCCCCCAGGACCCCCCAAATCTTCCCCAAAACCCCCCTGGGAACCCCACAAATTTTTCAGGGACCCCCAAAATCCACCAGGACCCCCCAAATCTTCCCCAAAACCCCCCCTAAATCCCCTTAGGGACCCCCCCAAACCCCCCAGGACCCCCAAAAATCCCAAAATTCCCCCAGGACCCCTCAAAATCCCTCCCCAGACCCCCCCCAACCCCAAATCCCCCTCCCCAAATTTTTGGGGTCCCCCCCAGATTTGGGGGGGGTCTTACCTGGGGGTTGCCCCCCCCCTGCCAAGAGGGGGTGCCGGAAGTTGAAGCCAGGGGAGCTGTGGGGGGGGTCACGGGGGGTCAGGGACCCCCAAAAATCCCCAAAATTGCCCCAAAGGAACCCAAAATCTCAAACCACCCCAAACCACAAAACCCCCCCCAAAAAAACCCCAAAATTACTCTCAAAATCCCCCCAAAAAAGCCCCAAAATTCCTCCCAAAAAAGCCCCAAAATTCCTCCCAATCCCCCCCATTTAAAAAAATAAAATTCCTCCCAAAATCCCCCTAAAAAAAATCCAAAATCACCCCTCAAAAAAACCCAAAATCTACCCAAAACCCCAAAATTACCCTCAAAAAAACCCCAAAAATCCCTCCCTCAAAAACTCCAAAATCCCTCCTTCAAAAATCTCCCAAAATCTCCCCCAAAATCCCTCCCCCAAAATCCATCTCAAAACTTCAAAATCTTCCCCAAAAAAACCCAAATTCCCCCCTAAAAAAAAAAACAAATCCCTCCCTCAAAAACCCCAAAATCCCCCCTAAAATCACCAAAATCTCCCCCTCAAAATCTCCAAATCTTCCCTCAAAAAAACCCAAAATTACTCCCAAAAAAGCCCCAAAATCTTCCTCAAAATCCCCCCAAAATCTCCCTCAAAAAACCTCAAAATCCCTCCCTCAAAAAACCCTAAAATCTCCCCCAAAACCCCAAAATTACCCTCAAAAAAACCCCAAAATCCATCCCTCAAAAACTCCAAAATCCTTCCTTCAAAAAACCCAAAATCTCCCCCAAAATCCCTCCCAAAATCCATCTCAAAACTTCAAAATCTTCCCAAAAAAACCCCAAATTCCCCCCTAAAAAAAATAAACAAATCCCTCCCTCAAAAACCCCAAAATCGCCCCTACAAACACCAAAATCTCCCCCTCAAAATCTCCAAATCTTCCCCCAAAAAAACCCAAAATTACTCCCAAAAAAAGCCCCAAAATCTTCCTCAAAATCCCCCCAAAATCTCCCTCAAAAAACCTCAAAATCCCTCCCTCAAAAAACCCCAAATCTTCCCCTAAAAATACCCCAAAGTCTTCCCCAAAATCCCAAAATCTCCCTTAAAAACCCCAAATCCTCCATCAAAAAGCCCCAAAATCCCTCCCTCAAGACCTGAAAATCTTCCCCAAAAACCCCAAAATCTTCCCCAAAAAAACCCCAAAATCCCCCCTAAAAAAAACCCCAAAATCCCCCCCAAAAAACCCAAAATCCCCCCAAAATCCCCCCAAAATCCTCACCTGCTTTTGGGGTTCGGGGCATCACCAGCAGCCGGAGATTCTGGAGGGGGGAGGGGAAATTTTGGAAGGTACCCCCCCAAAATTTGGGGTCCCCACCACCAGACCCCCCCCCTAAAATTTGGGGTCCCTTCATTCCCTCCCCGTCAATTTTAGGGTCCCAAATTTTGGGATCTTTGGGACTCCTCCCCATTTTTAGGGTTTGGCCCCCCCAAAAATTTGGGGTCCCACCCCTACCTGACCCCACGCCCCCCAAAATTTGGGGTCCCCCCCTACCTGACCCACCTAAAATTTGGGGTCCCCCCCTACCTGACCCACCTAAAATTTGGGGTCCCCCCCTACCTGAGCCCCCCCAAATTTGGGGTCCCTTCATTCCCTCCCCGTCAATTTTAGGGTCCCAAATTTTGGGATCTTTGGGACTCCTCCCCATTTTTGGGGTTTGGCCTTTCCAAATTTGGGGTCCCCCCTACCTGACACCCCCTTCCCAAAATTTGGGGTCCCCCCTACCTGACCCACCTAAAATTTGGGGTCCCCCCCTACCTGAGCCCCCCCAAATTTGGGGTCCCTTCATTCCCTCCCCGTCAATTTTAGGGTCCCAAATTTTGGGATCTTTGGGACCCCTCCCCATTTTTGGGGTTTGGCCTTCCCAAAATTTGGGGTCCCCTCTACCTGACCCTCCCAAAATTTGGGGTCCCCCCCTACCTGAACCCCCCCAAATTTGGGGTCCCTTCATTCCCTCCCCGTCAATTTTAGGGTCCCAAATTTTGGGATTTTTGGGACTCCTCCCCATTTTTAGGGTTTGGCTCCCCCAAAAATTTGGGGTCCCACCCCTACCTGACCCCACGCCCCCCAAAATTTGGGGTCCCCCCCTACCTGACCCACCTAAAATTTGGGGTCCCCCCCTACCTGAGCCCCCCCAAATTTGGGGTCCCTTCATTCCCTCCCCGTCAATTTTAGGGTCCCAAATTTTGGGATCTTTGGGACTCCTCCCCATTTTTAGGGTTTGGCTCCTCCAAAAATTTGGGGTCCCCCCCCTACCTGACCCCACGCCCCCCAAAATTTGGGGTGCCCCCTACCTGACCCACCTAAAATTTGGGGTCCCCCCCTACTTGAGCCCCCCCAAATTTGGGGTCCCTTAATTCCCTCCCCGTCAATTTTAGGGTCCCAAATTTTGGGATCTTTGGGACCCCTCCATATTTTTAGGGTTTGGCTCTCCCAAAAATTTGGGGTCCCCCCTACCTGACCCTCCCAAAATTTGGGGTCCCCCCTACCTGACCCACCTAAAATTTGGGGTCCCCCCCTACCTGAGCCCCCCCAAATTTGGGGTCCCTTCATTCCCTCCCCGTCAATTTTAGGGTCCCAAATTTTGGGATCTTTGGGACCCCTCCCCATTTTTGGGGTTTGGCTCCCCCAAAATTTTGGGGTCCCCCCCCTACCTGACCCCATCCCACCCAAAATTTGGGGTCCCCCCCTACCTGACCCACCTAAAATTTGGGGTCCCTTCATTCCCTCCCCGTCAATTTTAGGGTCCCAAATTTTGGGATCTTTGGGACCCCTCCCCATTTTTAGGGTTTGGCTCCCCCAAAAGTTTGGGGTCCCCCCCCTACCTGACCCCCCTTCCCAAAATTTGGGGTCCCCCCCTACCTGAGCCCCCCCCCAGCTGCCGGGGGGTGACAAACGGGGGTCTCAGCACCTCGAAGCACAGGAACAGCTCGGCCAGGAAAGCCCCCACGTTCAACTGGGGGCACAAAATGGGGGTCAGGGGGGGCTCCCAGTATGGACCAGTATCCCCCAGTGCCTCCCAGTATCCCCCAGTGCCTCCCAGTTTATCCCAGTTTATCCCAATTCCCTCCCTCAGGGCGGCCGCCATCTTGTCCCGTTGCCCTCATGGCCTCTGTTCCCTCACAGTTCACCAAATTTCTCCCAGTTTCCCCCAGTTTATCCCAGTTTATCCCCAGTTTCTAAGATTTTATCCCAGTTTACCCCAGTTTCTCCCCAGTTTCCCCAAGTTTATCCCAGTTTCTCCCAATTCCCTCCCTCAGGGCGGCCGCCATCTTGCTCCATTGCCCTCATTGCCTCCCAATTCTCCAAATTCCTTCCAGTTTGCCCAGTTTATCCCAGTTTCCCCCAGTTTCTAAGATATTATCCCAGTTTGTCCCAGTTTCTCCCCAGTTTATCCCAGTTTCTCCCAATTTTCTACCTCAGGGCAGCCGCCATCTTGTCCAGTTGCCCTCATGGCCTCTGTTCCCTCACAGTTCACCAAATTTCTCCCAGTTTCCCCCAGTTTATCCCAGTTTATCCCCAGTTTCTAAGATTTTATCCCAGTTTACCCCGGTTTCTCCCCAGTTTCCCCAAGTTTATCCCAGTTTCTCCCCAATTCCCTCCCTCAGGGCGGCCGCCATCTTACTCCATTGCCCTCATTGCCTCCCAATTCTCCAAATTCCTTCCAGTTTGCCCAGTTTATCCCAGTTTCCCCCAGTTTCTAAGATATTATCACAGTTTGTCCCAGTTTCCCCCAGTTTCTAAGATATTATCCCAGTTTGTCCCAGTTTCTCCCCAGTTTATCCCAGTTTCTCCCAATTCCCTCCCTCAGGGCAGCCGCCATCTTGCTCCATTGCCCTCATTGCCTCCCAATTCTCCAAATTCCTTCCAGTTTGCCCAGTTTATCCCAGTTTCCCCCAGTTTCTAAGATATTATCCCAGTTTGTCCCAGTTTCTCCCCAGTTTATCCCAGTTTCTCCCAATTTTCTCCCTCAGGGCAGCCGCCATCTTGTCCCGTTGCCCTCATTGCCTCCATTCCCTCCCAGTTCACCAAATTTCTCCCAGTTTCCCCCAGTTTATCCCAGTTTATCCCCAGTTTTTAAGATTTTATCCCAGTTTACCCCAGTTTCTCCCCAGTTTCCCCAAGTTTATCCCAGTTTCTCCCAATTCCCGCCCTCAGGGCGGCCGCCATCTTGCTCCATTGCTCTCATTGCCTCCCAATTATCCAAATTCCTTCCAGTTTGCCCCAGTTTATCCCAGTTTATCCCCAGTTTCTAAGATATTATCCCAGTTTGTCCCAGTTTCTCCCCAGTTTATCCCAGTTTCTTCCAATTCCCTCCCTCAGGGCGGCCGCCATCTTGTCCCATTGCCCTCATGGCCTCTGTTCCCTCACAGTTCACCAAATTTCTCCCAGTTTCCCCCAGTTTATCCCAGTTTATCCCCAGTTTCGAAGATTTTATCCCAGTTTACCCCGGTTTTTCCCCAGTTTCTCCCCAGTTTCTCCCAGTTTCTCCCAATTCCCTCCCTCAGGGCGGCCGCCATCTTGTCCCGTTGCCCTCATGGCCTCTGTTCCCTCACAGTTCACCAAATTTCTCCCAGTTTCCCCCAGTTTATCCCAGTTTATCCCCAGTTTCTAAGATTTTATCCCAGTTTACCCCGGTTTCTCCCCAGTTTCCCCAAGTTTATCCCAGTTTCTCCCCAATTCCCTCCCTCAGGGTGGCCGCCATCTTGTCCCGTTGCCCTCATGGCCTCTGTTCCCTCACAGTTCACCAAATTTCCCCCAGTTTGCCCCAGTTTATCCCAGATTATCCCAGTTTCCCCCAGTTTCTCCCAGTTTAACCCAGTTTATCCCAGTTTATCCCAATTCCCTCCCTCAGGGCGGCCGCCATCTTGTCCCGTTGCCCTCATGGCCTCTGTTCCCTCACAGTTCACCAAATTTCTCCCAGTTTCCCCCAGTTTATCCCAGTTTCCCCCAGTTTCTAAGATTTTATCCCAGTTTACCCCGGTTTCTCCCCAGTTTCCCCAAGTTTATCCCAGTTTCTCCCAATTCCCTCCCTCAGGGCGGCCGCCATCTTGTCCCATTGCCCTCATTGCCTCCATTCCCTCCCAATTCACCAAACTTATCCCAGTTTCTCTCAGTTTCCCCAGTTTCTCCCAGTTTCCCCCAGTTTCTCCCAGTTTACCCCAGTTTCTAAGATTTTATCCCAGTTTGTCCCAGTTTCTTCCCAGTTTAACCCAATTTCTCCCCAATTTCCCCCTCAGGGTGGCTGCCATGTTGTCCCATTGCCCTCATTGCCCTCAGTGCCTCTGTTCCCTCACAGTTCACCAAATTTCTCCCAGTTTCCCCCAGTTTATCCCAGATTATCCCAGTTTCCCCCAGTTTCTCCCAGTTTCCCCCAGTTTCCCCCAGTTTCTAAGATTTTATTCCGGTTTGTCCCAGTTTCTCCCAGTTTCTCCCCAGTTTCCCCCTCAGGGCGGCCGCCATCTTTTCCCATTGCCCTCATTGCCTCCATTCCCTCCCAATTCTCCAAATTTATCCCAGTTTCTCCCAATTTACCCAGTTTCTCCCAGTTTCCCACAGTTTCTCCCCAGTTTCAAAGATTTTATCCCAGTTTACCCCAGTTTGCCCCAGTTTCTCCCCATTTTCTCACAGTTTATCCTGGTTTCCCCCTCAGGACAGGCCACCATGTTCCTCCATTTCCCCCAGTGCTCCCAGTCCCTCCCATTGCTCCCAGCCCCTCCCAGTTCACCCAGTTTAACCAGTTTCTCCAGTTTATCCCGGTTTCTCACAGTTTCCACCACTTTATCCCAGTTTCTCCCCAGCTTAACCCAATTTCTCCCCAGTTTCCCCCTCAGGGTGGCTGCCATGTTGTCCCATTGCCATCATTGCCTCCATTCCCTCCCAGTTCACCAAATTTCTCCCAGTTCGCCCCAGTTCCTCCCAGATTATCCCAGTTTCCCCCAGTTTCTCCCAGTTTAACCCAGTTTCCCCCAGTTTAACCCAGTTTCTCCCAGTTTCTCCCAATTCCCTCCCTCAGGGCAGCCGCCATCTTGTCCCATTGCCCTCATTGCCTCCATTCCCTCCCAATTCTCCAAATTTCTCCCAGTTTCTCCCAGTTTCCCCCAGTTTATCCCAGTTTTCCTCAGTTTATCCCAGTTTCTAAGATTTTATCCCAGTTTATCCCAGCTTCCCCCAGTTTCTCACAGTTCCTCCCCAGTTTAACCCAGTTTATCCCAATTTCTCCCCAGTTTCCCCCTCATGGCAGCCGCCATCTTGTCCCATTGCCCTCACTGCCTCCATTCCCTCCCAGTTCACCTAATTTCTCCCAGTTTCTCCCAGTTTGCCCCAGTTTATCCCCAGTTTCTCCCCAGTTTCCCCCAGTTTCTCCCCATTTTGTCCCAGTTTATCCCAGTTTACCCCAGTTTATCCCAATTTCTCCACAGTTTTCCCCTCATGGCAGCCGCCATCTTGTCCCATTGCCCTCACTGCCTCCATTCCCTCCCAGTTCACCTAATTTCTCCCAGTTCGCCCCAGTTCCTCCCAGATTATCCCAGTTTCTCTCCAGTTTCCCCCAGTTTCTCCCCATTTTGTCCCAGTTTATCCCAGTTTACTCCAATTTCTCCACAGTTTTCCCCTCAGGGCAGCCGCCATCTTGTCCCATTGCCATCATTGCCTCCATTCCCTCCCAGTTCACCAAATTTCTCCCAGTTCGCCCCAGTTCCTCCCAGATTATCCCAGTTTCCCCCATTTTCTCCCAGTTTCCCCCATATTAACCCATTTTCTCCCAGTTTAACCCACTTTCTCACCTTGAGGGCGGGCGCCATGTAGAGCAGGTCCTCCACGGCCAGCGGGCAGCGCGTGCGCAGGTGCCGCGCGCCGAACTCGCGCACCAGCCCCAGGTTGTGCAGCCGGTCCGGCAGCGCCAGCGGCGCCCCGAGACGGATTTCTAGAAAATTCCAGAGGAAAAAAAAAAAAAAAAAGGGGGTTACACCCCAAAAAACCCTCCTGGAAACCCCAAATCCGTGGGGTGGCCCTTTATGGGATTTTCCCGTATCCCCCCATTGGGATACTCCCATGAGGGTCCCAAATTTTCCCCAAAATCCCTCCAAAATCTTTAAAAAATTCCCCCAGAAACCCCCTAAATCCCCCCAAAACTTTTAAACCCCCCTCAAAATACCCCAAAATCTCCCAACCCCCCCAAATCACCCAAAATCCCCCCCAAAACCCCCATCAAAACCCCCCAGAATCCTGCAAAATCCCCCCAAAACCTCCCAAAATCCCCCCAAACACCCCAAAATATCCCAAAATCCCCAAAATCTCCCCAAATCCCACCAAAACCCTTAATGGACCCCCCAGTGTCCCCCCCATTGAGACCCTCCCCATGGAACCCCCCCATCTCAGATTGGTACAGTCCAACCACAGCGCCCCTAGCGGGGGCTCCCCCCGCCCTTTATGGGACCCCCCAGAAAAACCCCAAAATCTTCCAAAAACCCCCAAAATCCCCCCAAAACCTTTCAAAGACCCCCCAATATCCCCCCCATTGAGACCCTCCACTTGGTACCACCCGATTTCCCTATGGAACCCCCCCGCCATGTCCCCCCTCTTCAGATTGGTACAGTCCAACCGCTCCACAGCGCCCCTACGTCAGGCCCCCACCCCCAAAAAAAACCCCAAAAAACCCCAAAATCTTCTAAAATTCCCCCAAAAAATCCATCCTTACCCTCGAGGCGGAGGGATTGGGGGCAGTAGAAGTGGATGGCGGCCGCCAGGACCCCCCCGCTGGCCAAATCTTGCAGTCCCCTCACGGGAGGGAATGGGGGGGGCGCCGGAGCGGCTCCTTTGTCCTTCCGGTACCGAATCTTGGCGGGAAAAATCGTGAGGGGGGAGTTAACGAGATCCCCAAAATCCCAAAAACTCCTCAAAACCCCTCAAAGTGGAAGGGTTCCCCCAAAAAATAAAAAAAAGGAGATTTCAAAATCCCCAAAACCGCCTTAAAAGTGGAAGGATCCCCCCTAAAATAGCCCCAAATTCACCTCCCGTAGAAAAGGACCCCCCCCCACAAACATGGAAATGGTGCGGTCCGCAAAGCAGCCTCAGGTTGGGGACCCCAAAATTGCCCAAAATCACCCCAAAAATAACAAAGGGGGAAGGTTCAAATTGGGGGAAACACCCCAAAATTATAAACGGGGGGTCCCCAAAATCCTCCCAGTTCGGGGAAAGGTTGGGGACCCCCTAAAAGTATAAAAAGGGGGTCCCCAAACCCTCCCAAAATGGGGGGGAACCCTTAAAAAAAGGTCAATGTGACCCCAAAATCCCCCCCCGGGACCCCAAAATCTCCCAAAATCCCCCAAATTCCTCCCACCCCCCCCCCCAAACAGGTGCATGCACAGGAGGGGACCCCAAATTTTTTTTGGGGGGGCAGAATTTTTGTGGAGTCCCACACTAAAAACCCCCTAAAGAAACCCTAAAAATGCCCTAAAATTGGGTTTTGGGGTGGGATTTTTTTGGGGGGGGGTCCAGGATTTTGGGGAGGGGTCTGGGGGTACCTGAGGAGGGGAAAAGGGGGTGCCCCCACCCCAAATTTTGGAGGTTTTTTTGGGGGGGTCCTTACCACCGGAGGTTTATTCCCCGATTCTTTCAAACAGAAGGCGATGGCGTGCTGCGGGAAAAACAGAGTCAGGGGGTCCCCAAAACCTCCCCCGGGAGCCAAAAAATGAAAAGGGGACCCCCAAAAATGGAAAGAGCGCCCCAAAAAATGGGGGGGTAGGGAAAATTTGGGGAAAATCGGTGGGAAAATGGGGGAAAAATGAGGAAAATTGGGGAAAAATGAGGGAAAAATTGAGGGAGAAATGGGGAAAAAAAAAGAGGGAAAATGGATTTAAAGAGGGAAAAGAAGGAAAAAAGACCCCAAAAAATGGAAAGAGCGAAATGGGGACCCCCAAAAATGGAAAGAGCGCCCCAAAAAATGGGGGGGTAGGGAAAATTTGGGGAAAATCGGTGGGAAAATGGGGGAAAAATGAGGAAAATTGGGGAAAAATGAGGGAAAAATTGAGGGAGAAATGGGGAAAAAAAAAGAGGGAAAATGGATTTAAAGAGGGAAAAGAAGGAAAAAAGACCCAAAAAATGGAAAGAGCGGTCAAAAAAATGGGGGGGTAGGGAAAATGTGGGAAAAATTAGTGGGAAAATGAGGGGAAAATAAGGAAAATTGGGAAAAAAGGCTGAAAATTGAAAAAATGAGGATAAAAGGAGGGGGAAAAGGTTCTAAAGAGAGAAGAAAGGAAAAAAATCTGAAAATTGGAGGGGGGAACCTAAAATTTGGGAGAAGGAAAATTTTAGGAAAAAATTGGGAAAAATTGGGATAAAAATTTGGGAAAAAAGGGAAAAATTGGGGGAAAAAAGGGGGGGGGGAAATGGAAAAAATTGAGGATAAAAGGAGGGAAAAAAGAGGTTTAAAGAGAGAAAAAAGGAAAAAAATATCCAAAAAATTGGAGAGGAGGTGTCTAAAAATCGGGAGAAGGGAAAATTTGGAAAAAATTTGGAAAAAATTGGGAAAAATTGGGGGAAAAATCGGGAAAAAATGGAAAGAAATGGGGGGAATATGCAACAAACAAAGGAAAAAAAGGGGGGAAAAAAAGGATTTTAAAGGGGGAAAAGGAAAAAAACCCGAAAAATGAGGATGGGAACCCAAAAATTAAAAAAAAAATTGAAATTTGTGGAGGAGAGTGAAAAAAATACCAAAAAAATGCAACAAAATCCTAAAAAAAAGCCCCAAAATAAGAGGGGGGTGGTGGTGTACAAGCCCCGCCCCCTCATTTGCATGCAACACACTTAATTTGCATGCCACGCCCTCTCATTTGCATGCCCCGCCCCTCCCCAGGGTTGGACGCAAGACACGGAAAAGGGGGGGGGGGGACTGGGGGGGGCCAAAAACCCCAAAATTTTGAGGAATTTTTGGCATTTTTTTGCAATTTTTCAAATTTTTTTTAAATTAAAAATTTTTAATTAAATTTTAATTAAATTTTTTTTCCCAAATTTTAAAATTATTTCACCATTTTTTTCAATTATTTTGGGATTTTTTTCAACGGTTATGAAATTTTTCGTGGAATATTCTGATTTTTTTTTTTTACTTTTTCCCCACATTTTTTTGGGATTTTTTAATCCCAAAATTTTTTCTAATATTTTTGCTTTTTTAATTTTTAAATTTTTTTGAAATTTTGAGTCATTTCCTCGAATTTTTTATAATTTAATTTTTTTTTCCAATTTTTTGAACGTTTTCAGTATATTTTCCATATTTTTCCAATTCTATCTTATTTTCTTCCACTTTTTCTCAATTTTAGAAATTTTAAATTTTTTCCAACTTCTTCCAATTATTTTTGGATTTCTTTACATTTTTGGAATTTTTTTTTTTTTAATTTTCTAACAACTTCCCAATTTTTTTATTTTTTTGCCAATTTTTTTTTTAAATTTTTAATTTTCTGGAATTTTTCAGGATTAAAAAAAAAAGTCTAAAAATTTCATTTCAATTTTTGGATTTTTTTATAGAAATTCTTCCAAATTCTGAATTTTTTTTCAATTTTTAGAATTATTTTGAACTTTACCAGATTTTTCTCCAATTTTCAGGTTTTTTTTTTTTAGTTTCCAAATTTTTTTAATTTTTTGCTATTTTTTCCACTTTTTAATTTATTTTTTACAATAATTCTTTCCAATTCTGCAATTTCTAAACTTTTTAAAAATTTTTTGTCGTTTTTTTTACTTTTTCTTGATTATTTTACATTTTTTTCAATTTTTAAATTTTTTTTAATTTTTTTGAATTTTTTTTGGAATTTTTTAAAATTTTTTGTATTTTTTAAAAAATTTGTCGATTTTTTTACTTTTTCTTGATTATTTTACATATTTTTTAATTTTTACATATTTTTTAATTTTTTGAATTTTTTTTTGATTTTTTAAAATTTTTTGAATTTTTTAAAATTTTTGTGGATTTTTTGCTTTTTCTTGATTATTTTACATCTTTTTTAATTTAAAAAATTTTTTTAATTTTTTGATTTTTTAAAAATTTTTGTCGATTTTTTTACTTTTTCTTGATTATTTTCCATTTTTTTAATTTTTAAAATTTTTTTTTGATTTTTTTTTAATTTTTTTGAATTATTTTGAATTTTTTTTTAAATTTTTTGTCGATTTTTTTACTTTTTCTTGATTATTTTACATTTTTTTGAATTTTTAAATTTTTTTGAATTTTTTTGAATTTTTTTTGAATTTTTTTTGCTTTTTAAATTTTTTTTAAAATTTTTGTGGATCTTTTTTACATTTCCTTGATTATTTTACAATTTTTTCAATTTTTAAATTTTTTTGAATTTTTTTGAATTTTTTGGAATTTTTTGAATTTTTAAAAATTTTGTCGATTTTTTTACTTTTCCTTGATTATTTTACATTTTTTCAATTTTTAAATTTTTTTAAATTTTTTTGAATTTTTTTGAATTTTTTAAATTTTTTCATTTTTTTCCTTTTTTCCAATTTTTTCCCATTTATTTCAATTTTTTCCATTTTTCCCCCCTCAGCACCCCCAAATCCGAGCAGGAATTTCCCGTTACTCCCAAATTTTCGGGGATTTTTCAACCCCCCAAAACTTTGGGCCGGGCTGGAGCAGGCGGGGGAAGGAATTGGGGAAATTTGGGGGATTTTTGGGGTGAAAAAAGAGGATTTTGGGCCAAACTTACGGGCACCAACTTCCAGTACCAGCGGGTGGGACACTGAGGAGAGACGGGGGGTCAGGGGACCCCAAAATCCGGGGGGACCCCAAAAGCCGCGACAGAGGGAAAAGGAAATCGGGATTTTGGGGGGAAAAAATTGGGATTTTGGGCAAATTTTTTGGTGATTTTTTAGTGATTTTTTGTGATTTTTTGGTGATTTTTTGGTGATTTTTTGGTGATTTTTTCTTGATTTTTTGGGGATTTTTTGGGATTTTTTGGTGATTTTTTTGTGATTTTTTTGTGATTTTTTGGTGATTTTTTGGTGATTTTTTTGGTGATTTTTTTTGGGATTTTTTGGGGATTTTTTTGTGATTTTTTTTCAGGTTTGTTGAGAATTTTTTTTGGAGTTTTTTGTGGTTTTTTTTAGGATTTTTTCACATTTTTAAGGAACATTTGTCCGATTTTTTGTGATTTTTTTGGGGATGTCTTTGGGATTTTGGTGATTTTTTTGTGGGTTTTTTTCAGGTTTGTTGAGAAATTTTTTTGAGGTATTTTGGGATTTTTTTTTTAGGATTTTCGGGCATTTTTAAGGAATGTTTGTCCGATTTTTTGTGATTTTTTTAGGGATGTTTTCGAGATTTTTGTGATTTTTTTAGGATTTTTTTAGGATTTTTTGGGCATTTTTTGTGAATTTTTTTAGTGATTTTTTTGTGATTTTTTTCCAGGTTTGTTGAGAATTTTTTTTGGAGTTTTTTGTGGTTTTTTAAAGGCTTTTCGGGCATTTTTAAGGAATATTTGTCCAATTTTTTTGTGATTTTTTTGGGGATGTTTTTGAGATTTTTGTGATTTTTTTTGTGTGATTTTTTTAGGATTTTTTGGGCATTTTTTGGGCATTTTTTGGGGACTTTTTTGTGATTTTTTTGTGATTTTTTGGTGATTTTTTTTGTGATTTTTTTGTGGTTTTTTTCAGGTTTGTTGAGAATTTTTTTGAGATATTTTGGGATTTTTTTTAGGATTTTCGGGCATTTTTAAGGAATATTTCTCCAATTTTTTAGTGGTTTTTTGTGATTTTTTTGGGATTTTTGGTGATTTTTTTGTGTTTTTTTTTCAGGTTTGTTGAGAATTTTTTTGGGTTTTTTTTGTGCTTTTTAAAGGATTTTTTGGCTTTTTTAAGGAATATTTCCCCAATTTTTTGTGATTTTTATGGGGATGTTTTTGAGATTTTTGTGATTTTTTTTTGTGATTTTTTTTTGTGATTTTTTTAGGATTTTTGGGGATTTTTTTTTTAATTTTTCGTGGATTTTTTTCAGTTTTCTCTGATTTTTCATGCATTTTTTGTGTTATTTTTTTAGGATTTTTTTGCGGATTTTTTTAGGGTTTTTTGTGGATTTTTTTAGGTTTTTTTGTGCAATTTTAAGGATTTTTTCGGGGAAGTTCTGGTAATTTTTTGGCAATTTTTGTTGATTTTTTAGGATTTTTTGTGGACTTTTTGTGGATTTTTTTTAAGGTTTTTTTGTGGAATTTTAAGGATTTTTTCGGGGAAGTTCTGGTAATTTTTTGGCAATTTTTGTTGATTTTTTAGGATTTTTTGTGGATTTTTAGTGGATTTTTAGTGGATTTTTTAAGGATTTTTGGTGGAATTTTAAAGATTTTTTTCGGGGAAGTTTCGGTAATTGTTTGGCAATTTTTGTGGATTTTTTTGGTGATTTTTCATGCATTTTTAAGGATTTTTTCAGTGGATTTTTGGGGGATTTTTTGTGGATTTATTGGAATTTTACAGAGAATTTTTTTGGGAATTTTGTGGATTCTTTTGTGATTTTTTGTGGGATTTTTGGACTATTTTTCGAATTTTGCACGGATTATTATAATTTTTTGGAAAATTTTTTGGGTTTTTTTGTGGACTTTTTAGGATTTTTCATTGATTTTTTGGGGGGATTTTTTGTGGGTTTTTTAAAGAGTTTTTGTGGATATTTTTAGGATTTTTTGGTGGATTTTGGGGGATTTTTTGGAGAATTTTTGGGATTTTTGGGGGATATTTTTGGAGAATTTAATGGATTTTTGAGGAATTTTTGGTGTTTTTCTGGGGATTTCTTTGGGATTTGTTTGGGATTTTTTTTTCTAATTTTTTTTTTGTGGATTTTTTTGGGATTTTAATGGATTTTTTGGGATTTTTTTGTGGATTTTTTTAGGGATTTTTATGGATTTTTGGAGATATTTTTGTGATTTTTTTGTGGATTTTTTTGTGATTTTTTTTTAGGCATTTTTTAGGATATTTTTGTGGATATTTTGGGATTTTTCCTGGAATTGTTAATTTTTTGTGGATTTTTTTTTGATTTTTTTTAGGGATGTTTTGGGATATTTTTGTGGATTTTTTGGGATATTTTTGTGGATATTTTGGGATTTTTTCTGGATTTTTTTTGGTGAATTTTTTGTTGTTTTGTTGGGGTTTATTTTTGTTTTTTTTTTGTTTTTTTACAATTTTTAAAACATTTTTAGGGTTTTTTTGGGATATTTTTGTGGATATTTTGGGATTTTTCCTGGAATTTTTAATTTTTTGTGGATTTTTGTGGATTTTTTTTAGGGATTTTTTGGGATATTTTTGTGGATATTTTGGGATTTTTCCTGGAATCTTAATTTTTTGTGGATTTTTTTGTGATTTTTTTAGGGATGTTTTGGGATATTGTTGTTGATTTTTTAGGATATTTTTGTGGATATTTTGGGATTTTTCGTGGAATTTTTAATTTTTTGTGGATTTTTTTGTGATTTTTTTTAGGGATGTATTGGGATATTTTTGTGGAATTTTTGGGATATTTTTGTGGATATTTTGGGATTTTTCCTGGAATTTTTAATTTTTTGTGGATTTTTTTTTATTTTTTTTTTATTTTTTGCCATTTTAAAGCCATTTTCAGGAATTTTTGGGTGCATTTTTTGTGATTTTTTTAACCCTTTCCTTACCTTGTTCCCTCCCGCCGTCGCCGTTTCACCACCGACCGAATTTTGGGGGTTCCCCAAATTTTGGGGTGTCCCCCCCGTGTCCTGTTCGGTGCTTTCCTGCAGCTTCCGATTCACCTAAAAAAACCCAAAAAAACCACCAAAAATTAACTTTTTTTTCCTTTTTTCACCCCAAAAAACCCCAAAAAAAGTCAAAACTCACCGTTTCCAACCAGGCCAAAATTTTGGGTTCCCAATTTTGGGGTCCCGGGGGGGCTCCGGGGGGGGACCCCAAATTTCGGGTGGCCTCGGTGACGAAGGCGGTCATGAGGGAATCGATCAGCGCCAGGTGGGCGCCCTGGGGGGGTTTTGGGGTGAAAATTGGGGATTTTGGGCAAATTTGGGGGAATATTTGGGGTTTAGGGGAAAATTTTGGGGGGAATTTGGGAAAAATTTGGGGTTTAGATGGGAAATTTTGGGGGGAGTTTGGGGAAAAATTGGGGTTTTGGGGCAAAATTTGGGGGAAATTTTGGGGTTTAGGGGAAAATTTTGGGGGGAATTTGGGAAAATTTTGGGGGGAATTTGGGGAAAATTTGGGGTTTAAGGTGGAAATTTTGGGGGGAGTTTGAAGAAAATTTGGGGGTTTTGGGGTGAAATTTGGGGATTTTGGGCAAATTTGGGAAAAAATTTGGGGTTTAGGGGGAAATTTTGGGGGGAGTTTGGGAAAAATTTGGGGTTTAGGGGGGAAATTTGGGGGAAATTTGGGGTTTAGAGGGGAAAATTTGGGGTTTGGAGGCAAAATTTGGGGAAAATTTGGGTTTTAGTGGGGAAATTTGGAAAAATTTGGGGAAAATTTGGGAATTTGAAGGGAAATGTAGAGCGAAAATTTGGGGTTTTGGGGAAAATTTGGGGGTTTGGGGGGAAACTTTCGGGGGGAATTTGGGAAAAATTTGGGGTTTAGGGGGGAAATTTTGGGGGGAGTTTGGGGAAAATTTGGGGTTTAAGGTGGAAATTTTGGGGGGAGTTTGGGAAAAATGGTGTTTTGGGGCAAAATTTGGGGATAATTTGGGTTTGAGTGGGGAAAATTTGGGGGTTTGGGGAAAAAGGGGGAAAATTTTGGGGGGAATTTGGGAAAAATTTGGGGTTTAAGGTGGAAATTTTGGGGGGAGTTTGTGGAAAATTTGGGGGGTTTGGGGCAAAATTTGGGGATTTTGGGCAAATTTGGGGAAAATTTGGGGTTTAAGGTGGAAATTTTGGGGGGAATTTGGGAAAAATTTGGGGTTTGGGGCGAAATTTGGGGATAATTTGGGTTTTAGTGGGGAAAATTTGGGGTTTTGGGGCAAAATTTGGAAAAATTCGTGGAAATTTGGGTTTAAGAGGGAAAATTTGGGTTTAAGAGGGAAATTTTGGGAATTTCGGGGAAAATGTAGGGGAAAATTTGGGGGTTTGGGGAAAATTTGGGAAAAATTTGGGTTTTAGTGAAGAAAATTTGGGTTTTAGTGAGGAAAATTTGGGGTTTTGGGGCAAAATTTGGGGTTTTGGGGCAAAATTTGGAAAAATTTGTGGAAATTTGGGTTTAAGAAGGATAATTTGGGAATTTGTGGGGGAAATTTAGGGGAAAATTTAGGGTTTTGAGGCAAAATTTGGGTTTTAGTGAGGAAAATTTGGGGTTTCAGTGAGGAAAATTTGGGGTTTTGGTGCAAAATTTGGGTTTTGGGGGTCTTGAAAGGGAAATTTGGGGTTTGGGGGGAAATTTGGGGTTTGGGGAGGGAAAACTTGAGGTTTGGGGAGAAAATTTGGTAAAAATTTGGGGGTTTGGGGTCCTGGAGTGGGGAAATTTGGGGGTCCAGGAGAGTTTTGGGGGACCTGAGGCATTTTGGGGGGGGATTTTGGGGGGATTTGGGGTGAATTTGGGGGATTTAGGGGAGATTTTGGGAGGGTTTGGGGGATTTGGGGAATCCCAGGGATTTTGGGGGGATTTGGGGGAATTTTGGGAGATTTTGGGGAGATTTTGGGGGGATTTTAGGAGGAATTTTGGGAGATTTTGGGGGGATTTGGGGAGATTTTAGGGGGGATTTTGGGAGATTTTAGGGGGATTTTGGGAGATTTTAGGGCGGATTTGGGGTTTTTTGGGGGGGATTTTGGGAGGATTTGGAGAATTTGGGGAATCCCAAGGAATTTTGGGGGAATTTGGGGGGGATTTGGGGGGATTTTGGGGGGAATTTGGGGGATTTTGGGGGGTCCCGGGGCCTCCCCCGCCCTTCCGGGACCCTCTGAGTGGGCGTGGCCAACGAGGAGTGGGCGTGGCCAACCAGGAGTGGGCGTGGCCAACCAGGAGGGGCGTGTCCAATCAAGAGTGGGCGTGGCCAACTAGAGGGGGCGTGGTTACTGAAAAGGGGGCGTGGCCACAGGGCGGGGAGGGTTAATGGGATTGGCCTGAGCCAATTAACGGCCAATTAAAGCGGCTGAGAATTAATGAGATTAATGAGGGGGGGGGCTCAAGCGGCTCCCAGTAAATCCCAGTAACCTCCCAGTGCTCCCAGTATCCTCCCAGTGCTCCCAGTATCCTCCCAGTCCCTCCAGTTCCCTCCCAGTCCCTCCCAGTCCCCCCCAGTTCCCTCCCAGTAACCCCCAAACGCCTCCCAGTGCTCCCAGTATCCCTCTAACCCCCTCCCAGTTCCCTCCCAGTCCATCCCAGTCCCTCCCAGTTCCCTCCCAGTATAAACCAGTTCCCTCCCAGTCCATCCCAGTCCCTCCCAGTCCATCCCAGTCCCTCCCAGTCCCCCCCAGTCCCCTCCCAGTCCATCCCAGTGTTCCCAGTATCCCTCTAACTCCCTCCCAGTGCCCCCCAGTCCCTTCCCAGTTACCCCCAGTCCATCCCAGTCCCTCCCAGTCCCTCCCAACCCCTCCCAGTCCATCCCAGTCCATCCCAGTCCCTCCCAGTCCCCTCCCAGTCCATCCCAGTGCTCCCAGTATCCCCCTAACTCCCTCCCAGTGCCCCCCAATCCCTTCCCAGTCCATCCCAGTATAAACCAGTTCCCTCCCAGTCCCCCCCAACCCCCTCCCAGTCCCTCCCAGTTTGCCCAGTTTGCCCAGTTCCCCCAGTACCATGCTGATGGGTCTCTGCTGCAGCTCCTCAGCCCTGACCGGGACCCCCTGAAGTGTCGGGGGGATCCCCCTCCCCTCCAGCGCCTCCAGCAGCGCCCCCAAATCCCGGGGAGGGGGCGTGGCCTGAGGGGGCGTGGCCTGAATGGGCGTGGCCTGAGGGGGCGTGGCCTGGAGGGGCGTGGCCAGGGCGTGGCGCCACGCCCTGCAGTAGATGTCGGCGGCCAGCAGGAGGCGCTCCACCGGCGGCTTCAGGTGCTCCTGGGAGTACTGGTCCGTGTAAAAGGGGTCCCGCAGCTCCTCGGGGACGTTGGCTGGGGGGAAAAATGGGGGTTTGGGGTGAAAAATGGGGAAAAAATGGGGAAAATGGGGATTTTGGGGGGGAAAATAGGGATTTGGGGGAAAAAGACGGGGAAAGAAGGGGTTAAAAATGGGAAAGAAAGGGTTAAAATGGGTTAAAATGGGAAAGAAAGAGTTAAAAATGGGTTAAAGTTGGGAAAAAGTAAATGGGAAAGAATAGGAAAGGAACGGGTGAAAATGGGTCAAAAATGGGAAATAAAGGGTTAAAAACCGGAAATAAAGGGTTAAAAACAAGGAAATAAAGGGTTAAAAATGGTAAAGAAAGGGTTAAAATGGGAAAGAAAGGGTTAAAATGGGTTAAAAATGGGAGAGAAAGGGTTAAAATGGGAAATAAATGATTAAAATGGGAAAGAAAGGGTTAAAAATGGGAAATAAAGGGTTAAAAAGGGAATTAAGGGTTAAAATGGGTTAAAGATGGGGAAAAGAGTAAAAAGTGGAAATTTTGGTTAAAAATGGAAAAAGTGGGGAAAAGAAAGGGTTAAAATGGAAATAAAGGGTTAAAATGGGAAAGAAAGGGTTAAGGAGGGGTCCGTGTAAAAGGGGTCCCGCAGCTCCTCGGGGACGTTGGCTGCGGGAGAAATGGGGGTTTGGGGTGAAAAATGGGGAATTTGGGGAAAAATGGGGGGTTTGGGGGGGGGGAATGGGAAAGAAGGGGTTAAAATGGGAAATAAAGGGTTAATATGGGAAAGAAATGGGAAAGGAAGAGTTAAAATGAGAAATAAATGGTTAAAAATGGGAAATAAGGGGTTAAAACTGGAAATAAAGGATTAAAATGGGGAATAAAAAGTTAAAAATGGATTAAAGTTGGGAAAAAGTAAATGGGAAAGAAATGGGAAAGAACGGGTTAAAACGGGTAAAAAATGGGTGAAAATGGGAAAGAAAGAGTTAAAAACAAGGCAATAAAGGGTTAAAATGGGAAATAAAGGGTTAAAATGGGAAAGAAATGGTTAAATGGGAAAGAAAGGGTTAAAATTGGGTTAAAGTTGGGGAAAAGAGTAAAAAGTGGAAATTTGGGTTAAACAATGGAAAATAAAGGGTTAAAATGGGTTAAAAATGGGTTAAAAATGTCCAGGGCACCCATGGGACCCTCACCTGTCCATGGCACCCATGGGACCCAAAAATACCCAAAATTCACCTGAGGGGTCCCAAAATACTCGAAATTCACCTTTGGGGTCCCCAAATTCACCTGAGGGGTCCCAAAATAACCCAAAATTCACCTGAGGGGTCCCAAAATTCACATGGGGGTCCCAAAAAACCCCAAAATTCACCTGAGGGGTCCCAAAATACTCAAAATTCACCTGAGGGGTCCCAAAAATACCCAAAATTCACCTGGGGGGTCCCAAAAATACCCAAAATTCACATGGGGGGGTCCCAAAAATGCCCAAAATTCACCTGAGGGGTCCCAAAAATACCCAAAATTCACCTGAGGGGTCCCAAAATTCACATGGGGGGTCCCAAAAAACCCCAAAATTCACCTGAGGGGGCCCAAAATACCCAAAATTCACCTGACGGGTCCGAAAAATACCCAAAATTCACCTGAGGGGTCCCAAAAATACCCAAAATTCACATGGGGGGTCCCAAAAATACCCAAAATTCAGCTGGGGGGTCCCAAAAATACCCAAAATTCACCTGAGGGGTCCCAAAAATACCCAAAATTCACCTGAGGGGTCCCAAAAAACCCAAAATTCACCTGGGGGGGGTCCCCAAAAACACCTGAGGGGTCCCCAAAAATACCCAAAATTCACATGGGGGGTCCCAAAAATACCCAAAATTCAGCTGGGGGGTCCCAAAAATACCCAAAATTCACCTGAGGGGCCCCAAAAATGCCCAAAATTCACCTGAGGGGCCCCAAAAATGCCCAAAATTCACCTGAGGGGCCCCAAAAATACCCAAAATTCACCTGAGGGGTCCCAAAATTCACCTGAGGGGTCCCAAAAATACCCAAAATTCACCTGAGGGGCCCCAAAAATACCCAAAATTCACCTGAGGGGGCCCCAAAAACACCTGAGGGGTCCCCAAAAAACCCCAAAATTCACTTGAGGGGTCCCAAAAATACCCAAAATTCACCTGAGGGGGCCCCAAAAATACCCAAAATTCACCTGAGGGGTCCCAAAAATACCCAAAATTCACCTGAGGGGCCCCAAAAATACCCAAAATTCACCTGGGGAGTCCCAAAAATGCCCAAAATTCACCTGGGGGGTCCCAAAAATGCCCAAAATTCACCTGGGGGGTCCCAAAAAACCCCAAAATTCACATGGGGGGGTCCCAAAAATACCCAAAATTCACCTGGGGGGTCCCAAAATTCACCTGAGGGGCCCCAAAATTCACCTGAGGGGGCCCAAAAATGCCCAAAATTTACATGGGGGGTCTCAAAATAACCCAAAATTCACCTGGGGGGGTCCCAAAAAACCCCAAAATTCAAATGGGGGGTCCCAAAATTCACATGGGGGGTCCCAAAAACACCCAAAATTCACCTGAGGGGTCCCAAAATTCACCTGGGGGGTCCCAAAATTCACATGGGGGTCCCCAAAAAATACCCAAAATTCACCTGGGGGCTCCCAAAAATACCCCAAAATTCACCTGGGGGGGGTCCCAAAAATACCCAAAATTCACCTGGGGGGTCCCAAAAATGCCCAAAATTCCCATGGGGGGTGGGCGACCCCTCCCCCCCCCCAGCGCCGCAGGGGGCGGGGCCTAACGAGGGGGGTCCCCGCCCTGTGACGTCACGGCGTGACGTCACGGCCCCCCCCCAAACTGCAACAAAAGCGCCCGAGGGGGGGGAGGGGGGGAAATCCCGGGATTGGGGAACCCCCCCACGGTACCGGGACCCCCCATTCGGTACCGGGACCCCCCCCACGGTACCGTGGCACCCATGGGACCACCGGGACCCCCCCACGGTACCGGGACCTCTCCCCAGTACCGGGACCCCCCCACGGTACCGGAACCCCCCCACGGTACCGGAACCCCCCCACGGTACCGGGGCACCCATGGGACCACCGGGACCCCTCCGGTACCACCGGGACCACTCCCCACTACCGGGACCCCTCCCCAGTACCGGGACCCCTCCGGTACTACCGGGACCACTCCCCACTACCGGGACCCCCATTCGGTACCACCGGGACCCCTCCCCAGTACCGGACTCGGCACCAGCTCCCCTCATTCGGTACCGGGACCCCTCCCCAGTACCGGGACCCCGCATTCGGTACTACCGGGACCCCTCCCCAATACCGAGCTCGGCACCAGACCCCTCATTCGGTACCACCGGGACCCCTCCGGTACCACCGGGACCCCTCCGGTACCACCGGGACCCCTCCCCAGAACCGGGACCCCTCCGGTATCACCGGGACCCCTCCCCAGCACCGGACTCTGCACCAGACCCTGCATTCGGTACCGGGACCCCTCCGGTACCACCGGGACCACTCCGGTACCACCGGGACCCCTCCCCAGTGCCGGGACCCCTCCCCAGTACCGGACTCGGCACCAGCTCCCCTCATTCGGTACCGGGACCCCTCCGGTACCACCGGGACCCCTCCGGTACCACCGGGACCCCTCCCCAATACCGGACTCTGCACCAGACCTCTGCATTCGGTACCGGGACCCCTCCGGTACCACCGGGACCCCTCCGGTACCACCAGGACCACTCCCCAGTACCGGGACCCCTCCCCAATACCGAACTCTGCACCAGACCCCTCATTCGGTACCGGGACCCCTCCCCAGCACCGGAACCCCCCATTCGGTACCACCGGGACCCCTCCCCAGTACCGGGACCCCCCATTCGGAACCGGAACCCCCCATTCGGTACTACCGGGACCCCTCCCCAATACCGGGACCCCTCCCCAGTACCGGACTCTGCACCAGACCCTGCATTCGGTACCGGGACCCCTCCGGTATCACCGGGACCCCTCCGGTATCACCGGGACCCCTCCGGTACCACCGGGACCACTCCCCAGTACCGGGACCCCTCCCCAGTACCGAGCTCGGCACCAGACCCTGCATTAGGTACCGAGACCCCTCCGGTACCACCGGGACCCCTCCGGTACCACCGGGACCCCTCCGGTACTACCGGGACCCCTCCCCAGTACCGGGGCCCCTCCCCAGTACCGGACTGGGCATCAGACCCCTCATTCGGTACCGGGACCCCTCCCCAGTACCGGGACCCCTCCGGTACCACCGGGACCCCTCCGGTCCCACCGAACCCCCCCATTCGGTACCGGGACCCCTCCGGTACCACCGGGACCCCCCCGGTATCACCGGGACCCCTCCCCAGTACCGAACTCTGCACCAGACCCCTCATTCGGTACCGGGACCCCTCCGGTACCACCGGGACCACTCCCCAATACCGGGACCCCTCCCCAGTACCGGGACCCCCCCATTCGGAACCGGAACCCCCTCCGGTACCACCGGGACCCCTCCCCAGTACCGGACTCTGCACCAGGTCCCCTCATTCAGTACCGGGACCCCTCCGGTACCACCAGGACCACTCCCCAGCACCGGAATCCCCCATTCGGTACCACCGGGACCCCTCCGGTACCACCGAGACCCCTCCGGTCCCACCGAACCCCCTCCTCCCTCCCTCTCCCCGCCCCTCCCCGTGCAGAACCCCCCTCCCGTTCCCCCCCCGTTCCCCTCCCCGCCACCCCCGTCCCCTCCCGCCACCCCCGTTCCCTCCCGCTCCTACCGGCGCCGCCGTAGCCGGTGGCGATGGCCCAGGCCAGGCTGGCGGCGCTGCGGGCCCGGGCCCCGTCGTACTGATCGAGCGGGCGGATCTCGGGCACCAGGAACCCGCGGCGCATGGCGGCGGCGGCGGCGGGAGGAGCCGCCACCATCCCGGGGCCGCCGCCGGCGGAGCCACCGGGGCCACCGCGGCCACCGGGGCCGGGGCCGGGTGGGCTCGGGTGGGTTCGGAGCGGCTTCGGAGCGGCCTCGGGTGGGCTCGGAGAGGGTTCGGAGAGGATTCGGGTGGGTTCGGAGCGGCTTCGGGTGGGCTCCGGGTGGGCTCCGAGCGGCTCCGGGTGGGTTCGGAGAAGGTTCGGGTGGGCTCGGAGCGGCTCCGGGTGGGCTCGGAGAGGCTCCGGGTGGGCTCGGAGAGGATTCGGAGAGGATTCGGGTGGGTTCGGAGGCTTCGGGTGGTCTCGGCTCCTCTTCGGGTGGGTTCGGCCGCCTCAGAGAAGCTTCGGGTGGGCTCGGAGCGCCACCGGGGCCACCGGGGCCGGGGCCGGGTGGGCTCGGAAACTTTCGGGTGGGCTCGGGTGGGCTCGGAGAGGATTCGGGTGGGCTCCGAAGGGCTTCGGGTGGGCTCGGAAGGATCCGGGTGGGCTCCGAAGGGCTTCGGGTGGGCTCCGAGCGGCTTCGGAGAGGATTCGGGTGGGCTCGGAGAGGCTCCGGGTGGGTTCGGAGGCTTCGGGTGGTCTCGGCTCCTCTTCGGGTGGGTTCGGCCCCCTCAGAGAAGCTTCGGGTGGGCTTCGAGAGGCTCCGGGTGGGCTCCGAAGGGCTCCGGGTGGGCTCGGAGAGGATTCGGGTGGGCTCGGAGAGGATTCGGGTGGGCTCGGAGCGGCTCCGGGTGGGCTCGGAGAGGGTTCGGAGCGGCCTCGGGTGGGTTCGGAGGCTTCGGGTGGTCTCGGCTCCTCTTCGGGTGGGCTCGGAGAGGCCTCGGGTGGGTTCGGAGCGGCCTCGGGTGGGTTCGGTCGCCTCAGAGAAGCTCCGGGTGGGTTCGGAGCGCCTTCGGGTGGGCTCGGAGAGGCTTCGGGTGGGCTCGGAGAAGGTTCGGGTGGGCTCCGAGCGGCTCCGGGTGGGCTCCGCAGGGCTCCGGGTGGGCTCCGAGCGGCTTCGGGTGGGCTCGGGTGGGCTCGGAGAGGCTCCGGGTGGGTTCGGAGCGGCTCCGGGTGGGCTCGGAGAGGGTTCGGAGCGGCTTCGGAGAGGGTTCGTGTGGGTTCGGCCGCCTCAGAGAAGCTCCGGGTGGGTTCAGAGAGGATTCGGGTGGGCTCGGAGAGGATTCGGGTGGGCTCGGAGCGGCTTCGGGTGGTCTCGGCTCCTCTTCGGGTGGGTTCGGCCGCCTGGAGGAGGATTCGTGTGGGTTCGGCCGCTTCGTGTGGGTTCGGGTGGGCTCGGAGCGGCCTCGGGTGGGTTCGGAGGCTTCGGGTGGTCTCGGCTCCTCTTCGGGTGGGTTCGGCCGCCTCAGAAAAGCTTCGGGTGGGTTCGGCCCCCTCAGAAAAGGCTCGGATGGGTTCGGAAAAGCTCCGGGTGGGTTCGGCCCCCTCAGAAAAGCTTCGGGTGGGTTCGGCCGCCTCAGAAAATCTTCGGGTGGCTCCGGAAAGGTTTCGTGAGGGGTTCGGGTGGGTTCGGCCGCTCCGGGTGGGTTCGGTCTCCTCAGAAAAGCCTCGAGTGGGTTCGGTCGCCTCAGAGAAGCTCCGGGTGGGTTCGGAAAAGCTTCGGGTGGTCTCGGCTCCTCTTCGGGTGGGTTCGGCCGCCTCAGGGAAGCTTCGTGTGGGTTCGGCCTCCTCAGAGGTTTCGTGAGGGGTTCGGGTGGCTCCGAAGGGTTTCGTGAGGGGTTCGGGTGGGTTCGGCCGGTTCCGGGCGGTTCCGTGAGGGGTTCGGGCGGTTCCGTGAGGGGTTCGGGTGGTTCCGTGAGGGGTTCGGGCGGTTCCGGCCGGTTCCGGGCGGTTCCGGGCGCGGCGCGCGCCGCTCCAGGTGCGGGGAGGGGGAAAAGGGGGCGGGGCGCACCTGCGGTCACGTGATGTGGGAGAGGGACACGCCCCCTCCTGCGGCGCGCGGGAAAAGGGGCGGGGCCGGGAATGCCGGGAATGGACTGGGAATGGACTGGGAATACTGGGAATACTGGGAATGGACTGGGAATGGACTGGGAATGGACTGGGAATACTGGGAATGGACTGGGAATGGACTGGGAATGTACTGGGAATGTACCGGGAATGTACTGGGAATGTACTGGGAATGTACCGGGAATGTACTGGGAATGTACTGGGAATGTACTGGGAATGTACTGGGAATGTACTGGGAATATACTGGGGATATACTGGGAATGTACCGGGAATGTACCGGGAATGTACTGGGAATATACTGGGAATGTACTGGGAATGTACTGGGAATGTACCGGGAATGTACTGGGAATGTACTGGGAATATACTGGGAATGTACTGGGAATATACTGGGGATATACTGGGAATGTACCGGGAATGTACCGGGAATGTACTGGGAATGTACTGGGAATGTACTGGGAATGTACTGGGAATGTACCGGGAATGTACTGGGAATGTACTGGGAATGTACTGGGAATGTACTGGGAATATACTGGGGATATACTGGGAATGTACTGGGGATACTGGGAATGGACTGGGAATGGACTGGGAATGTACTGGGAATGTACCGGGAATGTACTGGGAATGTACTGGGAATGTACTGGGAATGTACTGGGAATATACTGGGAATACTGGGAATGGACTGGGAATGTACTGGGAATACTGGGGGGACTGGGAGCACGGTGTCCCCGTGTCCCCATGTCCCCGTGTCCGGTGTCCCCATGTCCCCGTGTCCGGTGTCCCCATGTCCCCGTGTCCGGTGTCCGTGTCCGGTGTCCCCGTGTCCGTGTCCGGTGTCCCCATGTCCCCATGTCCCCATGTCCCCATGTCCCCATGTCCCCGTGTCCCCATGTCCCCGTGTCCGGTGTCCCCATGTCCCCATGTCCCCATGTCCCCATGTCCCCATGTCCCCATGTCTCCGTGTCCCCGTGTCCCCAAGTCCCCGTGTCCGTGTCCGGTGTCCCCGGCCCCTCCCCGTGTCCGGTGTCCCCGGTGTCCCCATGTCCCCGTGTCCGTGTCCGGTGTCCCCGTGTCCGGTGTCCCCATGTCCCCGTGTCCGTGTCTGGTGTCCCCATGTCCCCGTGTCCCCGTGTCCGTGTCCGGTGTCCCCATGTCCCCGTGTCCGGTGTCCCCGTGTCCGGTGTCCCCGTGTCCCCGTGTCCGTGTCCGGTGTCCCCGGCCCCTCCCCGTGTCCTATTTTCCGTCGCGGCCATGGCAACGGCGGGGACAGACACGGGACAGGGACACGGGGGGGGGACAGGGACAGGGACATGGAGGGGACAGACACGGGGACACAGGACACGGAGGGGACACGGGGGGGGACACGGAGGGGACAGACACGGGGACATGGAGGGGACAGGGACGGGGATGGGGACAAGGGACAAGGGACAGGGACAGGGATGGGGACAAAGGATGGGGACAAGGGAGGGGACAGAGGGACATGGCAGCGACGGAGACAGGGACAAAGGAGGGGACAGGAATGGGGACACTGAGGGGACAGGGACAGAAATGGGGACATGACAGGGACGGGGACAGGGACAGGGACAGGGATGGGGACAGGGACGGGGATGGGGACAAGGGACAGGGACGGGGACAGGGGGACACGGGGGGGGGACATGGAGGGGACAGGGATGGGGACAGGGACATGGAGGGGACACTGAGGGGGACACAGTGACATGGAGGGGACAGGGATGGGGGAGAAGGGACAGGGACGGGGATGGGGATGGGGACAAGGGACAGGGATGGGGACGGGGACAGGGAGGGGGGACAAGGGACAGACACAGGGACATGGAGGGGACAGACACGGGGACATGGAGGGGACGGGGATGGGGACAGGGACACGGCGGGGACAGGGACGGGGATGGGGACAAAGGATGGGGACAAGGGAGGGGACAGAGGGACATGGCAGCGACGGAGACAGGGACAGGGATGGGGACATGGAGGGGACAGGGATGGGGACACTGAGAGGACACAGGAAGGGACATGGAGGGGACCTGGGGACATTGAGGGGACATGAAGGGGACTTGGGGACACGAGAGGGACACGGAGGGGACACAGGAAGGGACGTGGAGGGGATTTGGGGACACGAGAGGGACACGGAGGAGACACAGAGGGGATTTGGGGACACAAAGGGGACACGGAGGGGACACCGGGGGACATTTGGGGACACAGGAGAGGACCTGGAGAGAATTTGGGGACACGGAGGGGACTTGGGGACACAAAAGGGACACGGAGGGGACACAGAGGGGATTTGGGGACACAAAACGGACACGGAGGGGACACAGGAAGGGACATGGAGGGGATTTGGGGACATTGAGGGGACACCAGGGGGATTTGGGGACACAAAAGGGACATTTGGGGACACAGGAAAGGACCTGGAGAGGATTTGGGGACACGGAGGGGACTTGGGGACACGAGGGGGACACAAAAGGGACACGAGGGGCGATTTGGGGACACCAAAGGGGTTTGGTGCCACCGCCGGTGGCATTTGGGGACCTCGGCAGGTGCCACCCCGCGGGACACGGGGGTGGGGGAGGGGCGGGCGGGGTTTGCCCCTCCCCCCAGTCCGGTCCGGCCGGTCGGACTGGTTAAACTGGGAGTGGGGGAGGGGCGGGGCGGGCACAGCTGGGCAGGGGTGGGGGAGGGGTGGGGGAGGGGTGGGGGAGGGGTCCCCCCTCGCCCCTCCCCCACCTTCCCCTCCCCCCTCCCTCCCCCCCCCGTTAATCCGCGGCCGCCGCGGGGCCCCTTAAGAGGCTTAAAACGGGTCCGGGGTGGGGGAGGGGAGGGGAGGCACCCAAAAATCCCCGCGCCCCTCCCCCACCCCACCCCAATTCTCACCCATCCCCCATCCCACACCCCGAATTTTCACCCATCCCCCACCCCGCACCCCAAATTCTCACCCATCCCCCACCCCGCACCCCAAATTCTCACCCATCCCCCACCCCCCACCCCAATTCTCGCCCATCCCCCACCCCACCCCAAATTCCCGCCCATCCCCCACCCCGCACCCCGAATTTTCACCCATCCCCCACCCCACCCCAAATTCCCGCCCATCCCCCACCCCACCCCAAATTCCC